AAAAAAGAAAAGGATCGGGAGTCATTTCGGAGCATGGTGCACTATTTACTAAAATTCTACTCTAATATGGCATTTATAATGATATGTTGCACTTTGTGACGGCAAAAATCCTAATTTTGTCATCATTAAATTGCCACCTTTTGCCACCTTAAACCAGTTTTCCCTATTTCAATCCCACTGTGATGCGGTTTGCTATGATGGTTTTTATTATCAAATTAGTACACCTGTCTAAGACAGTGGAGGCAACTTATGCATAGAGCATTCCTTCATTTACGCGGGATCGTTTCAGTGGCACGGACAGCCTCAAATTCCTTTCCATCCAACCACGATAATAGTCCGATTTGAAAAATTAGCACCGACTTTTTCTCACAGTCCATTACTGCATTGAAGCTGCAAGTTGAAAGGGGATATTCAGTGAACAGACGAGTGCAACTAAAACAACCTATAAAATGCAAATATAAAAAAAGAGACAGAGCAGACCAGTTGCGACCAATGCTTTATGAGCCGACAGTAGGAGGTATCTGCGAATATTTTTGCGCGACTAGGCAAATCAGCCAGGACTGAGCAGTAGTAGACAGCGCTTGCTTTTTGACCCCGAGACAAATGTAGAGAGAATTGAGAAAAAGCATGATTCAGACAAACGACAATGTTTACAAAATATTGTTATTTGTAGACCGTGTGTTTCACCAAGCCAAAGCAGCGCTTAATAAATAAAGCTGTATTTAATAACATTATCAATCACTTTATTTTATTTCGTCATTTGTACATGAGAAAATAATCATTAGGGATGTACGGTATGTAATTGTCGTTAAAGTCAATAGTCAAATTGTATAAGCAGCAGCTATGGACTGTGATAAGAATTCGTTCGTTGTAAATGTAACCAGCCAAACACATTTCATTTATACAGGATACGTTTTCGCGCTCTATATTTATACAGTGCAAGTCAAAATAATAGCATTTCAGAGGATATGTGTTAGCCACTGAAAACTGTTTTACGGCATTCTTTGTGATTGAAGTTATGACATCTTACTCAAATGCTAGCATGGAAAATATAGTTTTTTGTTAACTTTTTTGAGTTTCATGACTGCGTATAGTCGCGTGGTATGTTTCGGGTGGACTCAGATTTAATTTTCATATATCTCTAAAAGGGTTGATATGGCTTTTCGAGTAAATTCCATGTGCCTTACCCAACTAACAATTTTCACAATGTGAACACTTTATATACAGCCTTAAGCTGTATTCAAATGCTATACGATATGAATTAATCTTTACTCAATCTCTATACAAGCAAATCTGGCGAACTTAGTCAGCAACTTATGGCTGTTGGGACAGTTGTGACAAGTTCTTATTGCATATCCATTTGCGCTTCTATACAGCTGTTATTCTGCTGTTTAGTTGTGTCTGAACTTAAAAGGCGCTTATTCAACCTTTTCACGATTATCCAATAATCACTACTAAGCGTTATCTTGAAGCAGGGTTAAATATTGTTTACTTTTTGTTTTTGTTAAAGGAATTTATTGACTTTATTTTGCTGAGAATCAGTTATAAGCACACCATCAAATTATTACCCTGCACTGGAACCTGGACTCGAAGTCAAGACGACCGCATTGGCAAACCTTGACACTACCATCTTCGCTACGCCAACACTTTGAACTGACGTAAACCTTCTACAACAATATCGCTGAGTAGAGGTTTTCTAATAGTGCACATGAGTTATTTTTCTCGAATAGTTAGTTCAGTTTTGTAAAAGCTGTAAAACTGCATAAGTTTAAAAATAAACCTAGTTGACTTATTATTAAATGGAATATAACATTTTTTCTCTGTTTTATCAAGTTGACTGTAAAAATGCTTTCAAAGTAGTGTTAACACAGCTTATTAGCTGAGTACAGGACAAGTTGTTAAGTTGTCGAAAAAGCACTTTTGATGTTTATGTTAATCAGCAATAGTGGTAGGTTGTGTAGAAGCCATCAAATGAGTATATATATATATGCAGCGCTCCTTTTTTTTTTCTTTGATTTGTTTTCCGTCGATCTTGTATTCCCTGGCAGCTCTCACACTTGAACCCTACATATCGACCCATCAACTCATAGACCTGGGATAGAGTTTAGTAAACGCTCTCCAAAAGTATTTTGCTAGCTTCTGCTGTAGAGTATCTGTATCTTTTTTCAGTTACTTTACACCACATCGCTGGAAATGATGACTTATAAGCTTAAAATGTTAGTTGAGTAAATCTAGGAGCTTTATGGATAATCTTCTTTCTATCTTCTTTATAATCTAATATACATGGAGAAAAAATACTATCCAAAATGTGAGTTCTTTTCACTTAATTTTGAGTTGAGCCTCTCACTTGCACTCGTTATTGTTGTCAAAAAAGGAACGAGAGTTAGCATAATTAGTTACTTTTTAGTAAATTGCATATTCCCAAATTTACGTGAATTATACTTTATTTTGGGTAGAATATACTTAAGAGTAAGTATTTTCTTTTGCTAGTTTTAAATGAAAATTACTGTATGCAATTTACTCAAATTTGGGTTTTTGGGCTGAACCCGGGAATTGAGGGGAAAATACTTAATTTTACGCCAGGAGACTATTTTACGCCAGGAGACTATTTTACGCCAGGGTGCATTAAGGACTGTTCTCCCGAAATTGAATGATTCACCAGAACGTGAGAAGAGAATGCGTAAGAAGTAAATGAGAAGTGAGTTAACATATTTACGTATCAAATTTTCCTGAGCAATGCCGGGTGTTAATAAATCTTTTTGGGTCAACTTAAGAGGAGATCTCGCGCAACATGTGAAAAGGGCCTACATTACTACGGGATGTCTATTGATGCAACTCTAAATATTGTATAGTAGCTTAAAGCTAAATCCAGGAGCCTTTTGAATCATATCCGGCTAGTTTACGGGATAAGTCCACTGGGACTATGAATAATCGTCTCAGATATTATTTGTAAACTCTTGAGGTCTTATAGGCTAACTTTGCAATGACCGTTTTAGAGTTCATTAGAATCAAACGCCTCTTCTGCTTCTATCGATTTCAGAAATTTTGGGTCAACTTCAGGTGCCTTGAGTGTCTTATTCGTAGCCATGCGAGTCAATCCATGGCCTAACATGATAAGACAACACGGAACGAAAATGACACGATACTTTTATTTGATATCTTCGTTCGATATCCAATAAAATTTAAAGGATTTCACCAATGGCGATTATGTGAAATTTTGCTTCAGTGTACAGGCCTTATTGGTGCAATTTATAGATAACTTGCAAAGATCTTATGGCTGATTTTGGAAAATCAACTTAGAGACGTATGTTGAACATTTGTCTAATTTCCGAGAAAATTACGTAATTATGGGATTTGTTGAAATAACAAAACATTGCAAATGCTGAGAAACTACTTATCTGATCCTTATCTCAACATGTGATTATTAATGAGATCTGCTGGATATGAAAATTGGATTAATTAGCTAAGTACTATTTTCAAAGTTCTTTCACGAGTAGTCCCTGTGTCGATATAATATTTTATTGTAAATATAGCGCTATATTATATATAATGGTAAAATTGGCCCTGACCTGATCGAAACAACTTCTACGAGATTGTTTATAGCGCAAGAGTCTACTATGGTGTGAAATATGGAATAGCTATTTATTAAAATAATGTCCACTGTCACCCCACTGTGCGTTCTTTACGTACAATGTATAAAGCAGTATAAAGGTAGAAATTATATATTCTCAACAGATACGTTTTGAACGTCTAAAATGTGTAAACTTAATTAATATCTAATACACGACTTGACTGTATGAATGATACGACTCGACTCATGTTACTATCGTAGCCTACCTGGTATAAGTACAAATGCTTCTACTATGTTGAACAGAGGTGTACCTTGTTTGAGTTTTGGTAGTTGATAGCTCAGTGGCGTTTGTTAATAGCGAAAAGAGCATCGAATCATTGTGGTTGAAACCAGCAGTTGCTTATACCTATTATCGCACATGATTGCTAATAAATACATGGTAATTATTAAAACAAATGCTCGCATTGATTGAGAAATACACATTATGGTCTATGTAATGAATTGACTGTACTGTGCCTGTAGTATAGAACTGAAATATTATAAATTTTGTAAATATTGTGTTTGTATACATTTATTTTGTAAATAAATTGTGCAAATGCTATGCTGTGCCTCATTTCAGAAAGTACTTACGTGATCTGTAATTTTCTAAGAAAATGCTCATGGGTATAATCCACGTTGTGCTTACATTTCGGAAGCACTTGTGAAACTGACGCTTCTACACTACTACTGGCGAATATTTATAGTAGCAAAAGTGAATTAGATTAGAACAGTTTGAAAATTGTGTCGCTAGTTCGTGGAGCGAACGTGCGTAAGTGCTGTGGTTTATTTTAAAGTATGACCTAATTACGCCGAGCTACTACTTGTGCATCTCCGCTGAAAAAAATGTTTCCTTTTGCTGGGAGATAATAAAATGAACGAAGTGTTTCATGTGGATACTATTAATTGGACATTTCGCATTATTTATGGCACAGTTTGGATTGTAGCTTTTTGAGATAAATGTTGCATGTATTCCACAGCTCTATTGCGTCACAGTGACACTCAAGAAAAATATTTGTGGAAATTGTTTTTGGTCCGTTCGGGGATTTCATGGAAATGTGTAAAATGCAAAAATGGTACGTGCAAGAAGCTTAAAGAACAAAGTTGAGTGCAGACGCTTAGGTCCAGTTCGAACGTAATAGCCAAGAGGAAGAAGAATGATTAAATAAATAAATTTCTCATTAAACGTGCATCATTCACATCCATGATTTATAACAAATGATGATTAATAACAAGTACGATGTAGTCATGTGTAAAACTGATTATGTTCTGAAATTTGACCCGTAAGCCATGTGCACCCGTGCATGTTTGCATCACAGTCGCAATTTCTTTGATGTGTAATATTTCCGACTATCGCTTTAGCGAGTAATTCTTTTTCTTTTTTAATTTACAGTTCATCCGATAGCATTCATCAAAACATGGTGCACATCGATCATCAAGCAGCTAATTCATTCGAGTATTTTTCTACGCCTGGAGTTGCTACAGAAAAATCGTCAGCTAAGAGTATTATAAATAGCAATAATTTAAATAATTTCAAGAAGGCTGGTTCCACTCCATACAGCAAAACTTATTTTGAAGAATTGCTCAACAGCTATAAATCTCATTCACCCTATTATAAGGATCATCAGCAAAAAGACTCAAGTCGATTGATCAAGTCCCTTTCAACAGGGAAAGGAAAGTGCAGTGGTAAAAAGTGTAAAAACGAGCCAACGGGAGAGGAATCCGAAGATTTCTACTACGACTATGAAGACGAGGAAGAAGACGATGATGAGGATGACGATGATGATGTTGATAATGTTGAAGCACAAGGTGATGCTGGATATAGCACAACTGCAAGTCCAATCTTTCATGAATCCGAGATCTCAAAAAGCAGTAAAGCGTCATCGCAAAACACAAACAACCATGGAAATTCCCGGCAGCACGGCAGTGGGTATGGAGAGAAACAAGAAAATAATAAAGTGAGTATGTAGTATTGAATTATGTGATAAATTTATCGGGACAGTTTGGGCTCACTCTTTATTGAGTTGTTAATTGGAGGGGAAGTTTTTCTAAGCAACCTGAATATTTTTCAATCAAACGCACAAAACACCTCTAAAACCTGGCAAATGCTTTAGAGGTGTGCACACTGTCCGGTTTTGATTTTGGGAAGACGTCTCTAATGTCTTCAAATTTCTTATTCTCTGCGTTATAATCTTAAGCTCTTTTTAATTTTTTTTTCGCATATTTCCGGTCAATTGTGAAACTTTGGACGTGATAAGGAAATCAGAAGTTGAACTTTTTAATTTTGTGGAAAACTAAAAAGTAAAATAAAATGTGTTTTCGAAATTGGATCCTGTTTGCATTAAGTTTTTATATTGTACGTTTTTTATGTGTTAAAAATTAAATGTGATTGCAAATAGAAGTTTCATTGTGGGATTGAATTGGTCAAGTTTGTTTTTATGCAGGTATACCTCGATATAATTTAACTGTCATTTTTGACTTCCATTGCCGTTTTCTCGCAATCGATCATTCAATCAAGCAAAAGAATAACAACATCGGCAGCATGATTTATATGATTGAATTGTCAATTTATAGATATCGACAATGGAAGCCAAAAGTGACAGCTACCTTATATCGAGGTATACCTGTATTCAACATTAAGCATTTGTACTTCATTTAGGTTTCCTGAAGACGTATGCAGTGTCAAAATTGTAGACTATTAAGTTAGTATAGGTTTGCATATGAAGTCGTTTTGATGATTCGAAATTATTTAGAATAAATTTGATTTCAAATTCAGATCCAGTAACCCAAATTTGAGCAAATAATATAATTTCAGCGAAATAGGACTTTGAGGTATCGTTTGAAGAAATTGGTACCAAAATGTCTAATTGCTAGTGGCAGCTCTTAGGGGTAATATAAAACATAACTAATCGTTCCGCAACCCAAATAAATTTAAAGCATTTATACGTAGAGTCAAGCTTCAAATTTGAAAAACTTTTTGTTTTTTGCAAAAATGATCGTTTTTTCATTTTTTTTTCTAGTTGCACTTTTACCTAAAGTTACGGATGACTTAAGCAAAGACTCTTTTACAAGAATAGGGGGTTTCTTTAAAAAATTATTGCCATCCTAAACATGCTTTATGATCAACTAAGCTTGTCACCAGGAAGAGATCGCTCTTTGGTGCATCGTTCATTACTTTTTAACATAGAATGGCAAAGTTAGGCGCAATTGAATGGGCTGTTAATCCATCTTAACATAGATAAATTAATGCTATATTCTCCCGATCAAATTTGAACAATTCAGCACTGTTCGCCACACTCCGTGTTTTCACTGAATATTCACAAAAGGCACACTTTGGTGCCAACCCTTCACATTCTTTGAGCACTTCCACAGTTGTTAGTTGAGAGCTTTCTAAGCCTTTACCATTTTTCATTAGTAGAAATTGTGTGGCAAACAAAATCATACTGTATGCCCAGGGATGTCGAGAAATTTTCCAACACGAAAAAATCCTAGACTGGACCGGGACTCAATCCCAGCCGTCTCCAGCATAGTCTTGCTTTAAAGCTGCGCCTTTACCTTTAAATATTATTTTTAAGCTTCTTAGGGGGAGGGGGTGTAAGATTTTGTGACATGCAATGCATTAGGTATAGGAAAAACGTGACGAAAGGGAAATTTTTCCTCAATTTGATAACATTATAGACATAATTATAGTATCACCCCTAATAAAAAGAAATGGTCGATGCTTCAAAGAGCAATCCATCCTCACCATAGGACTTGAACAGTTAAAACATAATAATTTCAAACTTGCAAAAATAGGTTTCAAACTGCAAAAATAGGTTTGAGTTTCGAAGAGTTAACTAATTATGATTTACAACTAAAGCCAATGTAAATATTATTTCATTAGGCACCACATCTCCAATGTATTCAAAATCAACGTCAGCTGTGTCAGAATGTGTATTTGAATTTCGTTATGCCACTAGGTGGATTAGCTTGACGGGCCTCACCAAGGCCCATGTGAATATAATGATGCAAGGGCAAGGCACAACGAAATCGACCTCTTGACTTGAGTTTTGTTTTCGTTTTAGCCGTTCGGTTGGCTTTAGCGTATGGAAAATATGATGTTTATCATGATACACTGATACTTCCCATCAAAAATTTGCCGCAGGCCTGAACAATCTCTCTCATTAATAAATGCAACATTAATAGGTTGATTGTTTGTACAAGTATATTGATTGCATGAGTTAATCTTGGTACCAGTATTATGGGAGAAAGGGAGAAGAATATTTTGTTATGCTGAAAAACTTGCCTTGTCATTGGACATTGATGAAACAGAGCCGATAATTGAAGACATGCTCAAATTACACACGGAGAACAGGAAGTGAAAGTATGACTAAATAAACTAGTAATATAGGGTCATGATTGAACATTATTGTTGATATGATATGATACTGGGTAGTAAAGAGAACCGAATTTTGAAAAAAAGTTAACTGTTCGAGTCCCAAACTGATTTTTTATAAATAAGGTGTCTAGAATCTTTTGATTAACCTTTATGTGCGTGTGGAATTTTTGCTTTTAACCGTGTTATTCAAATGACACACATTACGGTTAAGGGACTGTTCATAAACTACGTTGATAGTTTATGAGAGGTTTCTGAACCCCTATCCCCTAACCCCTATTAGTTGTCCGCTGTGTCGGGTCGGTCGCATTTGATACAACTCTTTGCGTTGGTCGTCTAACACCATACTTTAATCGACCAAAAAATCTTTGAAGAAAGTTCGGTTGGAAGAAAAACACCTAGTAGAAGTTGGGAATACTAAATGCTGACAGTCATACTACATTTTCGTGTTTCCAAATATCTAACTAAGCTCCCACAACGTCTACATTAGACTGATGCAAAATTTGACTTTTTCGCTCCACAGTGCGTAAATGGTTTCAAATCGGGTCCTGATTAGTCTCCCAAAGTTACAACTCATTTGGTTAGAAACAGACTTCGCACAAGCCATTCGAAGTTTACATGTAAATTACTATGGGAAATCTCAACTTTTTGTTCATTGCCATCTAGACTTTTTCCATGTTGAGCTGCAAAACAGTTCGATAGCCATTCTTATAGAAAATTTTCTCAGCTACAACTTTGCTGAAGATTGTTTCTATGTAAAACGAGACAGGAAAATGTTATTAATTATTTAAGAGATTTGTAAACTTATGACATGATCAAGCAGCTGCTCTGTACGCAACACTGTATTTTGCAGTGTGACATAGTAGCCATGATTTTTGTGGCCTATTCAACGCCCCAGAAACACCAATGTTGCCTGCTGAGCAGTTGATTGAGCATGATCATAAGACATCAGCGCATTGAACCATTGATAACTTTCGATCCTTGCATTTAATAAAAAAAAGTGGTCTTGAGCAAAGTTGTTGCTGGGAAAATTTCCTACAAGTACAGTTGAAAGCTTTTGAAGCAGACCGATATACTGAATTATTATATAGACATGAACAAAAATCTTGGTTTTACCATGGTAATTCCCATACAAACTTCAAATGGTTGGTGCCATCTCAGTCTCTCACCAAATGGGTTAGGGGCTAGTCAGGATCCGATTTGGAATCGTTTAAGTATTGTGGAGCGAAAATTTCAAATTTTGTATCACTCTAGTCTACATACAAGCTTCGGCTGTAATGTGCCTCAAAGTTTCACAGTAACGGCAACAATCGACAGCAAAGGACAACAGCTATGTGAATTTATCAAAAATATAAAACTGATAACATAAGATATTTACCGTTAATTTTCGAAATCATTGTTCTGATTTTAGACTATCTCTAGTATAGACTTATTACAATTAATAAAATCCCATTAAGTTGACTTTCTGGATAGTAAGATATCTCCCTTATGACAAAACTAACCTTTAAAATTAATTATATTGCAAACTGCAAATGTTATAATGTTCTTAACAAATTGCGAATAGGATTAAACGCGATAAAAAAGAAACAATCACCGATCGATCGCAAATTTATAAACATTCACAACATTTTTTAACAGAGAACTCTAGTCTACCCAACGGTATGAAACGTTTTGCAATCGTTTTGTAATACCAAAACAAAAGCGAAAAATAGTAGCTAGCTTCCATTCTTTTTAGAGACCATGCACTTATTACGTATAAATAAATTTTAACGTATAACGTATAACGTATAATATAAATTTTCGTACGTTTTCTTACAAAGGAAGCCAGAAAATGTCAGAAGTAGCGGAAATGGCTCTAATGTCGGCCTATGGATCTAAGATTGGGCCCATCGCTAAAAATCTGCTATTTTTTAATTTTATCTAGATGAACGCGTCATTGGGACGGTACGAATTGATATTTTTGGGTGCTATTGAAAATTGACTTGATTGCTGAATTTATGTATGGGCCCAAATTAAGGGCATTTAGGCTGACATTACATCCATTTCCCCTACCTTACGAAAGCTGAATATGAAGAATGAAGAATACAGAATATGTTAAGGTGCAACGTACTTTAATGCATTTTTGGACCCATTTTTTTTTTCGACGCATAATTTCAAGTTGCAAAGAGTTTTCGTCACTACATTCATTTTACTATTCAAGCAAAATGACGCGAGCTTTTAGCAATCTCAAATGATGTGCCGAAACTGGGTTTGCCTTTTTCGAAAGTGCATCAAAGTAAATTGCATTGCAAGGTCGTTTACAATTTTGTTTATACATGTAAATATATTCTGATTAGATTAAATATCTTATATTTGCAATATAGTTCACTCTGTCTTATCCCAATGACATGATTTTCCGACGACAGTAGTATTCATAAATCATTATGAGGAATGCTGAAGCACTTTTTTGAAAGGTTTTTTTTCGACGATCACTTTTTGGTTGTACTAACATTCTTAAATACAATGGGTTGCACTCTAAATAAGACGGACATTAGGGGTGGTGCATATTTTATGTCACGCTCTGGGGTGTATGATTTTATGACAAGCAATGCATTAGGTATAGGAAGAAAAACGTGCCGAAAGAAAGGGTGGGGGAGGGTATTTCCTCAATTTAGCGGGACATAATTAAAATATGAACCCATAAATTAGTTTGAGTTCTATATTAATGAGATTTTGAGCGGTGGACTTTTATCTTAGAGGCCTCTTCGATCAACGTGCTTCTAGTGTAAACTCAATTGATTGATTTCTTTATTAAAGAAACTTTCAGCCGTAGAGTAAACTTATATTATTGAGAGAGCGCATTTCTCAATTTTATTTTTATTTTCAACTGTGTACTCTAACTCCATTGCCAAGTTAAATAATTTTACTGATAATGATTGGCAGCTGGCTTCTTTGTTTTCATGGAAGATGAAATAGTTTGCATGGTAAGGAAGGAATTTGTAGAGATTGCTTGCCCGATCTGTTTGATCGATTGGCTTCAATCATCGATATGAATTTTGCATGCTTCAATAACCGTCAATTGCTTTTAATAAATCCAATTGGTATATGACAACTGCGACGCTGGCGAAAAGGAAAGATTTCCTTTTGCCACGTAACATTTATCCATGCATTGCTCTCGAACGCAAGAAGTGATTGCAAAGATGCATCCCTTGAATACGCGATGCTTGCGTAGAGTAGCTTTCGTTGTTTGTTGAGCGTATCCCGCATTCTTTTCGTGGCACACCACTTAATGGGTATAATCTTGCCTCACCTCGTTTCTGTCAATCGTGAGTTAACTCGGTTCCTTAGGCAGGCTAGTAATAAAAGGCCGTTTTTACTGGAGGTAGTGCCTAACAACAGGATATATTGCTATTTCAGCTTTTTATTGATCTGAAGGCTTGAAGTAGCTTGGAGCATTATTAGAAAGGTGTTATTTGGAATGAAACGTTTCCTGATTGTACACTTATTCTGTACAGCATGATATAGCTGGGAGGATTCATGCATTTTTCTGCAGTAACTGTTTAAGTGCCTGTGGTATTGAAAAATAACTTAATTTTCAAAGAAACGAAACCACGTGTGGTTATTGTGCGACTTTTACGACTTGTTGTATAAAGCAGCTGAAAAACTAATCTGATAATCATACAGATGCAAAAACATTTTTGTATTAGTATATACAGTAAACTATCCCTTACTCGATCTTTCTCGAACTCGATAGAAATCTAGGCTACTTCAACCACTTTTCCCGTACATTTTACTCAAATATACCTCCGTAACTTGATATCCTCCCTAACTCGATTGTCCCTTCAATATCGAGTTAGGGAGAGTTGAATGTTTTCCCAAATTTGTCAAATTGACCACTATTTATAGAGTTTGAGTGGTGTTAAGCTGGATTTTCCACAATATTGTAGATGAAATTTTAATTAAGGTTCAACTATATTGAACACTCTATGGAGCCAAGTAACATTGAATATAATTACAATTGAATGTAACAACCGTAATGTAATAACAAATCATGAGTTCTTCTATTTTTTTTCTGGTAGACAAATTTTATGTAGCTTCTCCGTTATGTCGTGCCCACCATTTCCTATTCTAACATAGTGGAAAATCAGGGGGTGCGCTACATCTAAATCTCATGCTAGCAAATCAGTCTACGAAAAATCTACTTTCATTTTTCATATCTACTTGCATCGCGATACATCTTTCTGCAGGAAATCTTCAAAATCTTAATTAATCTTCTATCTATCTACTCAAGCGTGCGCGCAGCTCAGCACAGTAAAACGAAACTTTCTTGCATCGATGATAGAGTCCCCCGCGTGGAAAATTAAATTTTCGAGTTGAACGTCAATGTATGCAGCATCGACTCTTCTGACTTGAACTTAAAAAAGTACTTTCTCCTCCACAATTGCTGGTAAGTTGCTTCCATCTTAAAGGGATCCGGATTGACAATTTCGCCCATGGTGGGTTTCGCACTTCCATTTCGAAAGTGGATTTCGATAGTAGGGGATGTAATGTCGGCCTTAATGCCCCTAATTTGGGCCCATGCATAAATTCAGCAATCGACTAAATTTCGACCAAAAATATCCATTTGTACCGTCCCAATGACGCGTTCATGTAGATGAAATTGATAAATAGCAGGTTTTTACCGATGGGCCCAATCTTAGATCCATAGGCCAACATTAGAGCCATTTCCCCTATTCTTAATTTCTACAGCACACATTTTTGTTTTCAATGGCAACGAGAAATGAGACCGAACTACAGGCAGCTCTAAAAAATAGCTTGTGTCGAGTACATATATTAATTGTCGACAGCGTGATCGACACTGAGACATCTGCAAGCGAACTGATCTTTAAATATTTAAATTTAAATTATTCATATACTTGAAACAAGGGATTTTAATTTTTCTGCCACGACATAATCAGTCTGTAGTTAAAGTTTATTAATTACTTTTTTTTCTCTAATGGTGGTTTTACGTTTTATTTGTTTTATTCACATATTTTCAAAATTGTTGAGTGTTTCCCTTAATTTGCTACTGAGAATCTTGGTTATGGGGCCTCTGATAACCTTGTCAGTAAAGGCACACTATACCAAGCTGGTGGAGGTGACGGGTTCGATTCCCGGCCTGGTCGATGAAATCTTTCGGGTTGGAAATTTTCATGACTTCCCTGGGCATAGATAGAGTATTACCATACAATATACAAATTCCTAATGCATGGCATGGAAAGCTCTCAATAACAGCATTCTGCGGTTGTCAAATACAATGCTGACTTTCTCTGAATTTGCAATAATTTGCCAGCAATCTATTCCTCTAGAATGTGTCAAATCATACTATAATTGACACGTCTGCATATTTGAATCAGAATCAGATAAGCTTTCTGCTGTGAAGAATTTATAAAATATTCTGATTTTTGATTGCACAGGCTTTTATATTTATTAATTTATTTATTTTTATTTTAGAATGATGCATCTGAATCAACGGCCGAAGAAAAACCAGCCAAAAAAGAATCACACAAAACAGGTGATAAAGCTGTTGACATTCGATCTCTACAAAATTAATTGATGTTTCTTTTATAGATGGTTCGCGATTGGCGTCGTTCCATGCAGCCAAAATCCGACGAGAGGGCTCCTGTTTCATTCCAAAACCGAAAATGATTTTAGCATCCAATGATCCATCAAAGCAGTATACTCCTCATTGCACAATCCTTCATCGATGTGGTGATGATGTTGGATGTTGCCTACCGACGCAGACCTGTGCTGCATCCAAAAATTCTACGGTAGAGCTATATTTTTTCGTGAGTATTTTGTCCAATCAGAAGTATTGTTAACTGAATCCGTAAGTTTGGTTTTCAATTCATACTATTTTCAGGTTCAAACAGTTGGATCAAGGCCATCAATTGAAAGACTGAGTTTTATCAATCACACTGAATGTGCGTGTTTTAGTCGCCATGATTCACCTCATTGGAGAGTGCCTGGTACGTCAACATCATCGCCAATGCTGCCTGTCCCAGTTTGTACTTGTCCATCACTATTTCAACGTGTAATTGATGATGAGAACCGCTGCATTTGCGATTGTTCTTCCAGTGATACGCAGTGCGATCAATTCAAGCGGGGTTTGGAGCACTTTTCTATGGAAAATAGAAGGTATGTTACAATGCCTATGACTTCTCAATAGAATCATAGCATTTGGGGATAAGTGTAAGAGTTTAAAAACCATACCTGTCACATTGAAGAGGCTACAATCTAAGTTAATAATAAGTAATTCTATTTTCAGGTGTATCAAAGATGGACGTTGCATAGAGCCAGTGTGCGAGTATGGTCAATACAATAAAGCGAAAGGCAAGTGCCCTACGAGAGAAGAAAAATTGAGTATTGCTTTTAGAGGGTACTGATAATAAATTAAGCCAAAATTAATGTTACAGTTACCAGTGTCGATGGATTTGTTTGTATAGGACTGGAGTTGTGTATCGAATATTTTTCTAACATTAGTATCCTATGTTATATTTTTAAAGGCGCAAACATGGTGGCATGGAGGCATATCAAGACTGTGTAAACATTGGTTATAAATTAATATTTTATTATAATAAAATGTATTTATTTGCAGTAGAATTGGTCATATAAAAGAACATTGTAAATATCTTATTAAATCGCTATTGAATTTGACAAACTTTACATTGTAAGTATCTAGTTATAAAACATTATGCTAGTCAGTTAAGACACATAGTATTATATCGTAAGGTTGAATATACATTTTCAATAAAAAAAAAACTCAACTTAGTAAATTTGTAGTGACAATATATTATTTTGAATTTTCCATGGGTCTAATATCGGAAAATAAATAAAGATGCATCAAGAAACACTATTGCTGATCGATATCAAGTAATGAGCTGATTTTTATTCTGTCAATTTCATGATTCAAACTAAACTATGCGGCGGAGATAGTTTGTTGATGTATCTGTATTCTCTTTTTCGATGTGCGTTTAAATAATGTTGGATGGTTAACTATTCTTCTTGGGCTTCCGAATTCAGGTTATAAATTTAATAATAAACAAGTGTTCATCTTAATACATGTTTCCCTTTCGATGTCTCCAGAATTGAGTTCTATTGTCATTATGAACGAATCATCTGACTTCTGACAGTTGTAAAAGCATGGGCAGCTAAAAGACGATTTGTCATTTGAATCCTTTTTACGAGTTGGTTTGAACAAAATAGGAGGCATGGGATTGGCAATTTTTAAAATTTGCGGCAGTTTGAGACATTGGTCTTGCAGATTCCATCCACCGTTGTAAAGATATAATCCTCGTGCTATGAAACCCTCTGCAGGTGCCATATGAAGCATCGGTTTTGTTGTGGAGAGCACTGTTATATCCCACGTGAGTTCGGTCAACGGAATGCTATAGATTTCCGCATGCATCTGTAAGAAATTCCATCTTCAATATATGATTCATTTGGTTGATTTTTGTTATACATACACTCTCACAATTTGAAACACAATCAGACTAATCCATAATATCAAAAACCAGTTATTATGGAATACATGTAAGTATGTTGCTATTGTGAGAGAGTAAGTAATTTTTGTGCCAAACCATTATGAAACTGTGCAGGAATAATGTGGGCTTCAGTAGATTTCCTAATGTTATTTCCGTTAAAAGTTGTCCAGATTCAGACCATTTTCGAATATGTTCGATCCGATTTTTCATGTCAATTGCCCAGTCTGAGAGGTGTTTATCTGTCAGATATTTAATCCAAGCTTGAGGTACCTTGTTTCGTTTAATATCTAGCAAAATTTCCAGGAACACTTGACTGAGGCTGTTTTCTCCGGATATCATAGACATAAGTTGTTCAAGGTTTTCCCTGACTAACTCAATAATCTCATTGTATTGGACTATTTCCAGCAACAGGCATTCATTAACAGGTGTTTTGTTTGCACTCACAATTCTTGCAGCATTATCGTAGTCTAAACAAACAGGAAGTTTCTTTAGCAGTTCCATTACCATTTTCTTTGCCTGTAAATGGAAAGGATGGTGTTAAAATTTGGATTATTTAGATATAGGTATGTTTGCACAGTTTTTTCTTCTTTCTTCCCAAAGCATATCATACGGAGGCGAGTTCACCTTTTATACAGATTTCGTGTGTCAATATACAGCTCTATATTTGAATACAGGAGATCTTAATAATAAAACAGGCGTACCTTCTCATAATCCATTATGCCGCGCTGCTGATCGTACAGTGTTGCTTCCGCATGAAGCTGTACCTGATGGAGCATCTGCAGAACATAAGCCGACCGTGATTCCAAATATTTGATGTTTGCATTTTCGTTTTGCCCAAGCACCTTAATGCTATCTTCTTGAGGCAGTTGGTTCGTTATGAAGTTTATGTAAGATGTAAAATTTCCATCTCGAGGTAGTTTATACGCTTGATCATCGGATACAAATGAACATTGAGACGTTGCTATCAATTCTTGGCGGAAAATATCAGTGGAGTATGTATTAAATATCCGTTGGTCCCACGTGTTTGTAATTTGTGCTAGAAAAGAGATTGGATTAAAACAAGCTCGGGATAATATATAGAGGAGGGAGAGGACACTTGATCCCAGGCGAGATTTGTTTCCCCAGCTTATTTCTATGACGATGCGTTGAACATTTTATGCATTCTGCACTAGCTATTGATTATTCCATTAAGAAAATATCAGAAATGCATTTGACAAATCCAGAACAACATGTGAAAAGGGATACAAGCTTTTTGTAAACAAACCTTTGTAGGCCCTTTTCTCACCAACCGAGGGTCGCCCACGCAAACCAGCAATATCATCGAGAAGGGGAAAGTGTCCCCTACCCGGTGATGTTAAAGTTTTGCGTTGGTGTCATATGGGTGGCGAGAAAAGGGCATAAGAAGGTTTGTTTACAAAAAGCTGGTATGCCCTTTTCACATGTTGTTCTGGAAATGCAGTTTTGTTTACATAGGGGAGAAGGCTCTAATGTTGGCCTATGGATCTAAGATTGGGCTTATCGCTAAAAATTTGCTATTTATCAATTTTATCTAGATGAACGCGTCATTGGGACGGTACTAATTGATATTTAGTCGATTGCAGAAATTATGTATGGGCCCAAATATGGGGCAATTAGGCCGACATTATATCCATTTCCCCTATGAGCAATAACTAGTCTTTATTTTAACTATTTTCAGGAGACTTGAATCATAACCATACCAAATTCTCACCGTTGGAGGATTGATTCAGTTCCTTTATTTTATCCCGTGAAAAAAAAATAATAAGATACAATTGATATGACAAAAAAACACTTATCTATTTAAATACTAGACATCAAACTATTTGATAAAATAACGGATCATGTCTCTCCATGTTGGGGATCTTTGGTCTGTTTTTCCAAATTTCTGAAGAACGCTTTAAACTAGCGCTGTCGAACGTGCTCTTCGGATCTCAGCAATTATATCATTGTAGCCCAATTTTATTCATCGTTATGAATGTTAGCCCAGAATGAATGAGAAATAAACGAAATACATCTTGAAACATGTTTATCGATCAAAGATACAGCCATTTAAAAAAATCAAGTTTAAAAAAGTTGGGCAGGCCTGCTTTAAACTACACCGAAAATAGTTTTCATGTAGCTTCCATTGGAAACGCACATGATTTTCATCCATAATCAAAATTAATGGAATTCATCTGAATTTAACATAACATTTATGCGATCACATTAATTTTATATGATTTTTCATATGAATTTCATGGACCTCATAATATTCATGTAATTTTGTGGTGGGATTTGCTGCTATGTGATCACAGGAAAGCTATGTGAAAATCACATGGATTTCATCCATTAGATATGTGATAAATTTTTTGAGTGTACACCTACAATAAATTTAATCAACTACTATGGACCTTCAAGTCTGTATTGAGCCTGTCAAGATTGATTTAAGCGGCGCCGGTAGTGTAGTGATAAGCATGATTGCCTCGCACGTCAAAGGACCTGGGTTCAATCCAAGTCGGCGTCGCCGGGATTTTCTAAGGCATAACATCTCTGATCATGCCTTCCTTCGGAAGGGAAGTAAAACCGTTGGTCTTCGGTCCATGAGTTGATAGGTCGATAGGTAGGGTCCACCAGATGTGGGAGATGCCTCCCTGGCGTCGGTAGCATTGGTACTCAGTACGGAAAACAATCGACAGAAAAACAAATCAAGGAAAAAAAAGATGATTGATTGTACACATTACTAGTCTTGTTGCTCCTATAGTTGTGTATTGAGTCTCCATGCTAAACTATCAGAACCTAACGCTTCTAACGTACCGCAACTATAGGAACCTTTCCCCTAGCAGATGTTGAATAAAAAAAAACAAAAGGAGGATCAAGTATTCCTATCTTCCTCTATGCTACTCGTGCATTTGCGAATCCTCAAGAATACATATGGACGAGGCTAATGAGCGCACGAAGGAGCTTAAATAAGTATTGACTATTTTATGATAGATCGACAAACATGAAACGCAACGAAAAGTTGTGGTTCACCTGTGCTACAGACCAAATAACGATTTTGAATTTCAACAAAACAATTTGCTGAAATGGGTTCAGTAAAATAACTTTTTGCTGGAATAAAGTATTAGTATTTTTAGCATTGCCGACATTCAGTAAAACACGTAAATGTGAGATTATTTGCTGATAATCATTACGTCGAGCTTCCTGTCTATTTAAATGACAGATCATGCAAAACCAATTATGTGATAGCACGATTTTCGTACGTATTTTGGATCGTGTGCAACTTGGGTGAGAACCTATTAAGTAAATATATTTTATACAAGACCGTATAGTATACCATATTCTTCCACTAACAGGCTCAGTATGTAGGCTGTCCAACATGTTTCAGATAGGTATCTGAACCATGCTAGACAGCCCAAATACTGAGCCTGCTAGTGGAAGAATAGGAGGATATTGAAAGGGAAAAAGTAAGGTTTAAATTTGTAATGACTTACAGCCATATCCAACTTCTAGCACAGCATTTTTCATAAAACGCCACAGCATGGAGTCTTCAGGACGGCTTTGTTGTCCTACTTCATAATGACGCATGCGGTTGGTGTCTTGAGTTTGCAAATTAGTTTTGTATTTTGATTCCATCAACTCTTCTAAGCAATAAGTAATTAATCGTTCGGAAAGCTGAAAACGACAGAGCAAAACATTTGGTAGGTAAGTACATACAATCAATATACGTTATATAAAATGCTTGTTTGATAAACACATGGTAAACTTACCTTAAAATCCATTATATTGAATTGGTATGGCTTATTCCATCCTAAACTTTGATATTTATTTCTCTCAATCAGAAGCGAGTGGAAGAATGCCAGTGTAAACATCAACTTCTTATGTTGCAAATGAAACCTGGATTTTTCTATTTTTCTAAATTGTTCTTCTCCAATTTGTTCTAACATCGATTTCATATTGTACTTGATGCCCTTAAGAATATTAACACGCATATTTTAGCACAAAAAATGACAAGCTATAAATTTTGGCTAATAAATCAAGGCTAATTTATTTTAAAACTCAAACTAAAGGTCAAAAGGTGATAATGATATGATTGCAGGTCCGATCAATTAATAGATGGAACTAAGTTTACTGGAAAATAAATATGAAAAATAAATGTATTTCAATATTGACTCACCGCTGGTGGATTACACATATATTTTAAGCAATTTTGTAGTATGTGTACCGGGAAATGCTTCTCTTCTTTGTTCACGTGCATCCATAGGCGGAACTTAGATTCTGGGTTAACTGTGCATAGGTACTGTAGAATGTGATCAAATTGCGACAACCATGATTTTGATTTTTGACATTCATCAACGTAAAGCCATTTTTCAGTTTGTATACATTTTTTCAAATGTTTCACCACACTTTCCATAGGTTCTGTACTCATGTTCACATATTGAACGATTTTGTGGGACTTTTTCTTATAAAACTTCGAAAAATTGTGAACCTCTTGTAACGGGTTGTAATTGTCACTTGAAATCAGCATTATGGGTATGGCTGGCGTTGATTTTTCTAATATGTCATTTAAAGTGCTTCGGTTAAAATCAAGAAATTCCTTTCCAAGATTATTTGCAACAAAATTCTTCATGCATGGTTCCAGCCTATCGAGTCTTACACTACGAACCAATGTGTATTTTTGAAAAAGGGTAAGATTACGTTCCCAATTTTCCGGAAGGCTTTCATTTTCTGGATGTGGTGATGAACACCATAATTTCCAGGCATCGTTGTGTTCTTCAAATGATTGTGTGATTCCACGGAAGCCTGGAAGTTTATCCAGTTCAGTGAGATTATCCCATTGGTCGGAATTTATCCAGTCTGGACTAGGATTTTCTGTTTGCTCATGTCGATCAATTTTGTCAGCTCCATGTACGAAAAAGTTGAATGCTCTCACGCTCATTGTCTCAGCATCATACAAAAGTCGTACACATAGATAGAAAGTAAAAATGACCTGATCTGGAAAACTCAGCGCTAAGCAAACATTCCTTAAAGCAATGCAATAAAATTATTAATTCATACACAATGGAAATTCTATATTTCATATGATAATTACCGAGAAACATTGAATGTATGATGATCAATGATTTTCACCTTGCGTTCTTCTATGTTCTGAGTTTTTCCGCTTTTTTCTAAAGATTCATGAAACAAGGCAATGTACCAGTCAAGTGAAAACCGATACGTTGGATCCATGCACTTAAGGTCTTCAAGTACGAAAAATAATAAGGAAGCTCTTGCAGCACACGGGCTATACGTTTCACGGGAAATTTCAATGTCATATTTTGTTGATGCAGCATGCTCTAAAACTATTTTTACACTTTCTGCTGTCTGTTTAGAGGACTCCAATGATTCAATTAGTTCTTCATTGTCTATCAAAGGTACTTGACTTTCATTCAATATTCGCAAGATATTATCCTCCAATTTTGCTAACGTTGCTTTGCTTGATGTGATTGTTTCAATTAGTAATGCCTTACGATCTTCCAAGAAAGGGTTCTCATGCTCAATAACGGTTGCTTAAATATATTAAGATGTATTTTATGACATTTCGATTTTAGTAAATTGGTTAAGTTTTGAGTATGAGTAGAATAGATTAAGTTTTGAGTGTGTATATAGTTGATATTTACCTAGAAGTTTGACTTCCAATCCAGATTTTCCAAGAATAAAGTTGATCATGTTTGCGGTTTTCTTCAATTTACCAATATATGGAACATTTTCAGAAGTTGTTCCGATGAGAGAATAGCTCCATTGACTCCTATCTAGTTTCTGCAGTGATTTTCGGTATATTTTTTCCAATTGATCAAAGTGATGCAAATTTGTTTCCTGCACACTGTGTACAAGAAGATGTTTTTGTTCATAAACATCAGCTTCAATTTGATGCTGTGTAATATCTTCGTCAAGATTGTAACGAACAGATTTTGTCATTCCGCGTAACTTTATAATCCAGCGTTGAATTTCTCCTTGTGGGTCAACAACTAATGGAACTCGAACATTACTGTTGAGAAGTATTGATGCGTTTTCTACTGTTAACTCGTCATCGGGTAGTCCAAGGGATTGCCATGTTTGCAAATCATCGGTAGAGTAGAAAAAGGCAAATGTTGAAAAATTATCCGTAAATGTTAGCTCCAAAGCTTCAAGATCGACTTTCCATTGACTTCTGAGCGATTCTCTCGCAGTGCATGGTAACGTTCCAAAGTACACAAGGGATGCAGCTGCCATTAATGTGTCTCCAATAAGGTGAGAATATTTTGTTTTTAGGTCTTGAGCTGTGTTTGTCCATCTTATTTTTTCACCACTCAGTCCGTCAACTAGTGCTTGAGAACGTTCTAACTTCAAAATCATAATTCGTGCAGCATCTTCAAGTTCAAATTTACATTTCATTTTGTTTTCATATTCAGTTCTGAGTGCCGATAGCTGTTCTGCTAGTTCAATGAGTTTTAGTTCTGCTTCACGTAATGACAGTTGTTTTTCACGCAACGATGTTTTGGCGTCTTCCATTTTTCTAATTTTCGGTCCTACGTATCTAGAAAATTCAATAACAAAACACAATAAGTGTTTTTTTTTTCGTTGTCACCAAACCCATGGAAATTTACAAAGGAGACTTTTATTATAAAAATCTTTTGTTAAAATTTGCTACTGATAGGGTGTAAAGATTAAGAACTGTAAAAACTCACTTGTAAACTTTTCCGTAGTTCTCTATAGCTCGCACCCACAACATGAGAGATTTGGCTGCTTTTGAAACCATTCCTATTTTATTTGGCTCGAGGTCAGGATTCCGCACATAACCACCAATTGTTTTGAGCGTTTTTTCACCCATGTTGTTTTTATCAAAGTTTCGCAAAATATCTAAAAATTTCTGTTCTCCCAATTGGCGTTTGGCTTCTACCCATGTTGGCTCCTTTCCTAATAGAATCATGACTGCATTCAATACCAGCTCCACTTTCACTGGCGGTCGACTGTAAGACTTGATCTCATTCATATCTTTCTTATTTAATGAATCAAGTGCGGCGATCGCAGCGTTCAATGCTGGCATTGCCTTTTCTAAATCAGCTTCAGCAATAGTTGCTAGTTCTTTGCATATTATTTCTTCCGCACCAATTGTTTCCCGCTTGATGGCCACTTCTTGATTTTGTAGGTCAGCATTTGCAGTTTGGACTTGAATATTGTCAATGAATTCGTCAAGTTCGTGTTGATATAAAGCTATTTGCTCTTGTTGTTTCTCCAGGTCTATCTTAAGTTTTGCAACATTGTGCGTTGCTTCTTGGATTTGATGTATACCATTGTGATATTTATTGTAGATATTGGATAAGCATTCTCGTTTTGAGTAAAAAAATCTGTAATTCAGTAATAGAAAACAGGTCTTGTGATATTGTGAATACATAGTAAAAGTAACCCCCCCCCCCCCCACCAAACTCGATATTGAAGGAGCCAAAGAGTTAGGGAGTATATTTGGGAAATTTGTATCTGAAAAAGGACGAAGTAGCCTATATTTCAATAGAGTTTAGGAGAAATCGAGAAATACCTTGTTCAGACTACAGACTTATAACATGTTATAATAATTACCAACATGAAAAATTTAATCAAAATATGCTTATAACATGTTATAACTGCTCATTCTAGCCAGTGTTTAAGGGAGAGTTTAGTGTATTTGAGCATGAACATGATAGACCGCCAGCGGTTACCAGATCACTTGTTATAACATAGAGAATCAACAGATGCAGCGAGGGTAAAATTTCGGTCATTCAATATGTACGACTTTGACACAATGAGTGAAGTTTGATAGTTTTGATATTTTACTTGCCTTTTGATGGTATGAAGAAGCTCAAAATACCAACAATCCAGCGCTTTTAAATTTTCAGTTGAGTTTCTCAACTCGTAGGCTACTGCCGAATGAATTCTTGATACTGCATCAGATACAGCAATATGCATTCGCTCTTCGGTGCTTTGTATCAAGCTCTCCCGTTTTCGTTGATGCTAGAACAAAATATGCGCTATATATATATAAATTATTTGCTGCTAAACTTACTTACATGCGATTTAGATTTATCAAGTAAAGGAACATCGAATACAACATTTTTTAATAGAAAGCATCCTGAGATCTCACTTAAACTTTTCTCCGACATTGAATGGACGCAGTTTGTTGTGGTTTTAGACAGCATCGAAGAATAGGTATTGTATATTTTCCTGTAAAATTACAACAAATTATTTTTTCTTGCCGTACGTAAATTTATTGGGTTTTTTTTTTTATCTAATTTCGAATGATCCAATGAATTGCACTATATATGTACATTAATTGTTTGGAATAGAATTTACAAAACATTATTCCTTCCATGGGTTTCCGAGATGCATTCTGGACCTAAAATGTCGCTAGCTTCAAGGGCTTAAAATATGTTATTTCATAACCTTACACAATTTGTCATATCGTAAATTGCATATAGTATTTTTCGAGTTAGTAATTACATCTTGGTACAGTATACATCTGATTTTGGAACTGGTCAATCTGAAAACCAGCACCCATTTTTTTCATTTATCATATCACTTTAAGACAATTATGAAGCATTGGACATTAATAGGAGATTTTTTTTTAAACTTTACTTTTAGCCGTTGGCTAGTTCATCTCTTATTAATAGGAGAATATAATGCAACATGCTTACCAGTACTGATATTTTTCCATAGGCACTATCAGTACAATGTGTAAATTTAATTTAATTTGATTCCATGAGCTCTCCTCCAAAGTGATACAACTGTTCCTAGAGCATGGGTAGTAGCCTGCAACGGTGTCATTCACAATAATGCTGTTCAGAATATCCATCAGGTGGATGTTTATTGCGTTGTATTGATCAATCCTTACAACGCACATCGTCGGGTTTGTCTTGCAGCATTCGAATAGATTGAACACTTTAGAATCCACAACTTCTTCGTCGTCATCTGGTTGCATGTCAAGCATTTGTATTGTAGTATTTTTCGAGGCACATGCCGCTATCTGGCAAATCGTTTCACGACCGCTGCCTATAGTACCCACTAAAACTATGTGAGCAGCAGCAGTTTTTAGGATTCTCAATACTTTGGATGCATGTTTTACGGCTTCATGATGGACAATCAGAGAGGAGTTGGGATCTACAGTAGTTTCTATATGTTGCCTGAAATTAAACACACATTAGACAGTGCACTTTGGTGGTGCTTTAAATATCAAATTACGCTAAAATATTGACATCAGTTACATCCTGATACGATGAGTCTTGACACAATATATCGCAAAAAATAGGGCTTTCATTTCCTGGACACAATCCATGTAGAGTTGCATCGAAAAACCTTGAAATTGTGTCGTTGAAAACATCGTAGAATATTTTGTAATCCGTTTTATCAAGCAGATCCCATGTTTCTCGGTAACATTCATGTATCCACAGCCTGAGAAAATTACTTGAATCAGCCAAGTTTGTTTTTTGACTCAATAAGCAACACTTTTCCAAAATTCTAGAGATGGTTTTCAAAGAAAATTGATATCTTGGCTTTACTGGTGTAGGTGGCAAGCGTGCTGACAGTTTTCTAATCAAATCTATGGTTGCTGACGGTAGTGAGCTTAAAATTGTTCTTGTAACATCAATCTGTGTGATGGACTTAATTTTTCTGTTAAATATTGATGCAGCATTTTCGTCGTTATAGTTCTCATGATTTATTATATGGAATTGGTTAAGAAGCCGTGCAAAAGATGTTCCGCATTGATGCAATGAAATCCTATTCCTCATAGCTGCAACAATTGAAGTTTGCTTGAGACATTGTGGATGATTGTGTTCATGCCATGATCGATGTTCAATTAAATGCCTTAAAAATTCACATGCGTCCACTGTTTGCAGATCAGCAACGTTATGTAAATCGTCGATGAACCATACTAGGTTTTTCCGTTCTTTGGGATACAAAATTTCTTGCGATATTTTTATGGAATGGTGTGCCAGAATACGCCTTAAGGAATGAACTGATGTCTGGTCCGTAAAGTTACTATAACAAACATTTTGTTCATCTCCATTTGTATTTGTTAGAATATTTTGAATTAGTGCGCTTTTTCCTACTGTTGTGTTGCTAGTTATCAACAACGGTTTGTGGCTCTTCATTAATATCGACGAAACAAAATGGTAAGGCATATTCTCCGATGTGTATACAAAATTGCTGTAAAAAACAAATATGGCATTGATAATGAAGAACTCAGAAATCAGTTTCATTTGTTTTTACCTTGAAGCTACATTTTTGTTTGAATGTTTTACGTAATGATCATTCCACGGTATCCAGCTCGATGTAGTATTGGTGATTAATATAAAGTATTGGAAGACATTACCCTTTAGCGGAAAGCTTGCTGTACTGTCTGAAACTTGTTCTCGCAATAAAACGTCATATTTCAGCCGCTCCGTTTCATTCATCATTCCTCCAACAGACCATACGGAGCAGAAGAAAAATAATTTTCTGATAGCATCCATTAGATTCAATTCATCTTTGAGAATTTTTTCTTCACTCCACGTGGAGAATATATTTTGGAATAATTCACAAAATGTGTGAATAATAGATGCGTTGGTATGTGGAAGAGTCTGGGAGCAGTTCTTATTTTTGAAGTTCAAAAATATTTCCAAATAGCTTTCCGTCAAGCACTGCAATTCATCCTTGATGCGAATTTCATTCCATATCTTAGTTTCCAACCAAATGCTTATTATTTGCCTCCATGTTACATTTTTGTTATCGACGTGGATAATTGTGTAGCTCGCTAACGATGCAGGTGTAGCAAATTGTAAGTCGACCGTTTCAATAATTATGTTGACATCTTTTGGTTCACAGAAAACCTTCAGGGAGTCACTTCTGATACAATTCTGATCAAATGCAATGCTTGCCAGCCACGATTCGTCCAGGAGGCTATCTAATATGATACATTTTTGTTTATGAGTTGTTGATTCTAGAATAGCTGTTAAAATTTGGTCGAATGCTTCCTTGTCCCATGACTTTCTATCGTGTGGCATAGTGAGTGTCATAGGATTTACATAGTACCGCTTGAAACATGTGCCTTTGTTTGAAAGTATTTGCATTGCTAAACTGATAAGGTGTGTTTTCCCACTGCAAACTTCACCGGTAATAATCAGCTGCCGGTTGATCTCCAAGGCAGAAAGTATTTCCTTTACTTTAACCTCTGAGTAGTTTGAGTGCTATGAATGAACAATTTTAATATCAATAATCCTGGAAATACTTGTTGTAGTTACCACTAGATTTAAGGACCGTAAAGCTGCTAGGATATTCTCAGCCAGATTCGCTTCAGCTTCATCGTTGCGTCTTTCATAGGAAAATATGGAATTTATGCAGTTTGTAAAACAATGCTCCTGGCTCTCCGTTAAGCTTGAAATAAATTCATTCTGAATTGAAACGATAAAGATAAACTTTGTTCAAACCATGCATTTTGTATGCAGTCAAGTCGCCCTTACACGATGATCAAGAAACGGCTGAGTTGAGGAGTTTTACATTTTAATGGTTCTAAAACAGTTTTTAAATTTATAAGGTCAGATCGCTTTTTTAGTAGTAGTTTTCGTCAAGTTTTAATTTTGACCCCAATTCAAGGAACTAGCTTAATTTTGGTTTTGAATTATCATAAATTATGTACGATAGTAAAATTTCTGGAGAATCTAAAGGGTAAACATCGAATTGATAATAATGAATGAAGTTCGTCGAGTAAAAGAGACTTGACTTTTTCTTCAATGTAAGTACATATATCACCTTCAGTGCGATAGCTACGATTTCGGTTTCCGTATATTTTTCCTTGCGAATTATATTTTTGGTTCGTCGTATTGCATTTTGTATTCTGTTGGGTGTCCATAAGTAATACTGAGATGAAATGAGTACTTGTATGTACTCTAGAAAACACTTTATCAAATATCCTAGCTTTAGATATTGTTTGAAGCCATAACAGCAGAGCAAGTTTTGTATGAAAATTATTTGGTCCGGTAATGTTGAATAAATAGGTCTCATAATAGAACGTTCGATTTCTGGTAATGGGTCGACACGACTGTTGATTGTTGCAAATATATGAAACTGAGTTAATGGTTTCGTATTCTTCAAGTCTAATACTGTCTGTTTCGATTTTTCCACAAATGCTTCTCGTATAACTGCATTTAATGCACTTCGAACTTGGGAAGATAATGTATCTATGTTCTTGAAACAAATCCATGCTTGCAGCTTCCTAATACCATTAATGCATCTGGTTACATCAGAAATCTCCCAGCCGGAGTCACAACTGAGAGTAACAAATAATGTAGCAATCTCCATTGCCAGTTGTTTGAGAAGTTGAAAACCACTGTCTCTATAGTATTCAATCAGATATGGAACATATTTCGATTTCACAATATTTGTTACTGTCATCAGCATCCGGTTTGAGTGTGGAGTAACTAAGATTGGTTCATCACATGTCTTACATTCATAACCATACGGAAACACGCTGGCCAACTGAACTACTGAGCAACTCTTTGTTTCGTCATTCCAGTATGACCGAATCTGTGATGTCCATTCAAAATCGGATATACTGGACACTTTTGCTTTGATCAGGTTTTCAATAACATCTCTCGTATTAATTTCAGCTATGAGCAAACTTTCGTACTTTTTTTCAGCCAACACAACTTCTACTGAGTTGATCGTACTAAGCTTTGAAGTCATCCACTCGTTCAACAGCTGTTTTAAAAAAGGGGCAATTCTATAGGACATTACGTAGAATATCGATCGTATAGACTTACCTTGTTATGCATTGTTCGCAGCATTTTGAGCGGTTTGAATTTCCCCAATAAGTTAGTTTGAACCAAAGCGTTTCTTATATGCAAGGTATTTTCAATATGTGTACTTTTGAGTAATGCTTGATATGTCCAACGGCGAAACCATCCATGTTCTATACGCTTGAAGTAGTTTTGTTTCAACTGAAGCAGACATTTGTGTAAGGAAACCTTCAACACTGCGAATATTGATTTTTCTATTTCTCTTATGACACCAATGGGATCTTGTACCGCTTCTACAATTATTGGTTTATTGAAAGTTATGTTCTCTCCTTCTACAGTTTGAATGCCATCGATTTCCCAACTCTTGTATTTTCGGGGCAGATCAAGTTGTCTGATGTTGGCATATCTGATGTTCTCAAACGTATAAAATAATATTTGCTGGATGTATTCAACATTAGTCGGAAAAGCAATCAATTTGATCAACAGAACGTCGGGAACCAAATATAGACGAAAACAAAGATTTCTTTGATTTTCCAACAGTTGTTGAAGATTTTGTGCCAGCTCATCAAATTTCTTTCGCAATATTTCAACGTTTTGCAGATGCGCTTGTGCTTGAGGACACATGTCGTTTAGTAAGCTTGCTCTTGTTATAAATTCAAGTAGATTTGACCATTTTTCGTAACACATCTTGAACGTTTGATTAAAATCGTTGAGATATTGGGAAGTTTCTGTTGTCTTGAAAATTTCGTATAGTGGCTTACATTGCGTTTCGATTAATATAAGTGCTTCAAGCAGGTCTTTCAAAAAATTTAGGTTCGTCTCCCAGCAGTTGATTTTTTCTTGAAATGGCTTTCTATAAGGTGACTGTAGCAAGCGATCGATCACAGTGATGTTTGTTTTTAAGTTCAAGAAACATTTTTCCGTACTCGTAATCTTAAATGTATCTTTTGATGATCGTTGTACATTGAATCTGATCGATAGTGCCGCATTTTCTACCGTAGCAAGCTCCACTTCAATTTCAAACTCCTTTTGAGCTGCATAACACAACTTACTTAACATTTCTTCGTAGCGGTAAAGTTCTCGATCAATCATTTCTTCAAAAGATATTATTTCAATATACTTGAAATCGCTAGAAAAGTTAATTTTATGTAAATATATTGTCGTCTTTTTCAATGTGATGCAATGTAATGCTGATGGACACGGGTTCGATTCCCAGCCTGATAAAGGATCTTTTGAGGAGGATTTTCTTCTTCTTCTATCTGAATGACCTAAATGACTTTGAATGTTTAATGACGCACTTGTTTGAAACAGTCATAAATATGGGTCGGAGATTCAGTGCACTAAGTGTCTGCTCAATTCAGTGAATGAATAGGTGTCAGGCCTAATCGATTTTAATTTATAAGTGTTTGAAAAATAAATTAGAAAAGTAGTCCAGATTTTATTTTTTGGAAAACAAGTAATATTAATGATAATGATGGTGGTAATACCTCTTGTCTCTAAAAGGGTTTAAGCTAGACGATTTATCTTTAAGATAATGAAGTATGACATCTTAACCACATTAGCAAACATAATCGAACTGGTTACAGTTACTGATATAAATTCGCTCTACAGTTTACAGTTGCTTCACGGCGATATAAATGTTAAAAATCTAAGGCATTCACTTTATAATCAACAACGCATCCTTTCACACAAAGAACCCTACAATCTGATGCTATCATAATTTTCAGCAATGTCAAGATTTTCAAGGAACCCTAGCCAGGAAACTTCCTACTAATTCAAGCTTGTAATTTTAATTGTAATTGTTCAATGCCTTCCATTAAGCTGGCATATCTAGAGAGCAACCCCCAGGCATATGCACATACTGTCCTTCCCGGTGCACTCGTCAGCTTGACTCTAGACCATCATGGATGGTTATATCCAGGTCCTAATTTTTTTGGCTCTTTATTTAAGAGATTTTTAGCCATAGGCTAGTTCATCTCTTATCCAGGTCCTCCCCTGGTGTTCATCCATGTTTTGATACATTAATGTATGCATGGTTAAAGCTAATACTATTTGAAATTATCTGAATTGTGAAATCCTTTTCTATATTACTCAAAGTGAAGTTCAGAAGCTGTTGTAGTAGTAACCTTCCTTTTTTTATAATATAAACGCAAATTTAATAGTGATTAAGTATTTAAGAAATTAAGTATTCTGCCATGATCAAGTAGCTGATTTGTAGGCACACTGTATTAATTTTATATCGTTGTTTGTAAATTAATTAAATTAAATTTAATTGAACTTTTGATTCCTATGCACACACATGAACGTAAAGTTTAATGCAAATATATATATATATTTATAAACAGAAAATACAGCAATGTGCCAAGTGTAAATTTACAAAGTTTTTGATGTGTAGTAGTCATGATATTTGTGCTCTATTTCACGTGCCATACACACCAATGTTGCCTGCTGAGCAGTTCATTGAGCATGACCATAAGACATCATCGTCTTGAACCATTAATAACTTTTGATGATCGAAAAATGATCTTCAGTAACGTTGCAGCTAAGAAAACTGTACTCAAGCTTAGCTATCAATTTATGTTCTTGAAAAATATGGTGTAACAGCTTACCACAAAGATATCAACAAAAAAAAATTAAGGGTTGTGTCCAAAGTACGACCGCAATTCAGAAGTACGAGATTATTTTGTGGTTGTGATTGTGTGTTTTATAAAAATAACATTTTTCGCGTTTCGTAATATTTGAACGGGATCGAAGAGGGAAATAATATTGTCTCACTGAAAATGTAAAAAATTGTGGTCAAAGGAAGGACCGATTGTTCAATCTCCACTACGTTGTACGATGCAAAAATGAGCTTCGATACGACATCGTTCTTAACTTAAAGCTCATCCCACACCTTCCCGATATCATTCGATCGACTCTTCACAAATGAGAGCGAGATAAATATGGAAAACCGCCAGTGGGATCAGATAAAATTGGGTAGGGGCAGATAGCTTAATGCAAAAACAGCTCGTTGAAGAGGTGAGTCTCCTTTCACCCCATCGCTGGTTGACAAGCCATCCTATGCGAGGAAAATGTTTCTGCACGACGGTAGAGTACTTGCCACGCCGTCCGAAGCAGAAATAAGCAGAGACACGACAGCAGTGCTGCTTTATAACTTTTCAGGTTCAAGCAAAATGATGTGCAACCAAGTGGTACTCGATTATGACGACTGGGTTTGGGAAAAATGTTTATTTAAAGAAAACAGTGATAAAATTATCATGTGTACCTTTTTCAAGTATTTTTTATAGAAAATTTGAAAAGTATTTATATTTATTAGCGAATAATTCAAATTTGTCACCTCCCAAATGTGTAACGTGTAACCTCTCAAATGTGTAACACACTAGTTTAACAATTTCGTTAGATAGAATCAAGTTGCGGATGTTGATTTTGCATCGTAAAATGACAACAAGTTCTCAACAATCAACGCAATGGACCCAAATGTCCGTTCGGATTCAAATCCAATAAGAGTCCTACTAAAACTAAAAAGTCTTAACTTGAACTAAAATGTCAGAAAGTATGTAGTGTTTGAATCTTACAGATTAGTCATTTCCTCCACTGCTCTCCAGTGACGTTCCTTCATATGTGATGATCTCATGTGTACCATCATTGAAAATGTTATGTGAAAGTTTTGTACTTCCAATTTTACTGCTTTGAAAATAGGGTATTCCATATCTTGAGTCAGCGTATCGTTTAAATTCAGAAAATGGCTGTAAAATGTTGAGTTAGTACTTTGGATGGAATGTAAAACGACTGTGCGAACCAATCGATGAAGCCTATTTTGTTTTCAATTTCTTCAATCTTCATTGTACCGTATTGCTCGCTAAATACAAGTTGCTTGGTATCTTGCCATTGTTTCACAAATTGCCAAATAAGCTTCATGCCTTCTAATTTCCGTCGAATGTCGACAATAACCTTTAAGATAAATAATTAATACATTTGAAAATCAACGGTTACCATATCAGTGATATTTTCACTTACATCCAGTGAATGATATTCAACACCAAGTAACGCAAGCTTTTCTTTAATGTCTTTTTCTTGAGCTTCCAGTTGCTCCAACCTATGGATTAGATGCTCGATTACAGAAAATGCCTCTTCCGGCATGCTGTCAATGAACAACGATAATGATGAATGTTTTTGTTGTGTAAGCTATGAATATAATAATTTATGACTTATTACATCTCTTCACTGGTAGGCATTTCTTCGTCCAGCATTTTCAGCATTTCTAGTGCATTGACTTTAAGGTCCGCTGCATTATTTGCCATTGATAGCTTAAACTGATTTTGGTAATTTTCTATTTGCTCCTTTACTATGTTCAAATATTCCGTGTACCGCTGCCAATTTTGATGAATGTTTCGTCGCAGGTTGTATGCCTCCGGAAGCAAATCTTGCACACACGCTTCTGAAAAAAATAAATGAAGAAACTGGAACATAGAATGCATTGCTTATTTTTATAGATGTTTCTTTACCCAATACATTGAAGTACTTTATAATAGTCTGAATCTCGTCTATTGAATCTGGTATGTTGTCGAAGCAGCTTTGATAGGTTTCCTCAAGCACTTTCAGATCCTTAACTTCTACTGGCTCGACACTCAGAGCATCCATGTTGTGGTTTAATTTATTATGAAACTCTTTATAGATAGAACATACCGAAGTTTAGATAGCACATCTTTCGAGTATACATGATATATCTTACCAATTATACGCCCGTATGATACACACTTCAAATATTCAATGTACTTCACTTGCCAGTCATTAATATGATTAGTAATGGCATATTTAAGCTTCAAAGCATCTACTTCCACGCATTTGCAAATTGTTGAATCTTGCTGTGTAGTTAGTTGATTTAGAAGTTCCTCAAATTTTTCAATATTCTTCTGGAATGCTTCTGAAGTCATATTTGATAGCTTGAACTTTTCAATGAAAACTTGTCGATTGATGCTCCAAAACGGACGAAACACATTCCACTTCTCTCTGAAGGTATGAAGTTCCTCCAAAGAGTTGGAAATTTCTCCATGGATGTTGGTTTCAACTTGTTGAAATCTACTATCTTGTAGGAATTCGTCGTAAAGATTGAAATCAGAATCAATTTGGAACCGCTGACACATGCTAGGAATGAATTTTATAATAGATGTGACTTCAGTGGGCAAACGTTTTAATGCCGTCTCAATTGATTCCAGTGGAGGTTGGTATGCTATACCTTGTTTGTTCAACATTAATTCAATGCTCAAGATTGGAGTTGACTCCCTTTGCAAAGTTGTGCGAATGTTATCCAGTGTGTTCAGTGAAGAATTAAACACGGCAGCTTTCAAAAGATGGTCGATTTTTTGGACATACTGTGCCCAGCTGTCTCCCATTCTTCTGAGGTTTGATCCTAGATTCTCATAAATACAGAAAATGTGCTTACTTGTCTCTGAATAGACTCGAACCAACTCCGAAATTGATGCTTTTTTCTGCGTTTTTATGTCATTCGTGAAATCAACTAGTTGCTGGGCATGTTCATGCTTCAGTTTGAACAGAAGCAAATTGTATATACTTTCCATCCAGTGAGCAATCTTGATGTTTTCTTTCTTGTACACTTGAATTACATCCAACAGCTCCTTGACGTTGACGACGAAATTGTCAATAAACTCACTGAGATCTTCCTCCCATGTAAGCTTTCCTCGCAGTGGTTCTAGTTTCCTCTCAGTTTGTTGAATCAAAGGTTTGAAAAACAAGCGCTCTTTGTCAGAGATAGATGACACCACGTTGTTGAAGTATAAAATGATTCGGATCACATTGTCGAATGTTAATTTTACGTTATCATTTTTTTCCATATCGATAAAACTCGGTACCGTGGCTCCTGATACTTTAAAATAATAAGATTCTTCAAATATCACAAGCATGCGTCTTTCAATGTGGCATTCTAATAAACCAGGACGCACTTGACTGCGGCAGATGAGATTCCTATGGTACCACGCACCAAGATCAGGGCTTATTGATTTGATCCAGCTGTCGTTATATGTTTTGAGTGCTATCTTCACTTGCTTTTCGCATGATTCAAACAGTGTGAGAATGTCATCACTTTCGCTGTATTGAGGCAAAAATCGACAGCGTTCTAATAAATCGTTGAGGCGACAAATTCGTTCGAATTTAATTTTAAGCAATGCATATTGTCCCGACTTTCGGGGAAATAATGTTGGGTAATGGTTTATCCCGGATGAAACAGTTTTTGAAAGTGTGGTAAGCTCTTCTTTAAAAGTATGCCAAATTTCCGAAATTTTCCTCATATAGCTTTCTTTGATGTTTTCTCTTTTGTAAAAATTAAGCAGAGTTATGAGCACATTGATTTTCTCCTCCAAATTTTCGGCCACAAGAAAAACGTTTGATAGTAAGTTTTCAACGATGTCGTCAAGATTTTTCAACATTTCACGAAAATTCGCAATATAGTTGTACCATTCTTTGTTGTTGATATCCAGGATCGATCCCGATACTGACTGGATTCTTTCAATGCCTGCTGTGAAGATTTCTTGTACCTGATTGCACTTATCTTCATACATTGCCGCATTGTTGCATGAGAACTGATAATTTTTATAAGAGCTACTACCGCTGTTTCTGCAAAAGAAAAATAATGTTAACCCTATGCTGTTTTCGAGTTGCTGATTAAGGTCAAATTCTCACTTTCCAAATATTTTCATCGCGTTGCAGATATCCAATGTATCATACAGTCTTTGCATGAAGGAGTCGACTCTATTGAAAATACCAGCATAATCTAATTTCCACGTGAAGTCACGCTTGAAATGTTCGAGCATCTAATAAACCGGACAAGGAAAACATCTGATATTTTTGTCATAATCAAAATTAGTTACTAACTTACCTCCTCGTAGATAATTTTGTACGATTCACAACAGTTAATTTTGATGTTACAAATGTCTATGCCATAATCGGGAGATCCAGAAAGAATCTTATCAATATCGATGCTTTGCATGCAACAGGAAACAATTTCGTTGCTTAAGTATAGGAACAGCTTTGTGATGGACTCATCTTGACGAAGGTGAGATGAGTCTAATCCTATGAAACGGATAATGTTCATAACATATATGAGCTGCGAACAAAGGTCATCCTCATTGTCTAGAGAGCGAATGGCGAAACATGGATCAACCAGCAGCTTCAGGAAAGGAATGTTGGATTCAGCCATTTCAATTTCTTTCATAAGATCGTCCAAAACTTCTCGTAAAGGTTTGGTGTAAAGCGACTGGGACAGGTCCAGAATTTTCAAGATGTGTTGTATGTTGGCACTTCTGAATTGACTCTGAATCGCAGATAGTATTTCGTCTGGAATTAATAGGACTTAGAAAATTGTAGAACTTGGACATTGGTTGACATACGACGGTATAACCAAAAGCTGTACTCATCTGACGGACAGATAAGGTCATTGGGAACGAAATGTTGTGTGTCGTTGATGGTAGATCGAATTTGACTGGTCCAATCGATTACCACCGCTTCTAGGCGCTTGATTAGTGTTCGATTAAGGACAACTTCTTGAACTTCCATATTTGAGCCCTCACGGGGTACATAGAGAAGAGTAAAGCCGGACAACTTGTAATGAATATCGGTTAAATAGGTCATGAATGTATTGTATCCTGCTACTACATGGGCTTTCACGTTTTCCGACCACTCAGTATTAGATAGAATAAGTGGTCCATACACCTGTTCTAGCAGTACCAGTAATGATCCTTCAATATCGTTGTGTAATGTTCCAAACATTAGATCATCGTGGAATCGTTCGATTACATTGAAAAGTTGATCGGGTTCTCGCATGAAGTACATGATGTCATTGAAAGCACACGTCGGAAAGGTAAGCGAAGCGGAAAGCAGGTCCCCATCGTAGAAAATGAATAGCAAAGGGTTATCGACATCGGTCAGCCACAGTTTGATAACTTCCGCCACTTCGTCATTGAAATCGTTTTCGTCGTAGTCAAAAAGATAGATCATATTACGGAAGAATCCTAGGAGCGTTTCAAAATCTTCATCGCTATATGCCGGTTTATCTGCTTCTTCCTCGGCTACTTCCACTACTTCTACTACCTTCTTTCCTGTTTTTTTTTTCAAAGAGTAAAATATGCTGGATTTGATCTAACGTTAATTTATGGCACACTAACCTTCATCACTAGAATCCGAAAAGCTAGACAACTCGCTGATATTATCCGGCACTGGATCGCGTCCTGCATTATCCGCCATCGTGGAATCGATATGTGTGAACACTTGGTAAGATTGTTTGAAGTGAATTGATTGGAAAAATAACAGTAACCTATCGAAAACCGTTGTCAGGGCTGCTAGGTTGCTAGGGTTTTTGTATAATGTAGTGTGACATTAAATTATTGTTCCGTGATGGATCGAACAATGTTCGTTATTTTGTGCAGTGTTTCGTTCCATATCATTCAAATCTCAGTCGAATGCTCAATAGTTGTACTAGAAGATTTTATCAAAGCTCATTTGCGTACCGTTGATGACATCATTGAGAGCGAGCAAATCAGTATTATTATTTATTTGTTTCAACTTTTCGGGCTTCACAATATTTTGGTTCACGTGTTCGGAGTGTATTTAATCCACAATGCTGTTAGACTTCCCTACGACCCATATTTAGCATTTTTGTTTAAATGTTGGTTGTGCTTTGCTACGGAGACTTGCCTTATTCATGCTGTGAAAGCTGTATTTAGTTTACAATTAATGACCGAGGTTGAGGACTACTCTGTTAATTCGCTTTTGAGTGGTATCGAGCGATACAATTTGGATATGCATTGGAACGTAGTATGGAATAAGATTCAACATTCCCATTCTTGCTGTGGTGTGACCGGATACAAAGATTGGCAAAACATTGTTTGGCGAAGTTCTGTCGAGGAACGTTATTTTGTCAGGTACTTAATTAATACTGCACACAAAATGTTCAACCATGTACAGAATAAATATCCCCTATAGTGTGAAACGGGCAAATAGGACTCTCGTTCCATCCAGCTGCTGCGCGCAATCATTGCTATGCGACATTGTTTTACCGGAGATATTTACTAATACAAGTTTACTGGAATTGTCGCATCACAGAGAAAATATCGTCAATCAAAACGGATGTTTGCATCCGTTAATCTGGAGAACTACTACTATGTTCCAACTGGTAGCCATATTGTGTTCAGTACAGGTTATCATTCAGGTTAGTTCCATGAAATATGTTACTAAATAATGTTTTAGAATTTTTTTTACAATGCCTTTACAGTTTGTAATATTTCTTCTGATCAGAATAACATTCGTATGGGATCGTCAGTACATGTAGACGCAAATAAACAGAATATAATAAAGTGCCGCTCTCAAATACAAGCACAGCATTTGTTTAGAGATTACAAATAAATTAGTCGACAGTTTCAGTTCACGTTTGATAAGCTATTGTCTGCTTCTTTATTCTATCACAATCAGTTTGCTAGTTGCTTTCATCAGAATAGGTAGCAATCATGTCGTACGAGTACATCGAAATAGGCGATCCAGATTTTTTGGAAAATCATATCCAAAATGAAGAGCTCGACTATATACTAGTGAGGAAACGATCTTTAGAAAATGTTCCAATCGACCATTGGAAACCACCAGCTTATTGTTTCACCCGAAGGTTAATATGTATTGTTAAATTATCTATAAAGATAATACAATATCTAATTAATACTTAAAATCTACAGGTTTAAAAACTTTGAAAGTGAATTAACCAATTTTGAGGTAAAACACGATGATGTTTGGGTTGCATCTTATCCAAAAAGTGGTACAACGTGGTGCCAAGAAATGGTGTGGCTGATATGCAACGGTCTTAACTACGATGCTGCCAAGACTCAACATCTGAGAAAGCGATTTCCATTTTTAGAGTATGTTTTGCAGTAGATGGATAAGTATTGACGAAACAACACAATAATCATTTACTTTTTTAGCATCAGCTTGATACACGATTTACCCGACGGAAGAAGTTCTTTTCAGAAAGTGGAAAGTATGACATCTCCAAGGTTCATTAAAACACATTTACCCGTGTCAATGTTACCGAAGCAATATTGGGACGTTCTTCCGAAAACGGTTTACGTTCACCGAAATGTGAAATCTGTAGCTGTTTCGTATTATCATCACTCCAAAAATTACTTCTACCGTGGAACGAAGGAGCAGTTTGTCAGATCGTTTATGAAAGATTTACAATTTTATTCGCCAATACATAGTCACGTGATTGGCTACCACTCATTAAAAGGTTGTGAAAATATTTTGCATTTGAGATATGAAGATATGAAGTTTGATCTTAAAAAAGTAGCTGAAAAAGTTTGTTCATTTTTTGGACATTATTATAGTAATACACAGTTGGAGGGACTGTGTCAACATTTATCGTTCGGTTCAATGAAAAACAATGTATCTTGCAATTATGAAGACGAAACTGATGCTACATGGATAGATAAAGAGCCAGATGATAGATTTATTCGAAGAGGACAGGTGGACAGTTGGAAAAGTGAATTAACATCCGAATTGAATCGAGATCTTGATGAGTGGACTAAAACATCAGTGAAAGATAAAAAGCATCTAAGTTTATTTTTTGAGTGAAAATTTATATTTCTCACATATATTTTATAAGCTGTTTACGTAAAATAGCTTGTATGAGCCTAAATACAAGATGTAATGTATGTTATAAAAATGTAACAACTGAAGGCAACTGGTTTTAATTACTATTTTATTTTATTATTAATAATAATACTAGAAGAGTGACGAGTTTCTATAGTTAATAAACTTCACTGGGTACTGAAGCTATAGCATATTGCACATTGGTATGAGTCTGCTGCGCTCGTTGATCTTCATTAGCTCAGATTGGTGGTGGACCATTCGGGTAACGAAGCATTGGTTCAAGGCTTCTCGCAAAGTTATTAGTCAGCGAGCATGAGTAATCTTCACCATGGGGCATGAGAGTAGCAACACCTAGTAGAAGCAATAGCATTGCCTGAATAGGAAGGGACGCTCGTAGCACCCGGCCCAAAAATCGATAACTTCTGGTCAATACTGTCGTATTTATGTGATCCTCTTCGCTCTCGCCTTGAGTACTGTAAATAAGATTGTGAAGTTAGTTATATTTCACATGTCAAAGTATCTGATTTATAATGAAGTTGGCGATGAATTTGAATGAAAAAAGTGCTTAGCGAAAAATATTATCTAGATAATTACTTTGCTTCATATGTTGCTACGTGTGAGAACGATCCGCTACCCTCTCGATTCTACATAAAAAAGAAAAGAAGAAAAAAATTATTAAAAAACATAATTAAAGTAAGAGGCTTTAATACTACATATATAAATTATAAATTCAACGTGTATGAAGGAACATAACATTTCAAGTTACTTAATTTTATGTCTATTTTATTTTATTACGCTTAAATATAAATAAAACCATTACTGACTAGGTCTCCAATGCTTGTTGCTTGTTGTTAATGGAAAGCTTTCTATGCTAACACCGTTTTGGCGATTCAAATACTGGATTTTCATTTGAATCATGTTTTACAAATAATGGTAATGTTTTTGCCATTCATTCGTTTCGGAACATCGGATACTAACTCTTAACATTTCAAGGCAGAAAACGGTCGCAAGTAGAAGACACTGTAATGAAGTCTAAAACAAACCGCACCCATAAAACGAGAGACTCGGAAGCTATATGATACACGGACGATTCATCGCATTGGATTCAAGATTCATCTCCTTAGATATTATTATTTTTGACGATTTTCCTTATATTATCTACAACAACATTCGATTCTACACCGCCGATCAGATCGACTCGAAATTGAGTTGACTACGACTACATTTTGCGTAAAGTTGATATACTCACAAAGTGAGTAAATTTTTTTATACTTTTCCGGGGAAGATCTGCTAGAAAATCGACGCAAATTTTAGTCCGTTTTGGATTATACAGTGATCCTTCCATATATACAGTGAATGGTACCGTCCACGCATTTACGGTATTTCTCGGCTTTCCTTCAACCAATTGAGTTGATTGACACTAATAACATACACAAAATCAGCATAATTGGTTGAAGGACAGCCAAGAAAATCCTTGTTTTAAGCCTTATTGATGACATTATCTACCAGAAACTTCGTTACCAACATAAAATTTGGCACTTCTGTACTTTTACAAACCGTGTAGTTTGCTTGCACCACAAGCGACGTACACACTAGATTAAAGGAGTATAACGCTTAGTTACCTCAATGGTACTACAATCATGTCTTTTTTTTTATATCTTTATTAAGGAGACTTTCAGCCGTTGGCTGGCTCGTCTCCGAGATACAATCATGTCTGTCAAAGTCACCACTAGGTTATAATCTGGGTGATGCGGAGTGATATTTTTTCAGTGTTGACAGCGTTGAAATAATCGATTCATCGCCATCAGTTTGCAGCAAGCGCTGACAAACTGCATTTAACATAAAGCTCGCGTGACTCCCAAAGTGTTTTTTCCCGTTTGTACATTGATGGAAGAGAAGACATTTGAACCTTTTTAGAGAAATTATTTTGATGCTTGGCTCACATTTTCTCTAGGTTCATGCCTTCATAAATAGAAATTATTCGAGGTGAACTTGAATATTTTGTAATTTATGCACTGCAATACTTGTATTCGTTTCGAGTAAAATATTGGTTCAGCTTGACAGATCGAAAATGGTCCATCTCCTCATCACCCAGGTAATAATAAATGTGTCACATTCCGGAGATGGACCAGCCCAAATTTACATATAGGAATTATTCACAATAAAATCAAATATATTATATTAACAATATGATCCACTCTTTCGTTAAGCTTGCGAACCGAATTTTTAGCAATGAAAGCGGCTCTGTGACCAAAAAGGCTACTAATGTATTTTTTTTTTTTATCTTTACGAGGGGTAAACCAAATAAAAATTTGTATAATATTTGTGGTGATTTACTTGCGCACCCCTACCGCGCTCTGCAATATTTCCAATGACATTTGTAGTCGTTTAACGATCGTCACTCAGACGATCGAACCGGGTAGCTGAAGGGCTCGAGTAAATAAGAGAATACACCAGACAGGCATTCGGTTCTGAAAAGTCGAGCTAGAAAGTTTAACTTTTAATTCGAAAACCCGTGTATATAATAATATTTTAAATGAAAAGCATATTATGTTATTTTATGACAACAGTGACACGTAAGACAAATTTTCATGTAATATACAAAATGCAGTTAATGAAAATTATTTTACTATTATTTTTGAAAAAAAATTGCTTAATTTGCGCCCCTCGATTGTTGCTGACCTTTTCCTACGCTACACACTAATCCAGTTAATAAGGTTTTACTGAGTTTTTTAATTGCGGAACTGTTCGGTAAAAGTTTAAAGAAAATTTAAAAATGAGAAAATTTATTCCGAACTTGTACAGACTTAGGTGTTAGTAGACTTCATTTAATGATTGAAAATATAAAAAAATCATTTCATTGATTTCTTACGGAATCTTTGAATTTTCACCGACTTTTTCAGTAATTCACCCAGTAGTAGTAACCAGTTAAATAATACTGACTCCTGTAAAATAATCTAAGTGTGTATATGGTACGTTAAGCAATAAGGTCTCCATTGCAATGTGTGGAGAAGTCATGAATGGATCATATTGTTAATATGATATACATATTTGATAAAACCCTTGACCGTTTTCTTTCCAGCTGCGTACCAGACTTGAGTTATGATGTGGAGGGTTCTTCTTTGGCATGTCTGTTACTCTAATAGTACGTTCAAACTATAGCTGATATCATGTAATATAGGCAAATGGCAAATTTTCACCGGAAATCATTTGTATGACTTTTGATGTCAAGATAGCCCATATTACATGATATTAGCCATAGTCTGAACGGACTTTAATACTTATTTTTAACATTATTTCCTACGTTGGTTCAAATACAAAATCACACTAAAGGGTGCTGAAGATAAGTACTGTAACACGGAAATAATAACATACCTTTTCTGAGCTGGTTGCTGATGACGAAGCATTCGTGTCGAGCGGTCGGTCGATATCTATTGCTGCTGCAATTTTTATTGTGTACATCTCTACCAACCTTCGTATCGAGTGGAATCGTAGCCTCAGATCGGTCAACCTTTCAATGGAAATTAATCTGATTGTAATACTTGAAGGTGGGTTTATTCAATTCAAAATCTTACTTGGCATATATTTCATCAAACTTTTGCGATTTATGTTCATCCAAATATTTTGTTAACTGTGATGTTGTTTCTTGTAAACTCACTACACGTGGTTCGCATCGCACTAAATCATTCCTGAGTTCCTTGAAAATCTTGTATTTCCTTTCAATTATTTTCTTATCGGTAGTTAAGTCGATAGGCTCTGATGATTTGATCTTGTTCTCTGTTTGCTCTAACCAGATGCATAGCTCAGTGACTGTTCGGTGAAATTCTTTGTTTTCCATCAAAGATCTATGGAGCTGTGCTTGCCAATGTGATGCTTGATTGCACACCTTATCCCATCGTTGGTTATTACTTTGCAGGCGTTCTCTCAATTTGATGGCCTTTTCAGTGTCTAGTGTGTGGGTGGCTAGGTGCTCTCCAACTATATTCAACGACTTTATTATGCTTTTATGACTATCCAAATCCAGCAAAAACTCGCGGTGATCTTGAATGAAATCTTCCAGAGTATCAATATCGTTTGGTGGCTGTGTATGCTGTGACTTTTGAGTTGTTTCAGCCATTGATAGCCACTGTTCGAGCCGCCAAAGATCGTTATCGATTTGTTGCCAATTTCGATTTGTGCATAGAGGGCATGTTAAGTAATCTTCGTTGCTGAAATATTAGCAGAATATTAGCGGATACGTGGAAGAGGAAAAAAAGGCGTGCAATTATAAATTTCGATCGAACAGAATCGTCCATACGAACTTCACTAAATGCACTGACAATTACTGTGATCGAAATAAAAAATTCACCCCACTTTGAAATTATGAAAATATTAAAAGCAAAACGTGAAACACTTACTGCATACATATGAAGTTATAAGATATAGGAAACGACCTGAACAAGAAAAGATGGAAAGCGAATGAAAGAGAATTAGCTAAAGCGTGATGATTGTTAATCAGCAGAAGTAAAATGTTTGCAGAGCAGATTGCAATAGTTAGAAACTTTTTAGTACAGTATTGGAAAATGTTTGAAAGCTTACCTCATTTCTTCCAATTTTTGCTGTTTTGTGTGCCATTCTGATTGATATAATGTATATTTATCACATTCGTCTTTTACTAAATTACTCATTGCATCTTCATCATCACAGTGGCATTCCGATATTAAAATCATGTTAAGATGCTTGATCAATTCGATGGAGGACTCACAGGCTGACGATGCTCTTGATACTGTTTGTGTAGATTTCATGAAATTACTAGCATTTATTTCTGCAATCGAGGTATTTAGTGCTGCTAGGTTTGATTCTGTTTCCGTAAGAGCTGTTTTCAATTGATACTGGTACGCATCTTTAGCAGTAATGGATAAAGCAGGCAGCGTGTCTACTTGTACAGCGTAATCTCGCTCAGCGTAATCTTTTCCAGCGTCAGTTTTGAAATGTTGTTGAACTTTATGCTTTCCTGATTCTTCGTTAGTTTGATTTACCAAAGCATCCAAAGAGTCCTTTATGCTGTTGGCAAGTTGATGATATTCTAATATTTGTTGTTGTACTTTCAGTGACATTGTACTGTTCACGGGTAATGATCGTACCAGTGAACTGCCAACTTCATCTTGCATGTCAAAAAGATTGATGACAAATCGTAGTTCATTGTGCAATTCACGTAGGTGCTTCAATTTGGTTTCCGGTGTCTCTTCAGTTGTAGTCTCTTGTAGGTGTTTAATGTTGGTGACTTGAACATCAATTTGCGTTAAAGCCACAATGATGTTTTCGTATTCACTATTAAATGTCAAGTAAAGGTTTCTCAGTTCTTCGGTACGTGATCTGATGACTTTGAATTTCCATATGAGCTTTTCCCAAATTAATAGCATTTGCTTTGCTGTCACTGTGATATTGTGCATGTTGGCCCGTTCAATACGATCGTGTTTATTAATTGAAATATACAATCTTCTAAGGATGTGTTGAATCGGCTCTTGTGCAATCATATCAGTATGTTTAGTAGTAAGCTCTTGCAATGTATTGCAAAGGGATACGTCATCCAGCACTTCTCGCTGATCATCGAATTCTTCCAAGTATTTGTTGGTCTGAATAAGCCAATCGTGATGTGACTCGACTATTTGTTGTATTTCTACTAACATGCTCCAGATTGACAACATGTCCTGCTTTCTTCTGCTAGTATTCATGCAGATATTCTTCCATCTCATTTCTAAATGCTTCACTTCATGGTTGATAAGTTTACGGTCAATATGTACATTCCAAGACTCAACGTCTGTGAACAGCATTTCGCACAAATTGAGAATCTCTGCTATGTTTACACTGTTCCCTTCAATCGATCGCTGTAATTTTTCATAATCATCTAGAAGCCTATCCAAACAATTTTTCTCAACGTTCTCAAATATGAATGGTTGTTTCAGTTTACACTCGATTTTTGTCATCCATGCTCTAGCGTCATTTATCCGCTGCTGCAACGATATAGTTGTCGCGTTAACTTCAGATATCTTCTGAGTGCGGTCTTGGCATTGGCGCAAAAGTTTGGCCCAAGTATCATTCAAGTGCTTCAACTTGGATATCACTTCCGTACGTTCTTCACCAGCTGGTAAGTTTTCGGCCAAATCATTTCCAATCACGTTAATCCAGGCTATTTCTGATTCTTTGCAAGATACTTCTTGCAAAAGCATATCTTCCACAGACTTGATGAAAGTTGTGTCCTCTTCGCACATTTGATATTTGTTGGAATCGTTCATTCGTTTTTCGAACTCCATGATCCATTCCATCAGCAAATTATATTGTTTTTGGAACAACTTCCGGTTTTGTATTCTATCTTGCATTTGTTTTACTAGGACTGAAATAGTTTGCTCAAGTTTTTCAAAAAGCTGCCATAGAGCGTATATACGTTTGTTGTTGAGTTTTGCGTCAAATGTGCTAATACAATATTGCAGCTCTTCTTTGGCAACATTTATTTTTAGCAATTCCTCTTTGATACATTCCAATCGTAGCTGTTCATTCTTTAGCATATTTAAATGATGTTGAGATGTCTCTGGATTGTCACAGTTGAAGCTTTCCAAGCATTGCCCCAGCTCGTTTAGGTTAAATTGAATCTGGTTGCACTGAGAGTCAAAGTTGTTGTACAACTCCAGTACACCTGTTAGGAATTTTCTCCATGTTGTAACATTATCTTTTAGCTTCGAGATTTGCTGTGTTATCCTACCGTGATCATTTTTTATAGCTATACTGGTATGATCGTCAACGGGATACGATATTAGTTGCGTCATCTCTTGGTTCATATTGGAGAGATCCGTTTCAAGTTCAGGGAAACGTTTTTGCAATCGGTCTACTTTGGAAATCAATTTTGACAACTCTTTTAAGTTGATGTACTCCAATTGAAGAGTATGTTTCTCAGCCTCAATGCTCGTGACTGCATCTTGCAATGCATTTTTCGCTGAATTGTATTTTTGCCAATGTTGCAATTTTTCTTCAATTTCAAAAATCTTCTCATCGATTTTCTCAATGCAGTTTTTGTGTTGGTGATTTAAGACATTGTAGGTGTCTTCTAGACTGGTTTCGATTTGAGACTTTTTCATAATTGTGATTTTCCACTGTCGAACTAGATACCTCATTAGAGTATATTGATCTCGATATTGTTGTAGCTTCGTTTCTTCACAGGGTACTTCTTCGGCTAGGAATATTTCGACCTGTTGTAGATAATTTTGCCAATATTGTAGTAAGCAGGCATCATCAGTTTGCAGTACTATTCGTTGAAGCACATCTTGGTGTTGTTGGAACGTATCTTGCAGTAAAGAATATGACAAAGAATGCAAATTTTTGAAATCCATTTGCGTATTAGTGACGGCACCGGTGCTTGCTTTATCAAGTGCAATTTTCTTCAAACGAGATTCTGTAGCGCTAAGACTTATCAAATATTTCTGAAGATTCACAATTTGATCGCCAAGCTCGGAATCTGGGAGTTGACTTTGAATGCTCTGGAAAATAAAGAAAAAGGAAAAAAAATATGTTTATGATTATGATTTATGAAACAAATAATTTTATCAATAATCGATTATACACAGTCTTTTGTGTACTTCTTTATCGAGTATTAGTACAAGACACTGAAGAAGTCTGCACATTGTAGACGAATCTTTCTCTCTCTCTCTCTTTATACAGGTATTCCGCTAAGACGCCCACATTCATCAGGGTACTTCTTTATATTTACTGAGGTGCATTAATTTGATTAAATTATTTGCAAACTAATAGATCACGCTCCAGTTTTATTAATACCCTAAAATATGACCGTACTTATACCCAGTTGTTCCCTATTTTCATTAATCAATCCAATTCATAAAGCTCAAAATGTTCATCCACAATTGTTACTCAATCTGGAAAGGCTGTCTGCCTGCTTACAGTAAAACAAATAACATAAACTGCATTGACAACTCCGATGGAATCAATTAATTCAACACTTTTAACTGTATGCCGTAAGAGTGCATCGTGCATTACTTTGGGATCAAGGCGATCCTTTATGTCACTCTGCTGGTTCTGAGCAGGCATGGAAAATTTGCCTCTAACTTGTTTGAACAACAGAATTCCGTATAATTATATTTGTAACTTTTGTATAGTTTGACATTAGCTACAACTTTTGTCAATAACTCAAATCTGTATCTCTTATGCACGAAGAACCAGAGCGAACAGAACTCACCACTGTTTTTCAGTGAATGTAATTGTAATAATGTAATGTAATAATTGTAATAATATAACAATGTAATAATGTACAACATTTTTATATTTAAGTATTTAATTAATTCTTTTTGGATTAATAAATCAGTCTTGTTCTACCATCAGACTCGGCTTCTATTGTGCTACCTATCAGAACAACACAACCAAAATAAATCTTTAGACTTGGCATTGTGCCTCTGATCCGCAAGAGCTATGCTAGCACCCTGGACATGGTCCGTTGGCAGAACCAGGTGTTTATAATAGGGTGCTCTCGAGTGCAAATGGCCATAATGATTTTGATTCGTTTTGCTGAACGTTCTATTTACAGACCCGATTTTGTCAGCCCCCTTTTTGAAAATCTTTACTAATGTTCTATGAAACCCATCAAGTTTTAAGAGGTCTTATTGCATAAAAGTTTGCCTTAATCTTGAAGATCAATGAGAACGATTTGGAATTATGTGAAATTATTGAAAGATAAAAGTCTGATGCACGAAAGACAAAAGTCTAACGACCCCGTTAGTTTCAATAGCTATAACCTCAACTAAACGGCGCACATATTTAGTTTTTGTTTAACTGGTACCCCTGCGGAATCCCATTGGGCACCTCTGTAGGGGTACCAGTTAAACAAAAGAAAATAATTTCTTATCGTAGAGTAATCTCTTACCTGTTGTAGCTGTTCGACTATTTTATTTGAAGTTTGGTACGTTGTTTGTTTTAGCGTTTTCTCCGATTTACGTAAGGTTGCATCGTTCAATTGCGATACAATACCTTCTTCAATATCTTCCAACTTTTTCGCAAACTCCTCAATCTCGGACAACATAGTGTTACCTACATTGAAACCAACTTGTCCATTTATGTCATCAATGAATTGTTTCAGCTTATCCAAGTCTTTCCTCTTCCCGGCTACCAAATCTTGATAGCTTGCCAGCTGTTGCAAATTATCGATATTTTTCAGCGCGTTGAAATCCGAAAACTCACTGGAAACACAATCTCTTACACTTTCACTGATTCCATTGTACAGTTCCCAAAGCTTAACTGCCTTTTCATATCGATGACATAGATCTTGCAAGCTTTCTCGGGTGCTCTGCCATACAACAGAAATTTTCTGGACTGTTTCCTGAATTTCCAACGAAACACTAGCTTCCGACGTTTCAATTAATGGTTGAGCAATATCTTGCAAGTCATCAATTGTATGTTTTCTGTTTTCAATCTCAATGAGCAGGGCCTACAAAAGGAAAATGGTTGGATTATTATGTAAATTAGAAGTTTGTCCTATTTCTTAACCATCAGGATGTACTTGATAGAAAGTGTAGTTCTGATTTTACATTCAAAATAAATAGCAAAGCAGATTGTTTGTTCATCCTGGTAGTTCAGAAAAAAAAACCTTTGCAACTTACATCAAGCCGTTCAGTAGCTTTCAACAAGCGCTGATAGTCAGCAGTTTCTTGCAGTTGCAGCAATTCCATCATGAATTCTGTTTCTTGAGTATGATTTTGGATAATTTCCATCTGGCAATGGAATTTATTCCATAGGGACAGACGATTCCTCAAGAGAGTCATGTTATTCTCACATTTCCGTTCAAGGTCACTATGAATGTTTTGCAGTATGGATAAATCTCTCTCTGTTTGCTGTGGTGACACAGTCACCTTCAAATTCATCGGCAAAGTGTGAAGCATTTGTCTTAGTTTCATCATCTCGTTCCAACAATCACTTAGATCAGATTGACATAGTTTACAATCTTCCAGTGATTTTCCAACATCTGGTCTTCTTCCATTGACTTTTGTTGCACATTCATCTAATATCCTAGTGATATCAATGAAACGTTTTTCTTGCTCTTTGATACCATTTTCTATGTTTTCCAGGCGTTTATAGAAAGTTTCAGCAGCTTCATGTTCCTCATCGATTTGGTGAGACAGATTTCGAGAGATCTCGAATATTTCAGTGATTTTTTCCACGTCAAATTCTGATGCCAATGCAATCTGCCCTAGCTCATTATCAATCAAATGAATGCGTGTCTTCAACATTTGCATTTTTTCCAAATACAAGTATAGGTCTTCTGGGGACTTGAGAACTCCTTTTATGCTGTTGAAAATTATGTTGATATCATACAGCTCTTGCTCAATGAACGTTATTTTATCATTGGGGGACGTAGAATTAGTTTTGATGGATTCGTAAACTTGCTTCTGAATGTTAGATATCTTTGTAGAGACAGCAAGCCAGTTTTCTAACATTTGTCCATGCAGTTGACGATGCAGCTCTTCATCAGATATGTTGATGGTGGCTAAAGCATGATCCAGCGAATCACAAGCTTTTCCGTATACTTTATTGTTCATGACTTCGTATTGAGCTTTGACTTCCCAAAATTTGCGCATATCCTCAACTGGAGTTTCAGCAAGATTTTCCGGAATGGTGATTGAGCCCAAATTTTTATAGGCTTCACAAATCCATTCGTGCAGCTTATCGGCACAGATATTATATCTATTCCAGTGGTTTTTGAATTTTCGCAGTTTGTTGAGATAAAGTGATACCTCTTCTTTCAATTGCATAACCACTGTCAAAGCTTCACTACTGTCCTTTTCCAATACTGGAGCACATATGAGTTCTTGCATTTTCTTAGCAATTTCGTTGTGTTGCATCATTTTCGTATGATGGCAGAAAATATCTTGGTTCAACGACTCATATAATTTAATATATTGTTCAAAATCTTCGGATGACACATTTCGTAGATCCGGAATGCGTTGTTGAGCAACTTGTAGCCATTGAGCCTCATCACGCATGTCTTTCTCAAGGACTGTCCATTTGGAAGCTGCTTGCGCTAATCGGGCGGCTCTGTCTACTGCTCGCTCCAAAATGTTGCTTGTTTTGTTGTACAATGCTGAATGTAGTTTGGCATGCTTCATACGAGTTATTGGATCCAAGTTAGATTCCAGCGATTCTAGAATCATCTTGCAATGGCTGAGGTTGACGAAGAATTTACGATACCGTTGCATTTCCTCTTGAAGCTCTTGCAAGCTGTTGGTAGAAATTTCGTTATCTATGAAATCTGCAGCGGCAGATGCGATGTCTTCGAACTCCAGAAGTGTTTGTTCGTATTCTTCAGCTAATCCATTTAGTTGATGTAGTTTATTTCTCTCTATGATGACCGTCTGTTGAATTTTCCTTGCAATCTGATCAGCCCTTAGTAGATCATCTTCCAAATACATTTCATTGGCGTTATCCTTGAGATTGCTAACTTGTTCAAATATCAATGATATATTTCTCAAGCACTCTATAATGCGATCTTCAACATTATCTAGACTAGCCAGCTTGTCGTGTACGGAAAGTGAAAGGTCGGGGATAATGGAATTGAGTTTTTCGTCGATTTCTTGTAATTGGCTATTGATCTGTAAAAGCGTGCCTGAAAACTGGTGTCTTATGTTATCATTGATGCGTGTTTCTTCTTCTTTTGATGCGATGGTTGTCTCCAACTCCTCGATGCTGTTTCTTGTTTGTTCTAAACACGCAGTAATATCTTGCTTGGGAGTAATATTATTTTCTATCGCGTAATTGACAAAGCGTGGGATTGTGTCTGACATGTATTGCAACCTTATTTTATACACATTACATAGCCCAACGCGATCTGTTTCATTAAGTTGTGGTAGGTGGTGTAATCCTACAGCAATATCTTCCACTTGTTTGCTTGTTGTTTCGAGCACGTCGAAAAGAATTTGCTGCTGCAATTCTGTATTATGACGATTTCCTTCTAAAAGAGAAATTGAGCTATCGAGGTCAAGTGGGAAATCATCGGTGATTAAGGATTTGTAAGAAAATCCAGGACCTTGAACGGATTCGCTGGTTGTTGTTATAGAATATATTTTCGGAAGCATAACAGCCATCTCATTCCACGGTACTACCTTATTCTCAGCAAAACTTTTGTGTGCTCTGATTATTGAGAAGTAGTCGGTTAAGCTGATACTCCACGATTTATCTCCAGGAATTTCCGTTTTGATGGCACTATATGTTGTCGTTTGCTTTGGATGCTCAAGTTCTAGTTGAATTTGAACATTAAGAGAATTATGTGCATCGATGCTTCTTTCTTCCATGACCGTCCTTGTTAATGTTATTGGTTCAATCACACCAGCACTATCCGGAATATGCAGTTCTGTTTGCACTTCCAACTCAATGGGAATAGTTTTGGTTTTCTTTCCTTTCTTTGATTTCTTCTTCTTTTCCCTTTGATCTGGTGCGGATGATTGTTCAATGGCAACCGTTTGCGTACTTTCTACAACTGTTTCCGCTTTATCTACCGCAGGTATTGTTTGAGCATGCGCTTCTGTTGTCTCAACTTGACTTGTTTGTGTATTAGCACTGTGAACTTCTGGAGCAGATTGTTGATCGGGCTTTGGTTGACTTTCCTGTGTGACGGTACATTCAAGTGAAACATTAGATATGTGAATTGGGCTAGTTTGTGTTTCGACTTCTGTTGGAGCATATTGTACAACTGGGGATGATCCTCTGTCTTCATTATTTCCTTCAGTTGCAGTTTGCGCGTCTGTTACATCGGTTGCAAGAGTTTGAACGGCTTCACTGTGAGTATCGGGTGAAGCTAGTGAGACAGTGATATTCGATTGAGCAAACTCAACTGGACTTGTTTGAGTCTGTTCTTGTCTCAGTTTCAAATCAATTCCTTCTCCTATTGCCTTGTCGATGATTTTGACAACTATCGGTTCAACTAATTGTTTTACATCATCAACTGTTTGCATCTCGGATTCAGCTGTGGTTACAACTACTGTTTGATTTGCAGAATCGGAAACATCCACCTTAGGTTGACTTTCTTCCGTTGCTTGTGTTTCGAACGAATCTGTTTGAATATCCTTTTCTTCGCGATGTTTGCTTACGATATCTACCGTTTGTGTTTCATTTTCTAATAAATCAACAGTAGTCTGAACTTCTTTGAACTCGTAAACTACAGACTGCGTTACGATGGGTGAAGTTTGCTGAGATTTTTTAACTACCTCTTGTTCAGGAGATGTTTGCATCGATTTTTGTTCAAAGTTTAGTGGAACCAGCAGAATCTCCGAGGTGATTCGTGCTATTTCACGGTCAGCTTCGTCTTCAAGGAAATCTTTTGGAACAGGCGTTGTTTGTTGGTGAGCATCTTCTACATATACAGCTTCCAGAATTTCTGTTGGAACGACAATCTGCTGTTGTATTGATAACGTTAACTGCTCATCTGGACCTAATACACTTTCTTCAATCACATGAATCGGGTTAGTTTCAAAGTCCTGATCCTCTTCTATGCTTTCACATGTTTCTAATATTGGAATATCCTGTTGAAGTTCTACAGCAGCCATTCCTTCGGTGGATTTTGCTACCCGTGGATCTGAGTCCTGTTGTTTTGACTTCTTCTTCTTCCGCTTCTTCTTTTTGGAAAGGTCATCATTTTCCGATTCTCCTTCAATAGTAGTTTTATCCGCTTCGTAACCTTTATCAAAATCTACATCACTAAGACCTGGAACTTTCTCGGCTAGGAAAAGCTCTTCAGATACTGGAAGGATGTCTATTTCTATCTGTTGAGCTTCTTTGATAGCATCATCTCCTTTCGGTTTTGATTCAAGCTCAACAAAACTTACTTTAATGTTTTTAGCAGCATCAGCAGGGTCGAGATTCATACTCAGTTTGACAGCTCCCTGGTCTTCTTTTGTAGACAAAATCTGTACTTCAAGTTTCTTCTCAGTGGCCGCTTCTTCGGGCTTTATCAATAAAGGCTCAGTTTCAATATCCTTTCTTCGGTCCTCTGCTGTGGAATCTGGGACAACATCTTGTTTTTGTAGGTAGGCGCTTAGTTGGTCATCAAACCGATCTTCCCGGGGTTGATCATTATCACTTTTTGGAGGTTCTGGAGGGATTTGTTCTGATAATATGGTAACTTCAATAGGAATATCTGAAGCCATTGTGGCATCGCTAGTTTTAACAAGACTATTTTCGTCTTTTTTACTTGAATTCACGTTTGTTTCAATAAGCAACACAGTTGCAGGTTGTGGAATGTCGCGGTAGGTAATATCGCCCTTGTTGACATCTGTTGATTCTTCGACCATTTGTTCTCTTTCAGATAAAGGATATTCTACTGAATGAACATCTTCAATTATTGGTTTTATGGCGTATTCCGATCCGGTGTTCATATTGGTTGGCCATATTTCTTCTGGGTTTTCATATGTTTCTTGTAGAGGAGCTGCTACCTTAGATGGCAATGCATGGGTTCTAGTTAAGGGTACTTTACCTGTATCTTCTAATGGAGGCCACACATCAGTTATTCCTATTAGAGTATCATCGGTCAATGCTGCTGTAGAGGAACATTGAGGTTCTATAAGATTAGTTTTAGACTCTTTGATAAGCGGCGTGCTTTGTATAGTACTAGTTGGTGAATCAACTTCAGAAGCAATCAAATCTACATTTTGTGCAACCGATTCTAATACCTGAGCATCTTGAGTTTGTCTTCCCAAAGGTTCTACATCATGTTGTTCCATGACACTGACTAGTTCATTCTGGATATCATCCAATATACTTTCAACTACCTTTTGAGGTTCCATTGTCTTGTCCATGAAGGTTAAATCATCTCTTGTTTCAGTGTCTGTCAAAATGTGTGCTTGTGCATCTGGTGCAAGTGTTGCAGTAATCAATGCTTCAGTCATATCGGATGGTTCAATGGATTGGACCGGCTGAACAACTTTTTTTAGAGTGATTTTCTTCGATCCATCTTTACCAACTATAATTTCCATGGAACTGTCGTCTGGTTCTACGAAAGTTGTTTCAAATGTAGAAGTAGGTATATTTCTCAGCAATAGCTCCGATGATTTGTTAGATTCACCAGATTTGGATTGCGTATATTTAGCTTCCACTATTATATCTTCTTCTTCTTCTTCTGGAATAATGGAAGGAGCATTACGAGCATTTGATATATGAACAGTTTCGTGGCCTTCTGATATGGACTGGATAATGATCAAGTTGTCTGTGGACCTTTCAATGTGAGTTTGTGATGACGCTTCTTGAAGTTGAGTTGTAACGCTGTCCATAGGATCCATTGAAACTAGTGGACTAGTTTGCATTTCACTATCTACCTTTAACATAGCGATAGGTTCTGTTAGTTGCTTGATGCGCTGTATGTTATCTTCAAGAATTAAAGCTTTTTCACGAATTGTTCTGATGAGAATTGCGAACTGTTCTCTCAGAGCATTTGATTTATCACATATGTCTGCGTACATAAGGTAATTTTCTGTTGACTCGTAAATGGTCTTCGACTGATGCTCCTTTTCGCGCAGTTCAGCCAATAGCTTCTGATTTTGTTGCAGAACTTCTTCGAGGCTATTTTTCGATGCACTTTCGTCAATATCAGTAAGTTGAATTGACGTCGTAGACACCCAATGGTCAATTTCTTCTAACAGGTTGGAATAGGCACGTATTTCTGATTTGCGTTGCTCTCTTAGTTTAAGTGATTGCTGAAAAAGTAAACGATATTGATAATTAGTTTCTATTGGTTATTTTCGATGCTTTAAGACTATGATGAAGATTTAATTAAATCGTGAACAAACTGATAACTTCATGGAAATATTTTTAGTTGTTGATTTAAATTTAACTAATTTTGATGGTTACGTAATAGACGTCATTAACTTCGTTATATACAATGGTTCTTTAGCATCGTGAACTGGTTTAATCAGGAAAATCTATGTGTAAATGTTGCATAATTAAAAGTAAAAAACAGTAATTTTCGGTTACCTGTATCTTTTCTAATCCATGATGTGCTCGTTGACGTAGAAAATCTATTCGATCATCAATCATCCGAACAGATTCTCTAACCTTTTCGTCAGCATTCGGTGGGAGGCTCATTGATATAGCATAGTTTTGCTGCTTGTAATCAGCCAGCTTTTCGATTAGCACCTGTAAGATAAACATTTTATATTTCACCCATTTCTCCATAGTCCTCTTTAAAACTAACCTGTAGTCCCTTGATTAAATCGTTTATGTTATCATACGGGAGATTATTCATCTTTAATTCCTCACCGAGCAGCGATTCCAAAATATTTTCCACACTTTCGGTAAGTGTCTGTTTGGCGTTGGAAGATAAAATATCGATAAGTACATTTGCCGCTAAATAAACGATATTTAACAAAACATGCATGACAAAAAATTGCTAATAAAAGTTGATCAATTATGCCGAGAACGCAAAAATTAGAATATTTCACACTTTTGACGTGTTCATACAAACATCACAATTATACATTATGAGATTTGCTTTCTCTACTCAAGAACGTCTAATAAACTATAAAACTCATAAAAGGGTACCAATTTAAATGAATCATGATTTTTTTTAAATATATGTGATGAAGTTGTTGGTCTTCAATAGTTGATAAATAAGTAAATTGGTATTAAAGTATGAGTGTTAAAAGTGTCAAATATTCATTAACATGGAATAATGGGTTATTTTAAGGTGTATTTAATATACGTTCATTGGTTAGTTATTTCACAACGCAAACAACAAAAAGTTTCTGTTTGCCTCTGTTCCTAGAATCCACTGATGTAACTGTATTCATGATGAGGTCCTCGGCACTCAATGTTATCGCCTCTGATCTTGTTCTTGAATTCTGCGGCATTCAAAACAAGTCTGAATGAGGTCAACATGACATGCTTATGATTTGACGTTTCAAATGATGCATTTTGACCCAAGCCAGGTTCTGCCCTTGTCTCTGGAAACACCCGGATTCTGCCCTGGTGTGTCCAATGGTCTTGGATATTCAGTTCGACTAATGGTACATTTTAGGAAAATCATTATGAGCTTTGATTGTAAGTTTCTACTAATTGAAAGAAGACTTAATAAATCGATTCAAAATCCAGTTGAAAAATTTGGTCTATCTTCTTTTATTGAATAAGCTTTTTCAAAAAACGTACATCATCGTTCAATTGATTTAGCAGAATTAGCAGTTAATACTCGTAATATAATTTTATAACCTCAACATCGATGTTTGCAGTTGAACACAATTTCTTTGTACTTATTCGATAGCTCTTATTATGAGCATAGAACAATCGTTCTACATTATTTTGAAACGATGGACCCCCTATAACTAGGGGCTCGAATAGTTTAAGAAAAGATATTTTTTGCAAATTATTTGATAAAATTAGTAAATCTCTATAAACTAATGAAAAAAGCCCAAATGTTTGCATTCCATTCGAAAGGCAAACGTCAGCGCTTTTTTTCCTTTGATTTGTTTTCCGGCGATCTGTTTTCCGTACTGAACATCAATGCTACTGACGCCAGGGGCTCTATCGACCCATCAACTCATGGACCGGGGACCAACGGTTTTACTTCCTTTCCAAAGGAAGGCGTGATCAAAGATTTTATGCCTCCGAAAATCCCGATGGTGCCGACTAGGATTGAAACCAGGCCCTTTGGGATGAAAAGCAGCGACTCTAACCATTATACCACCGGCGCCACTAACGCCAGCGCTTTCATTTAGCATATTAAGAATTTTTGGCGGTCATATTGAATTTAGTTACCATCTAGGATTTTTTTTCCCAACAATTTGTAAACTAAGCATACCATTTGAAAGTTAAGACTTTTCCCTATAAGATACATGTTAAATATAATGAAGCATTCAACTTTTTGTATGGAAACAAAAGCAAAGAAAACGCTTTCAAAAGCTAATTTCTTTGAAAAAAAAAACCACCCAAACATGCAAAATAAAAGGCCAGACGCTTCCCTTTCGAATGGAATGCAAACATTAGGAGTTAATGCAAGAGTTTTTAATTAAATCTTCCAAAATTTTAGTAGCTCGAAAAATTGGTGGGTCAGTTTCAGTGAGAATTGCTCAGTTTCATTGTTTATGCTTTCTACTAGGTGAACAAACGTAAAGGCAATTAAAACAATGCTCAACAGCTGCAGGCAGAGTAGGTTTGTCAAAATCTTCCACGATTGGAACGTTATATTAGATCTTTTATACTACAAAATCAGATACAAAATGTACAGTTGCTTTGCATTGCCTAAGATTTTTATTATTTGTCTTGTCGTAGCAACTTCTAGGGCCTAGATTGAAGCTTTTTGCCATAATACTGCTGCCAGACAGTGGAAACTGAATTGTATATGTAATACAAAGAGCATGTTTGAGGAAATTGTTGATTTTCGATTTAGGTATACGTGTTTAGCCTGAAGGTTTTAGAGGAAATGATTTTTTGAAACAAAAACACACAGTTCCGTTACAAAAGTTACGGTTCTGATAATGAATTTCTAGAACATAACAATAAATCTTTAAAATAAATGCAATACAATATTATGAAAGAAACTTCCCAGGCTACTGGTCAACAAACTGAAGACAAACAATGCTGGAAGGGGAGTGGTCGAGGCCGGTCGAAGATATCACAGATTGACATCCCTAGGCATACGGTATCATTGTGCTTTCCAATTACATACGAATGTATAATTGGCTTAGGCCTCAATTAGCGACTGTAGCAGTGCTCAATGAACATTAAATTGAAAAAAAATGGACAATTTAATGAAATGTACCTATACTTGCATTACATATTTATCAGAACCCCTAATTTAACATTGTATTTATGTTTAAGTTTTATCAGCTACGTAAAACATATAACCAATTTTTTCACTTATTCATAAAATATTTGCCTGAAGTGAGACAAGGAAAATGACGTGTTTTTGTTTTGCTGCGTCGTTTCCGTTCTTTCTTCTCAGCTAAGTTTATGTGGTGTTGAGTACTTGGCACTGATGAAGTCTGCAAGTAGTAGACAAAATACGCGTATCTGTCAAAAGATAAGCAATTTTAAGGAAGTAAACCCACCCACTCAAAGCTCTTCATAAAGGGATTCCGTTAAGAGGTTCGACATATTTAAAGGATTAAGTCAATTTGTCTTTTCGTTCCTTGAGATTGAGACGATCATTTAGAAACTTACTGAATACGCGTCAATCAAGTATTTCCCTGCTGCTACTGCAACAGCAGTACTTTAGCACTTTATCAATGGTGTATATTGGCATCGATAACGTATTGATAATGTAATGTATCGTGTGTGAAAATAGCTTCGTTCTTGAAATGGGCTATTGGAGCAACGATAGTGCTGGTTATCTCCCGGGTTCAAGCTTCTTGCATTCATAAGAACTGAATATTTGCCTGGAGTGAGACAGTATTTCAAACATGTTTGTACTCTATGTTTGTCGTGTAAATTAATTAATTTATCTTTATTAGGGAGGCTTTCAGCCTGGGGCTGGTTCGCCTCCATTTTGTCGTGTAAAGTGCATTGATGTTCATGTAGTTGTTTGGCATAAACTAGAAAATTAGTTAAATACTTGTTGACGTATTTTAATTTTTTGTTTTGTGTGAATAATGAGTAGACAAATGAAAGATAGCTTTATACTTGGTTAATTACAAATAGATTATAGCATGCATTGCAATGTTGTTATCTTATGTAATTGATAAACTTCAGATAATTAGGTGTACTTTTCTTGACTAAGCACTTATATTAATAATCTGAAATTTATCGTTTTTAAATATGATTAGCGTTATGGTTAGATGATAACATTGAATGAGATAACAAACATCAAATCTAACGTCACCTGTTTACTTATTGTGCAATCAGCCACATTTTCTTTAGAACTACTTAGATTTACGTTGCACGTTGAACCTAGCGTATTTTGGTTGATCGGAAGTGTGGGAGAAATTGAAGGATCGGAGCTTTTGATGGTAACGTGAAGGTTTTGTTGCAAAGGCGGATGGGGCACATTTATTAGTGTTTCGTTAGTTGCCTGCGCTAGCTGAATTGATTCTGCGTCGTCTACTGCGACTGTATGTAGTTGTAGGTTAGTTGTGGGATTTGCGAGCGTGGGACTGTCTTCTTCAGGTTTTTCGTGACTTTGAACAGCTTGCAACGACTTTAGGTATTCTATTTCAGCATCATCATGGGTATGTTTATCTTCCCAAATAGGTTTTCCAAGTTGTTGGGACTCAAGTGTTAATTCAGGATCTGAAAATGGTTCATCCTCTTCTGCACGGGACAAATGTTCTGGTCTGTCATTAATAAGTGTATCGTCCAACAAATTGTCCTGAGTCATTGAAAGCTTAACATGAGTGCGAGTGCCTTCTTCGGTCGGCTTTGAAGAATAATCGGTAAATTCTTCCCCTGTGAGAGCCGATAGATTTGCAGTTGAAGAGCTTGGAGTCAATTGTTCCAACTCTTTAACTTTATCACCCTGTATCGATATTGATGTTATTGTTGTTGTTTCAGTATTGATTTCAGGCTCTTGCACATCGATTACTGACGATGTGTATGTTATTTCGGTTACTACCGTGTAATTTTCAACCGAGCATGTTTCAATACTAAAATGACTTGTAACGTTTTCATTACTTGCAGCTGATATCTGTTGGGGTTGACATGCTGGCTGCTCATGATGTGGTTCATTGTTTGTTTCTGTTATTGATTTAGAGCCTACGATGACTATTCCTTGAGATGATGTCTCTATTTCTTCTGGTTTAGTTGTAGTACTTTCGATTTGTATAGGTAATATCTGTAGGTCATTGTTATCAGTCTGCAAATTTTTGACATCATTTACAGTTTGATTTGATTCTGTAATTTGAATGCCTTGATTTACTTTTTGATTCAGATCTATGTTTAGCGGTACTTTAATACTGCTTTCCGTGATTTCACGAACATTAGTATGTGTCCGTTGAGGTTCCATAGGATCTATTTGGGGAGAGGCATTTCCTCTAAGCATGTATTCACTTTCTTCTATAAGATTATGCTCATCACGTTTTTGACCTAAATTTCCTGCTACTACTTCGGAATATAATGGTCCTGATTTCCATACATCAATTGAGCTACTGTGTGCCACAATATTTGAAACATTCTTTGCAACTTCTGGTGAATTTATTGCTTCGCTTATATCAAAGTTTGTATCACGACCTTCTTTCAACAATTGTTTATCTTTTCTTTGAGCTTTTTTAGCTAAGTAACGTTGTTTCGCTTCGTCGTCAGAAGGGTTTTCGCTAGAAGATTTTTCACGAGCCTCTATCAATACAAAAGTATCATCCTGAATATTTGAAGACCTCTCATGTTCGAATGACTCTCCTCTCATCTGAACTAAAATTTCCTCTTCATCTGGTACGGATTGAATTAAAGTATGTTCCTCAATGGATACCGGTTGATCGCTTTGCAATGCTTCGATGTTATCGTTCGGGATGCATCGATCTTGTGAATCATGCTCATCTCTGATGTAATCCTCCATTTTTGGTTCAGCATCTGATTCCTTTTCATCATTACTTAATGTATCACTAGCATCTAAGCATGCATCTGGTTTTGTAACAGCTTCTGCTTCGGTCTTAGGAACGACTTCGTCCATGTTTTCTTGTCCAATGGATTCCTCTAATGCAGCGCTTGTTATTTTGGTTTCTGTAAATGACGTCTCGTTGTCTGTGAGATTTTGTTCACCTTCCTTGTTTTCAACAACTTCGACAGAATCTGCAACGTTTGTGAACATGTGAGTGCTTTCTAGATTAATTGTAGTATCATCCTGTTTGAATGACTCTTCTGTATTTTGACTTGGAGTATTCTCTTCCACCAATATTTCAGTATAATCCTCAATATTTAAAGACGTCTCCGGTTTGAATGACTCTTCTCTCATCTGAATTAAAATTTCCTCTTCATCTGGTACAGATTGAATTAAAATATGTTCCTCAATGGTTACAGGTTGATTGCTTGGCAATATTTCCATGTTATCTTTCGGGATGAATTGATCTTGCGGACCATGCTCTCTTCCAACAATATCCTCCACTTTTGGTACAGCATCAGTTACTTCTACAACATTACTCGACGTATCGCTTGCGTCCAAACATAGATCTAGTTTTGTAACAGCTGGTGTTTCTGTCTTAGGAATGACTGCATCCATGTCTGTGAGACTTTGTTCACCTTCCTTGTTTTTAACAACTTCGATAGAATCTGCAACGTTGTGAGTGTCTTCCAGATTAATTGTAGGTTCATCCTGTTTGAATGAATCTTCTGTATTTTGACTTGGAGTATTCTCTTCCACCAATATTTCAGTTTGATCCTCGATATATAGAGACCTTTCCTGTTTGAATGACTCTTCTCTCATCTGAATTAAAATGTCCTCTTCATTTGGTACCGATTGAATTATAATATGTTCCTCAATGGTTACAGGTTGATCACTTGACAATATTTCCATGTTATCTTTAGAGATGAATTCATCCTGTGAACCATGGTCACTTCCGATACTATCCTCCAGTTTTGGTATGGCATCAGTTTCCTGCACAACATTACTCAATGTATCGCTTGCATCCGAACATAGATCTGGTTTTGTAACAGCTGGTGTGTCTGTCGTAAGAATTACTTCATCCATGTCTGTGAGATTTTGTTCACCTTCCTTGTTTTCAACAACTTCGATAGAATCTGGAACGTTTGTCAACATGTGAATGTCTTCCAGATTAATTGTAGGTTCATCCTGTTTGAATGAATCTTCTGTATTTTGACTTGGAGTATTCTCTTCCACCAATATTTCAGTATAATCCTCAATATTTAAAGACGTCTCCGGTTTGAATGACTCTTCTCTCATCTGAATTAAAATTTCCTCTTCATCTGGTACAGATTGAATTAAAATATGTTCCTCAATGGTTACAGGTTGATTGCTTGGCAATATTTCCATGTTATCTTTCGGGATGAATTGATCTTGCGGACCATGCTCTCTTCCAACAATATCCTCCACTTTTGGTACAGCATCAGTTACTTCTACAACATTACTCGACGTATCGCTTGCGTCCAAACATAGATCTAGTTTTGTAACAGCTGGTGTTTCTGTCTTAGGAATGACTGCATCCATGTCTGTGAGACTTTGTTCACCTTCCTTGTTTTCAACAACTTCGATAGAATCTGCAACGTTGTGAGTGTCTTCCAGATTAATTGTAGGTTCATCCTGTTTGAATGAATCTTCTGTATTTTGACTTGGAGTATTCTCTTCCACCAATATTTCAGTTTGATCCTCGATATATAGAGACCTTTCCTGTTTGAATGACTCTTCTCTCATCTGAATTAAAATGTCCTCTTCATTTGGTACCGATTGAATTATAATATGTTCCTCAATGGTTACAGGTTGATCGCTTGACAATATTTCCACGTTATCTTTAGAGATGAATTCATCTTGTGAGCCATGGTCACTTCCGATACTATCCTCCAGTTTTGGTATGGCATCAGTTTCCTGCACAACATTACTCAACGTATCGCTTGAGTCCGAACATATATCTGGTTTTGTAACAGCTGGTGTGTCTGTCGTAAGAATGACTTCATCTATGTCTGTGAGATTTTGTTCACCTTGCTTGTTTTCAACAACTTCGATAGAATCTGCAACGTTTGTCAACATGTGAGTGTCTTCCAGATTAATTGTAGGTTCATCCTGTTTGAATGAATCTTCTGTATTTTGACTTGGAGTATTCTCTTCCACCAATATTTCAGTTTGATCCTCGATATTTAGAGACCTTTCTTGTTTGAATGAATCTTCTCTCATCTGAATCAAAATGTCCTCTTCATCTGGTACTGATTGAATTATAATATGTTCCTCAATGGTTACAGATTGATCGCTAGACAATGTGTTATCTTTCGGGATGAATTGATCTTGCGGACCATGCTCGCTTCCGATGTTATCCTCCACTTTTGTTTCCTGTACAACATTACTCAACGTATCACTTGCGTCCGAACATAGCTCTGGTTTTGTAACAGCTGGTGTGTCTGTTGTAAAAATGACTTCATCCATGTCTGCGAGATTCGGTTGACCTTCCTTGTTTTCAACAACTTCGATAGAATCTGCAACGGTTGTCAACATGTGCGTGTCTTCCAAATTAATTTTAGGTTCATCCTGTTTGAATGACTCTTCTGTCATTTGACTTGGAGTATTCTCTTCCACCAATATTTCAGTTTGATCCTCGATATTTAGAGACCTTTCCTGTTTGAATGACTCTTCTCTCATCTGAATTAAAATGTCCTCTTCATCTGGTACTGATTGAATTATAACATGTTCCTCAATGGTTACAGGTTGAACACTTGACAATATTTCCACGTTATCTTTAGAGATGAATTCATCCTGTGAGCCAAGGTCACTTCCGATACTATCCTCCAGTTTTAGTATGGCATCAGTTTCCAGCACAACATTACTCAACGTTTCGCTTGCATCCGAACATTGCTCTGGTTTTGTAACAGCTGGTGTGTCTGTCGTAAGAATGACTTCATCCATGTCTGTGAGATTTTGTTCACCTTCCTTGTTTTTAACAAGTTCGATAGAATCTGCAACGTTTGTCAACATGTGCGTGTCTTCCAGATTAATTTTAGATTCATCCTGTTTGAATGACTCTTCTGTCATTTGACTTGGAGTATTCTCTTCCACCAATATTTCATTATAATCCTCAATATGTAAAGACTTCTCCTGTTTGAATGACTCTTCTCTCATCTGAATTAAAATGTCTGCACTTATTATTTTGGTTTCTGTAAATGATGTCTCAACGTCTGCGATATTCGGTTCACCTTCCTTGTTTTTAACAACTTCGATAGAATCTGCAACGTTTGTCAACATGTGCGTGTCTTCCAGATTAATTGTAAGTTCATCCTGTTTGAATGACTCTTCTGTCATTTGACTTGGAGTATTCTCTTCCACCAATATTTCAGTATAATGCTCAATATTTAAAGACTTCTCCTGTTTGAATGACTCTTCTCTCATCTGAATTAAAATGTCCTCTTCATCTGGTACAGATTGAATTAAAATATGTTCTTCAATGGACACAGGTTGATCGCTTGACAATATTTCCATGTTATCTTTGTTTGTTTCCTGTGCAACATTACTCAACGTATCGCTTGCGTCCGAACATAGCTCTGGTTTTGTAACAGCTGGTGTGTCTGTTGTAAGAATGACTTCATCCATGTCTGTGAAATTTTGTTTAACTTCCTTGTTTTCAACAACTTCGATAGAATCTGCAACGTTTGTCAACATGTGAGTGTCTTCCAGATTGATTTTAGATTCATCCTGTTTGAATGACTCTTCTGTCATTTGATTTGGAGTATTCTCTTGCACCAATATTTCAGTATAATCCTCAATATGTAAAGACTTCTCCTGTTTGAATGACTCTTCTCTCATCTGAATTAAAATGTCTGCGCTTATTATTTTGGTTTCTGTAAATGATGTCTCGATGTCTGCGATATTCGGTTCACCTTCCTTGTTTTCAACAACTTCGACAGAATCTGCAACGTTTGTCAACATGTTAGTGTCTCCTAGAATAATTGTAGGTTCATCTTGTTTGAATGAATCTTCTGTATTTTGACTTGGAGTATTCTCTTGCACCAATATTTCAGTTTTATCCTCGATATTTAGAGAGCTTTCCTGTTTAAATGACTCTTCTCTCATCTGAATTAAAATTTCCTCTTCATCTGGTACCGATTGAAGTATAATATGTTCGTCAATGGATACAGGTTGATCGCTTGACAATATTTCCACGTTATCTTTAGAGATGAATTCATCCTGTGAGCCATGGTCAGTTCCGATACTATCCTCCAGTTTTGGTATGGCATCATTTTCCTGCACAACATTACTCAACGTATTGCTTGCATCCGAACATTGCTCTGGTTTTGTAACAACTGATGTGTCTGTCGTAAGAATGACTTCATCCATGTCTGTGAGATTTTGTTCACCTTGCTTGTTTTTAACAACTTCGATAGAATCTGCAACGGTTGTCAACATGTGAGTGTCTTCCAGATTACTTGTAGGTTCATCCTGTTTGAATGACTCTTCTGTCATTTGACTTGGAGTATTCTCTTCCACCAATATTTTAGTATAATCCTTAATATTCAAAGACTTCTCCTGTTTGAATGACTCTTCTCTCATCTGAATTAAAATGTCCTCTTCATCTGGTACAGATTGAATTAAAATATGTTCCTCAATGGTTACAGGTTGATCGCTTGACAATATTTCCATGTTATCTTTCGGGGTGAATTGATCTTGCGGGCCATGTTCTCTTCCAACGATATCCTGAATGTCATCTTCCGGAATTAAATTATCTTGTGAACTATACCCTACTCCTATGTTGTGCACTTGCAATGAAGCATCAGCATCATTTTGCTTATTTTCTGTTGTGAATATTTCCGTATCTGTTTTACTTTTCAATTCATAATATTTTTTCTCTGCTTCTATCATTTCAGGATAGTAGTGGAAACTGTCGTTAGCAATAGTTTGTAAAGTCATTATCATTTCGGTTTCATATTCTGATGTTAGGCAAAGATCAGACTCAGTAGAATGATGTAAGGATTTGACGTTATCTTCTGAAGATTTATGTTCGCTATCTTTTTGCACGATACTGGTCAAAGGTTTTGATTCGTACAATGGGTGATGAGTGCTTTCGGCATCTATCAATGTTTTGTGTGTATTGAATAGTAGCTCAGCATCATGATATTTACTGTAGTCATGGACTACTTGTTTTTCGTATTTATAACTGTCCATACGTTCGATAATGTCATTGTTAGTGTTATCGGTAACCCACTGCAACTTTTGTTCGTTTGGATGATCATTTTCCGATTTCAATAGAATTTCTTCATTAACAACGAGCTGAGTCACTTCTCCCACATATGTTGATGCATCTCTGGCTGCTGGCCTTGGGGCAATGCTTTCATCTAAATCATTTTGCGATCTTTCTGTTCTATTAAGAGCTGCTATTTCATCCAATTGTATGTCATTTGAGAACTTACTATCGGATACAGAACTTCTAGAATCACAGGTACTTAAAAGCGACAAGTAGTCAGTCTCTACAATGGTGGATTGATTTTCAACATCTTTTTGCTTGATGTCGGTCAAAGTCTTTGATTCGAGCAATGGTAGGTGTGAGTTTTCGATATTATTTAATGTTTTTTGTTTGATATGCAACTTTTCCACATCATGATATTTCCAATAGTCATGAGGGAATTGGTTCTCATATTCATAACTAGCCACACGATCCCCTTGTGTATCAATAGTAGAAGCAGAAGTTAATTCGGTTGCATCTGCAGAATGTACGTGGTGCGTTTCTTGTTTTTGGGTGATTTTTTTGGATGCATGCACTGAATCAATGTGTACGTCTAAATCAGTTTTAGTCGATTCTCTTTCAGTAATGGTTATTGTTTGCCGCTCGGACATTTCATCAAATTCCATATTTTTGGTGAGCTTGCCAACAGGTATCAAACTGTCTTTTTCCGTGATATCGGTCCAAGAAGACTTGTGACTACAATGCGTGTAGTAGAGCATTTCAGCATCATGATATTTCCAGTAATCATAAGGTGTCCTTTCTTCATGTTTACAACTATCTGCGCGGTTCACTTTCTCAACAAGTACATCAACAGTAGAAGCCAACGTGTTTTTCCTTTCAATGGCTGAGGTATTTTTAATGATTTGTTCAAACTGCTCATTTAGTTGTACATTTTCCGATTTCAATAAACCATGTTCGCTCTCAATCCTTTCCACTTGGAATACAAGAGTTACATTCTCTGTTGTTGTTACTTCCGATGGTTCATCCATATGTGGTGATGCTGACTGTTTTGTATCCTCTACAGGTACATCTTTCATATGTGCCAGATGCATGATGACGTCTTTGCTGGCATCAATGGATGTTTTATATGTGTTATGCAACATTTCAGCATCATGATATTTCCAGTACTCATGGAGTAATTGTTTCTCGTTCTTGTAACTATTACCAGCAGGAGCAACATTGATATCGTTTGCTTGTGCAATACTGCATTTTGCATCTTGCATTTTATCCTCCGGTTTCCTTAGATCTTGCTTGGTTAAAGCTGTCTTTTCTAAGCGGGGAACAAATTCATCGATGCTAGGCTGCACAATACAATCATCTAATGTAGTGCTAACCATGTTGTGTTCTGTGAGTGATGCTACGTCAACTAGATTCTGTTCATTATCATCGTTATTGATAAGGTTTGTCCGTAATGGTTGTCCAACGTTTTCCAATGTTTCAGTATTTTCCAGATTATTTGACGACCTTTCCTGTTTGAATGAATCTTCTCTCATCTCAGTCAAGATGTCCTCTTCGGCTGGTACAGATTGAGCTAAAATATTGTCGTCTTTGATAACAGGCTTGATGCTTGATAATGCTTTAATGTTATCCTCAATTTTTGGTACAGCATTTGTTTCCGTTGCAACATTATCCAAATTATCACTTGCATATAAACTTTGATCTACCTTTGTTAAATCTGCTGGTACTGATCTGGGGCTAAGTTCGACCATGCTAGGCTGCCCAATACATGTTTCTGATGATGTGCTTAATATATTGATATCTGTAAATGATGTTGCACTGTCTTCGATACCCTGTTCTTGATCAATGTCATCACCAAGCTTGGCCACGTTTTCTTGCATTTCAGTAGCTTCCTGGTTGTTTATAGTTTCATCCTGTTTGAATGATTCTTCTCGCATCTGACTTAGAATGTTTTCTTCTTCTATTACAGATTCAGTTGACATTATTTCCTCATTGGCTATGGGTTGATCGCTTGGCAATGTTTCAAAATCATCTTCAGGAATGGATGTATCCAGTGAAGTGAGGTCTGTGATGTTTTCCTCCATTTTTGGTACATTGTCTGTTTTCTTTCCAACATGACTTAACGCATCGTGTACGTCCGAACTTTGATCTTGATGTATCAAAGCTGTTTTTCCTGAAGATTTATCGAATTTGTCTGTGCTAGCCTGCTCAACACATTCCGCTAGTGTGATGCTCATCATTTTGTGTTCTGTAAATGTTGCCGTGCCAGTTAGATTCTGTTCTTTTTCTTTGTTATCGGCAAGTTGAACTGGATCTGCAACCTTATCCAATATATAAATGTCTTCCACATTATTTTGAGGCGTTTCTTGTTTAAATGAATCTTCGCTCATCTTAATCAAGATTTCCTCCTCGTCTGATACAGGTGGAATTGATATATTTTCCTCAATAACCACAGGTTGATCGCTTAACAATTGGATGCCATATTTATCGATAAATCCATCTTGTGGATCATGCTCTTCTCTGACGTTATCGTTCATTTTTGGTACGGCGTCTGCTCCCTTTTCAGTAGTACTCAACTTATCAGTTTCATCCGAACATTGAGCTGGTTTTGTGAAAATTGTTGTTTCTGGCCTACTGAGAATGACTTCGTCCATGCTAGCCTGCTCAATACGTTGTTCTAATGTAGTGGTTATTATTTTGATTTCTGTAAATGATGTCACATTGTTTCCTGTGTTATCAACAATATCAACTTGATCTGCAGGGTTTTCCAATGGTTCATCGTCAACCTGATTACTTGAAAGATTATACTCATTACTAGTTTTGTGCTTTCGACCTAAATTTCCTGTAACTACTTCGGAATATAATGGCCCAGATTTCCATACATCAATTGAACTGTTTTGCGCCACAATTTCTGAAGCATTCTTAACTTCTTCTGGAGAATTCAATGCTTCACTTGTATCAGGTTTTGTACCACGGCATTCTTTCAACACTTGTTTATCTTTTCTTTGGGCTTTTTTAGCTAAATAACGTTGTTTTGCTTCGTCATCAGAAGGTTTTTCGCTAGAAGGTTTTTGATGAGCATCAACCAATATTCCAATGTCGTCCTCATTGTTTATAGATCTTTCCTGTTTGAATGACTGTTCTCTCATCTGAACCAAAATGTCCTCTTCCTCAGGAACAGATTGAATTGGAACATGTTCCTCAATGGTTGCTAGTTGATCACTTGGCAATGTTTCGCTGTTATCTTTCGGGATGAATCCATCTTCTTGTAAACCATGCACTTTACCGATGATATCCTTTATTTTTGGTACATCCTCTGATTCCTTTTCGACATTTCTTAACGTATTACTTACGTCCGACGATTGATATACCTTTGTATTCGTTGCTGTTTCTATCCTAGAAAGGACATCGTCCGTGCTAACCTGCTCAGAGCGTTCTTCTGTGTATGTTGTCTCATTGTCTGTAATCTTCTGATCCATCCTTTCAACAAGTCCGATTGAATCTGGAACGTTAGCCAATATTTCAGAGACTGCCAGATTATTTGAAAATTCTTCATGCTTGAATGACTCTTCTCTAATTTGAACTAGAGTAATTTCTTCTGATATTACAGTTAATTGATCACTTGGTAATGCCGCAATATAATCTTTGGGTATACATTCATCACCTGTCGCTAGTTCAATGTTTTCCTCCATTTTCAGTACAAAATCTGTATTCTTTGCAACATTACGTTCCGTAATTGTTTCTGTAATGTGATCTGACTTTGTAATAGCTTCTGTTTCTGTCTTAGGAATTACGTCGTCCATGTTAGCCTGTGCAATGCATTCCTCGAGTGTATTGCTTGTAATTTCGATTTTTTTAAATGGCGTCACGATGTCTGTGAGCTTGTGATCATTTCCTGTCTTATCAACAAGTTCAACTGACTCTGCTATGTTTTCCAATATTTCAATATCTTTCTGGTTATTTGCAGATTTTTCCTGTTCGTACGACTGTTCTCTGATCTGAATTAAAATATCCTCTTCGTCTGGTGCGGATTGAATTAAAATATGTTTCTCAATGATCACAGGTTGATCAGTTGACAATGCTTTGATATCATCTTTAGGGATGAGCGCATCTTGTGAATCAAAACCATCTCCGATAGTATCTTTCATGCTTACTTGCCCAACGCATTCCTTTAATGTAATGCTCATTATTTCTTCTGACCTCATAGAACTCGCTGTTTCTATCCTAGAAATTATTACATTCGTACTTGCTTGCGTACATTCTTCAAATTCAGTGATAGTTGTTTTGTTTTCAGTAAATGATGTCGCGTTGTCTGCCATAGTCTGATAATTTCCTGTCTTATCATCTAGTTCAACTGGATCTGCAATGTTTTCCAATATTTCAGTATCATCATCATTACTTGTAGACCTTCCCTCTTTGATTGACTCTTCTCTCATCTGACCTAGGATGTCCTCTTCACCTGGTATCGATTTAATTAAAATTTGTTCGTCGATGATTACAGGTTGATCGCTTGACAATCCTTCGGTTTTGTCTTTAGGGATCAACTCATCTTGTGAATAATTCTCTTCTTTGATGTTATGCTCTATTTTAGGTACAACCTCGGATTCTTTTGCAACCTTACTCAACGTATCACTTTCGTCCCAACATTGATCTGGCTTTGTAACAGTTGCTGTTTCTGATCTAAGAATGACTTCTTCTACGCTAGCCTGTTCCACTGTTGCAGTGCTTATTATTTTGTTTTCTACCAATGATGTTACGTTATCTTCAGTTTTCTGTTCATTTTCCATGCTATCAACGTTTTCCAACATTGCAGCATATTTCTGGTTATCTGTAGAAACATCCTTTTTGAATGACTCTTCTATCATTTGAATTAGTATTTGCTCTTCATTTGTTACAGTTTGAGTCACTATGTTTCCCTCGTTTATTGTACGATGATCGCTTGAGATTGCTTTGATATCATCTTTCGGAATCAATCCATCTTGTGAGCCATGTTCTTTTCCAATATTATCCTCTATGCTTGGTACAGCATCTGTTTCGACGTTGCATAAAGAATCGTGTACCTCCAAATATTGATCTGGAGTAAAATCAGCTGCTTCTGACGTAAGGATGATGCCATGCGTGTTAGCTTGGTCCATACTTTCCTCTAATTTAGTGCTTATTATTTTGTTTTCTATAAGTGATGTGACGTTTTCTGCGACTTTTTGTTCATTTTGTTTGTTATCAATCAGTTTGACAGAATGTGCAATGTTTTCCAATATTTTAGTATCATCCGCATTATAAGCTGACTGTTCATATTCAAATGACTCTCCTCTTATCTGAACCAGGATGTCCTCCTCATCTGGTACAGATTTAATTAAAACATTTTCTTCATGGATTATTGCTGGATCTCTTGACAATTCTTCGATGCCATCTTTCTGGATGAATCCATCCTGTGATTCTTTTTCGATGTTCTCCTGCATTTTTCCCTTTTCAACATTACTTATTGCTTCACTAGCATCCAAACACTGATCTTGCTTTGTAACAGCTACTGTTTCTGTCAATGAAACGACTTCGCCCATGCTAACTTGCCCAATACTTTCCTCTGATGCAGTGCTTATTATTTTGGTGTCTACTATTGATACTACGCTTTCTTCGTCGTTCTGATATTTATCCTTGCTTTTGACAGCTTGGATTAAATTTGCAACGTTCGATATATCTGTGTCTTCCAGATTATTTGTAGATTCATCCTGTTTGAATGACTCTTCTCTCATTTGAATTAGAATATTCTCTTCATTGATTTCAAATTGATCGCTTGGCCCTGCTTCAATATAATCTTGTCCATCTTGTGAGTTGATCTGTTCTTCGATGTTATCCTTCATTGTTGGTACAGTATCTATTTTCTTTTCATCATTACTTGTTTCTGTTGTTTCTGTCATAGGCATGACTTCATCCGTGCAAACCTGCTCACTACGTACCTCTAATGTGGTGGGTATAATTATCATTTCTTTAGATGATGCCGTGTTTTGATCATTATTCTGGTTTTTTTCAGCAAGTTCAATTGAATCGTCCTGTTTGAATGACTCTTCTCTTATTTGAATTAGAATATTTTCTTCTTCTGTAACTGATTGTTCCACATTTGTTTCCTTTTTGATTGCAGATTGATTGTTAGACAATACTTCAACATAATCTTTTGGAATTAATTTATCCAGTGAACCAAACTCTTCCTCGATGTTATCCTCCACTTTTGGTACAGCATCTGTTTGCATGTCAACATTGTCTTCTACATTTCTTGTTTCTAAAATGTGATCTTGCTTTGTGAAAGCTGTTTTTTCTGACAGGGAACTGACTGTTGCAGTGCTTTTTAGCTTGATTTCTTTGATGGATGTCACGTTTTCTGCGATATTCAGTTCATTTTCATTGCCTTCAACCAATTTCACTGGAGTCGTTAAGTCTTGCTGATTATTTGCATTCTGGTTGAATGACTCTTCTCTCATGATTCTGAGAGTTTTCTCTTCATCAGTGTCGGCACTTGAAGCGTGTTCCAAAGCCATTGAAGAGCAGCTTTCTATTATTTCATTAGATGTTTGAAATACGACTTCCGTTCGCTGATTGGATTCTTCGTTCAAAGTGAAATCTTTTTGATGTTTTTCCATCTCGTTTGATCGTTGTTCAAATATCACTGGTTGTGTATAGTGTTCATCAATAACTTGTTGTTCAGATGAAGATTCATATAGGATAGTGGTTGTTTTATAGATAACATTGGAAGTAGTTGTTGAAAAATGAGTTCCAGTATCACCTGAAGCCATAAAACATTCTACTTCACTATTGAACGATGTATCCAATTCATTTCTTGGTTCTGAAGTTGATGATTGTTTAACAAGCACTGCTGTCGATTTGGATTGAACAGATGTATCAGTAACGGAATCAAGTACGGATACCTCTGTTGCAACAAACACTTCATCTTTGTGCGAAGGCTCCAAGCAAACAGCTTCTTCAATTTGCATATCTGGTGCTTCTTGGAAAATATGTTCAACATTAAATTGATCTTGAATTTGGCTGTTAATGTCGCTTTTAGTAATTCTTTCAGCCGTAATGGTTGGTAAGTCAAACTTCATGTATGAGATTGGTTGTAAATGATACTCTTCATGTGTAATCATCGAAATTTTTTGACGTTTATCACGCCAATTTGCACATGAAATTTCAATCTTTGATGTGTCATCTTGTTCATTTCCATTTACAGCAGATTCACCAGGTGTTTTTTGCACTCTATTGTTAGATACTAGTAGTAGTGACGATATTGTTTCACTAATCTCGGATTTACTGTCCACTTTTCCTGAGCTAACAGTATCCATGTCACTCGGTGGTTCTTTTTCTGATAATGATGTTTCATTTTCATAATCAGTTGTGATCGATGATGAACTATTAGCCGTATTTAAAAAGTCATATTCGTCGAAAACAAGACTACTTTTGAATCCATCAGTTATATTTTCCGCAGTAGCTTCTGCTACAGTTGAACAATCATCTATACGTTGTGAAATAGGAAAATCGTTTCTTCTACTTTCATTTAGTTCTTGCTCAAATTCGGCACTTTGTAATTGTAACATAGCGGATACTTTTGATGAATTTGATTTCCTGATTTTCTCAACCTTCATCATTTTCCGTTTTTGATCGGGCTTCTTTTGATTTTCTAATTCTGAGTTGGCAATAATTTCAACAGTGGTAACCATTGTAGAAGCGTTGGTTGATTTTTCTTGAGCTTCTGGTATTGTTTCGGAAGTACAACTCGCTGTTTCGATCTTTAGCGATTTCGGTTCAGACTTGAAAATAATGGAATTCGCGTCCACTGTTGGTTGAACATTCTGAATATTACTCGCAGTGGGTTCAGGCAAGTTTTCACCATAATGATCAGCTACAGTGTTCTTCTTTGTTTTTCTTTTCTTTATCTTTTTGCGTGCAATTACGTCACTTGATTCAGTAATGCCGGGTGATATAACATCATGACTAAGATTTGCTGACCTAATGTTGTCTTCTGATTCACAATTTTTATCTGCACTGATAAGCTTAAGCTCGTCGGTAAATTCTATCTCGGACATGAACGTTTTGCTTTCACTTTCTGCTGGTTTGGAGGTGGTCGCATATTGAGTAAAATGCAAATCTACCGATTCATTTCTAATGTTCAGACTTTCTGTTTTTACACTGGATCTAGTGTCATCATGAGCATGACCCTGAGTTGATTGAAATTTAGTATTAACTTTCTTTCGACCAGTTAAAGACTGAGGAGGTTTGAAATAATCCTTAGGTTTGCGTTTACGTTGCGACGAAGGTAGCACTTGATCTGTCTTATCGGATTGTTTGTCACGCTCAGCGATTGCAACATTTAAGCTCGGTGGTATTGTACTGGAGATGGTAGTTTGTAGAACGCCAATCGATGAGTCAAACTGTGGCAAATTGTAGGATGCACTCTGCTTTCTGGAAGCTAAATCCTTAAGCACATCTGCGTATGTTTTTCCAGCAGACTCCTTTTTGATAGTTGGATCCCTGTCCGTTTTATACTCGGTTGTAATGCCTTTTGTGTTCCCAATAATCTGAGGCATTTCAACAATGTTGTGATTATCAGGCTTTGCTGTATTTGCTGCTTCGGTGAGAATGAAGTTTCCCGTTTTCTCAATGTTGTTACTCTTTTTGATAGATGATGAATGAACAGCTGTTTGTTTAGGTTTAGATTTTCTTTTAATGTCAATAGTTGATTTGTCCTTCTTGCCTCGTAGTGGCTCACGTGGTACACTCTGTATGTTAGGGTCATCATATAGTTCCATGCGCTCATAGTTGATGGCTGTTTCAGTTTTATCGGAAGCATCGGTCGTTTGACTGACAGATAGATTTTTGTGAGAACGGAGTTCAATAGCATTGCGTTGAATTTGAGCGTTTCGTTGTCTCTGTAGGCCCGCAACTACTTCAGCATACGTACGTTCTGAATTGTTCCAAACCGATATTACGTTTGGCTTCATGTTTGAAGACTCGTAGGAAGATACATTTGCACTGTTATTTTCTGTTGACATTGTGTGCGTCGACATTAAAAATTGATGTGGAATTCCGAACTCTGTTTGGCGTGTTATATTCTGATGCACCATTGGGTCATAGATCTCATGTTGTTGAGCAGTTTCATCAATACCATGCGTCCAGGTTATCGGAAGTTCCTGATGATGGAATTTGCAATTTATTGATCGAAATTTTTATGGATAGAATTGTGGATGAATAAAGCACGTAATAGTATTGTTTCGAAAAAAAAATCTATATTCTGATTAATCTAATAAAATATTACAATTATGCTGGCAAAACACGTATTTAAAAAATTGATTTTGAAAATCACGATATCGATAAAATTGATTGATTTGGTGGATATTTATTGATAACTATCATTCCTGAGGCTCGCCCCGTTGTAGCAGCAGTTTGATTTTGGTATTTATCTGATTGAGATGTGATTGCAAAGCTCGAATACGTTCACGGCATTCCTGAATAGTTGAGTCCCATGTACCGATGTCAATTTGTGATGCAGACAGTCAGTGTTATATGTAGCCGACAAGCAGGAGAAATGCAAAGTTGTTTATAGTAAAATTGCAGGCCATATATGCATTGAGCAGTTGATGTAGAGTTGATGAAATATTAGATTTGGATAGAATGTTAGTAGGATAAAGGAGCACAATGTATAGAAATAAAAAGAAGACAAAATTATATTTAAGACACATATAACTCTCAACCTGATCCGAAGAAAATGAAATGTAATGAATAATAATCCGTGACATTTAGATGCGTGCTAACCGTGCATAATGAACGAATAGGTTTAACGATCCGTATTCCAAACAAATAAGAATTGTTTATTGTGTTGTTTACTACAGATGCAATTTATTGTATCCCTTAAGTTGAATGCATTGAATATAATTATGATTAGAATGGAATGTAGTGACAAAAATGCTTTTATATTTTGTATCAAATGGCTCCATAGCAAAGGTAGAACTGTGATGTTAAAACGTTTATTCCATTTCATGGTGTTGAAGGTTACCCCAATGAAATTAGACGGTAAATTTCAAAAATCAAACTGTCATCCAACGATAGATTCCGGTCAAGAGTAACATAAGCTTCAATTTTCAAAAAAGTAATAATGAGCCACCAAGTTTGCATAGTACCGAGGGAGTCGCGGCAATTAGGAAAGGAATAAAAATGCTATGTATTTAATTTCTGGCTCATTAGAGTGTTTGGAAACAGATTTGTACTGGTTCTCGAAAACGTGTAGCAAAATTGAAGTGTGGTAAATTGCGTCGTATTGAAAAAAAGAATGATGCACAAAGTCACTTACCTGTTCATTCTTATCACTATCGCATGACTGATGTAGTGGTGATAAAATATTCCGAAGCTGCTGCTCTTCTTGCACAATACGTTGCCGTATTGTTTGCATTTCACTTTGACACTCGTCGATTTGTACTAACGCTTTGTCCAAGTTTTGCGTGGTTTGGAACACATCTCTGTTAAGCTTATCGAGATCTTCAATAACAGTACGTCCACTATGCACTATGTTAGGGTTATCGGAGTATACGACTTCCGAATGGAAATGGACCTGTTGGTTCGAAACAGAATGGATGTTAGTTGAACTAGGTAAACTGCTGTCGTTAAATACCTGTAATTTCTCAAGTGACATATTGACTTTGATTTTTTGTGCCGAAATGTCAGCAAGCATTTGTTCAAGAATTCTCAGTTGATCACGTAATGGTTTATTTTTCAGTTCTGGAGAGTTTAGAGAATGGTAACCGCCTTGTATCCATTCTCTTACACTCTTTATTTTGTGCTCAAACTGCTGCCACTCTTCTGTAGTTTCATGTAGGAACAAATTCTGCAAACCCAAATAAACAAAGACATTATGATTTTGTCATATAAAATTTGATCATTGTCTTACCCTTTCGAATAGGACGGTTTCGATGTCGATTTTGAGTGTCTCGGCTTCGTGTAATTTATTTTTCAAATATCCGGTCGAACATACTTCGTTTATTTTATCGAATTCGTGATTCATTTCGCTTAAGTTTTGCGATACATCAGTCAGACTAGATACTGCGCTCTTTAGTATGGAAAGGAGGGAGAAAAAAATTAAGCGATTGTTGACGAAATTTATTCAGCTAGCATGTAAACAACTTACCGCATAATCTTGGCGAGCTAATTGGGCTTCTTGGAGTGAATTGAGTTGCAGTTTTCGATTCAAAAGTGTGCGCAGTTTAACTGACCAGTCGACAACCAGTTGATAAACTCTCATGAAATTAGCCCAGTTTCCGAGAATTTGGTCAACCGTCTGGTTCTTTTCCTCAACAAGCTGAATTGTTTTTGTGAGTTCAAAGGATATTTGATCCACATCAGCTTGCATCGCTCTCTGATCATTGCTGTCCGAACAGTTTTTGATTATTTCACTACCATTGTACACTAGTTGTTCATACGCTAGCCGTACATCCTTACAATCGTGTATTAGTTGGACTAGTTTTGTCTTTAATTCACTGGGATCGATGTTGTGATTACTCATGGTCAGTTCTGCATTTTCTATCCAGGTTTTGATTTTATCATACACTACAAAGTAGTCTGTTCGGACTTCCTTGGCTTTTCGGTATTTGCAGTTGTATTCTTCCATGGTGTCAGAAATGTTGGCAAGCAATGCTTCCAATGCTTTTCTTTTCTCCTCTAAATCAACAGGAATGAACTCCTGAGTAGCTAAATACTTGTCGTCTATGTGCTTAGAAATTTGAATTGCTTGATCTGAGTACTCATTTGCCTTTGATTTGCACGATAGTAGCTTCTTTTCTGTTTGGAATAACCGTTCATCAAAAGGATTTATTTCCTTAAGATTTGCCAACAACGCTTGAGCAGATGCAGTAAGGGTTGAAATTTGCTCGGAGAAATGCTGCAAGTCTTCTATTTTCTGTCTTATGTGTCGTTGTTTTATTTTCAAATTTTCAGCCAACCTACAAAAAGAAATGGATAAAATAAAAATAGCACGCTGGTTATATGACTATCTTGAATTATCGAACGGATGCGCCCTAATAACCCACTGTAGATTGTGAATGACGATGAGAGATGAGCAATATTTCACGGCCAGCGAAATTTTAAATTTAACCGATGACGTCAGTTGTTTTTAATGCGGCGACACCCCGACCTCGACTCCGTCAGTGTTTATTGCCAATAAACCGTGGCTTTGCGGATGCTATAAATGCACAAATTAGACTCGCGGTCGATCAGGAAACACAAGTTGGTTTTTAAGGCGATATTATATGGCGCTTAATTTGTCTTTAGTAAAGAATTCTCTATCTTTGTACTGTAATACTGTATGTCTAGACGGCGACTAAAGCTGAGTACAGGATTTCTCAGCATCATTGCCCAACACGAATGAATTAACGTAAACCGAGAGAGGAGAATGGCTGAGATAGTGAATAATGAGCGAATGAACTTATGCGCTTTTTTCAAGCGCCGTCGTGCTCAATGTTAATCACGTTCTTTTGCCGGTTAGCGAATTCGAACAGAAATACTCACCTAGAGTCGATTTGATTCAAATGGTTTAATTTTTCCTCCAATGTATGCGGTGACAGTTGTTGTTCCCTTAGAGCTTCGATCAAAGTTTTAGCTAATGAATTAGCTTTTCCGTTCAACTGACCAAGGACGGATTTGTCATCTAACAAATTCTGAAAAGAAGAGACACATTCATATCATGTCAGACGTTTTGCCAGACCAGAAATAGTTTCATGAGCAACAAGCAAAACTCAAAGCAAGCAGATTGAAATCTTCTCAGAATGAAGTCATACATATTTATACGCTCTCTGCTTTTCGTTGAGTTTTGTTTGTTTTGCGTGGTAGTGGCAACGTGTTTTCTTGTTTTGGTCATTTTTCGCTGAACGCTGCTTGGATTTAAATCAAAATTTTAACTCGGAAGATCAGCAGATATCGTTAACTGACATCATAGCTGTTCGTTCGTCTTGAATATATGCATGTGTATGGACCGTGACATCATCGTGAGCACATTTGCATAAGAAAACGATTTCAGCGCAACGTTATGGACGAGATGACCTATACGGTCATCGACAGTTGATGATGTCAGTGTCTAGTTTCAACAATGTCGTCAACCTTTATTTTTATTCGCATGTTCGTTTGAGCCAATTTGTACATACCTGGACTAATAGATTCTTAGACAACAGATTCTCTTTCGATTGCACGGTTAAATCCAAATTCTTGTCCTTCTCCAGCAAATTATTCGACTTTGTTTCCAGCTCTTGGAGAATATCTTCCAATTGAACCCACTGTTCCCGCAATTGAATCAAATTTTCGTGTAGATTTTCCAAAAGACTTGTCTCACTAGTCCAACTGGCGTTTAGTTCGATACTTTCCTTATTAATTTTATCACTCTCAATCTGGTGGGCTTTTTCGATAATGTGACTAGATATATCATTAAGAGCATCCAGTTCGTGTTGGTTCGCCTGAAAATAATAAAAGTAATATTAATAATAATTATTATAATTGTATGATATGCTTGCAATAGCGAGCGAAAGCGCACAGAAAAATTCGGTTCGTGTTATCCTCTAGGAGTCGAAAGAACGAATGTGGTATTTTTAGGAAATATTTGCCAGTGAACTTCAGATCTTCCGTGTATTTTTGCTCCCTCTTTTCTCTCTCTTCACCGTTGTAAGATACTATAGATCGTTTAGTCATTGATGCCGGTTGCATATATAAAGTATATCAACGTGATTTTTCAATTCATCACGTGTTTTGTGGCTTTTGTATAACGTTATATGATGTTCAAAAAAATAATCCTAAGAACGTTTTGTCCGAAGGAGGTTAGATTTCCCTGCCGTGGATTTCGTCTAAGTGTCTCTGCTTAAAGGTCCACACCTCCAGCCCTTCATACAGTGGAATAGTGACGTTGCATGGTTTGATCTTGCTTTAGAGGAGCCATACGTCATGGTTGGTTGTCTTTATTAATAAGATTTTCAGCCAGACACTGGTTCATCTCCGGCCGTACGTTATGACTAGTCTAGCACTGATAGTGGATTTTTATTACGTGCATATATACGTTATTTGATGTTAAAAAAAAACATTACATAATCTACTGATTTGCACCTTGCATAATCTATTGATTTGTTTTTTTTTCTATTCCGTTCTCAGCCTTTTTTTTAATTTTGGCTTTATATATTCTCAATTTGAATTATGCAATAACAAGTTTCAAGAATACACAAACCCTCTGGTAACACTGGTAAATTATGGAACCAACCATTTTAAAATACGACCATGGTCATAATGAGTGCCCATGACAACACTATGTAGGTGTGATCCTCCTGTGTCACCTTGGAATTGAAATTAAAAGAAATCATTCAAGAAATTTGTTAAAAAATAAATGTAAATTACGAGTTAAATTTTGAATAAGGTTGGTTTGAAATAAACGAAGTCTCTCGTATCCGTTCTTTTGGTTCAGGGGATTTCAATCTTATTTTTTCAGGCAGCACTTTTTGATAAACAAATCATGGACGGAGACATGGAAGACAAAATTTTGTGAAAACAGTAGGAAAGTCACTTGACCATACACACTTCGAAAACATCATGTAAGTTTAACTCTCCTAAGACTGACACATGTAAGAGATGACCACAATTATGTCGGTTAGTATTTTTACATTACGTAAATCGAAGCAAAATTCTAATTTTAGTCGTTCAAGTTTAGTGACATGTAAAATTATAATGAAACGTATTTTCAGCTGCCCACGGAATGTCCCGTCTAATGGCTATAGGAAAAGCGATCTACATTACAGATTTAACCAAATCCGCAATTTGGTGTAGGCAAATTCTTGCATAACATGTGAACAGATCCAATAAACCAAATGTGAACAATGACTTTAAACGTCGATGATTCGTGGAATAAAGCTCATTCAGGCAAATCGATAGTAGCATCTGGTAAAGTAAATATCGTTTACCAGATGCTTATGTCGATTTACCTGAATGACCGTGAAACTCGACGTTCATTGTTATTGTTTACATATGGCTCATTTCACAGCGCTTGAATTCAGTAGACTTAAAATAAAAGTTAATACAAACAGTAGATTTGGAACGACTGAATTCATTTTCAAACGCATACGCAGTACAGTGCCTTCCGGTTTTTGGCAACACATAATTTTTGTTTTCTTCATTTTCTTGCAAATCAATCCAACACTTAATTCCATTTGTGATATCACTAGACCCCTCTTTAAGGATCCCACCTACTTGGAATTCCATGGGAAATTCTCCAGAATGCTCGAGCATAAATTTGAAAAAAGAATTTTTTGATGAGGTCGTGTTGCCAAAAACGGGAAGGCACTGTATAAGCTTGGCATCAAAGGTGTCAAATATTTGATTAAATAAACATGCTTCGATGCTTCTGTCGCTTTCCGGACAATCCATTCGTATGTCTTTTTTAAACATATGTATAGCGTTGTCGACAGTACATCTTGTAGTGCAGTCTTAAATAGCACACTCAAAATGGTTATGATTTGTATGCAACTGAACATGTTTAGTATTAAATCTATGTTTTCGGAAGTCACATGACAAGCGTTACAATTTAACATCATTTTTCATACGATTGTTACCTCACTTCACATTAAGGAACCGCTCACGATCATGACAGCGTTGAAGTTTACGCTTGCGTTGGGCCAGCGTTCGTTCGTGTCATTTTACACCGTAAAAAAAAAGCTCGCAAAATTTTGATAAGGCATTCAAATAATTTGTCAAAAAGTAATATTGTGAGGTTAATGAAGGAAAGTTGCAATTATATCCCGCTTCTTTTATGTGCGTCTTGTGAAACGTAAAAATAAGTTAATTTTCGATTGACGTCATTTAATATTAAGTCTGTTTTTCAATTATTTCTCATTTAATAATCATAGTTTTTTAGTAGGTCTTTACCCGACATGACCTACACAATTAAAAACAGTAGTGTAAATTTCCGTTACTATGATGTAAATTAATGGAGCGTCATCACACTAGTTTACATTATAGATCGTGTAAATTTAAGAGACATATAATGAAATATTCCATATATTTCATGCAAGTTTGTAAGCAACATTTCTTGCAAGTTGCTAGTTTATTTGAAAATGCATGAATGTTTGTTCTGTATATACCTAGTAAAAGAATAAATAGTATTTTATTATTAAAAAAATCTTCATTTTCCAAATATTCTACTTTTTTATCACAGACAGGGGTAGTTTTTTTTTGTTTCTAGGGCTATATAATTTCGATATATTTTACTTAGTAAAAATTTTGACTTATGTTGGTCTTCCTTCATAGAAAAAAAAACAATTTGAAATGTTTTGAATCCTGAAGTAAAAACATTAGAAAAAACAAAGAATTAGAAAACTCACGGTCATATACCGTAAAGCCTCGATATTCAGTGCATGGATCGATTTTTTTTGCGGTTGCGTGATATGTTGTTTATCGTCAGCTTCGGCAGCGTTGCTGCGTTACGCCATTTACAAATGGAGGCTGCGGCGTGACGGTGTGGGCTAACGTGAGCCTTTTTACAACTCACTAAAACTCAATTTAATTCAAAAATTGGGTAGAAAATGGGTTCAAGAGATTATTTAAATATTATAAATTTGGAAACCGGAATATTACTAAGAATTTGAGATAGATGACATATTTTACATGATGTCACAACGTATTTTGCCTATTTGTTTATAATTGTTGTACTATAAGTGATAAAATAAATTAACCCCTAAATATTATTGCAGATTTGGATAATGCGTTAAATTTCCTATAAGAACCGATATGATTCCTATCCTATTATTTTGAGCTACTCAAACCATAAACTCAAATCGGTCGTCTCTCTCTGTTCTCTCGATATTTATAGCAAGCGAGCACGTGATTGGTTGATTGCGGCCTAAAAGTTTCATTAATGTTCAATAGTTTACTAATAATAAATTACTATATTCTTTATAGGGAAAATGGCTCTAATGCTGGCCTATAGATCTAGGATTGGGCCCATCGCTAAAAATCTGCTATTTATCAATGTTATCTAGATGAACGCGTCATTGGGACGGTACTAATGGATATTTTGATCGCTATTGAAAATTTATTCAATTACTGATTTTATGTATGGGCCCAAAATAGAGGCATTTAGTCCGAAATTACATCCATTTCCCCTATCAAACAAATCTTACATCAATTCTCACTCAAAGGGTGTGAAGAGAATTTAAATCCATCCATAACACAATTTCGTTAAACAGTATAGTCCACTAAGACGTAGTCCTTCGTCAAAAAATTTGGGCAGGACCGTAAGTCAGAGTAGCTCCGTAGTAAAGGAACAATTTTCCAAGGTTTATGCATCAACATTAAAAACTTAGTGTCAAAAACATGAAAGATATGTGTCCAATTTATGGATCATACCTATATTTTTTAGTGAGCAAACTTGATTTGGATCAATTTCTTTAGTTTACGGTTCGATGTTGAACGTTTTATGGGTCATTTAAAATATGTTTATGGGTAATTCGTTGAAGCTGCTCATTCTTTAGCAATCTACAATTGTGTGCTAAAATGTACAAAAAATATGGATCATATTAATGGAGTATTTTCCATTTTTTTTAATGGATCGTTGTATTAATTCTAACGGTGCATACTTAAGGGGAAGATTACCGCACTCAAAATAAAAAAAAAATATTTTCGGCACGTTTTTATTTCTCTAAAAACATTAGAAAAATTATCAAAAATCCAAGAAAATCAGTTTCTTCCTTAGATTCTTGAAAAAATTTACATGCAAAAATAGTTTTTCTATCTCATCATGAAAAAATATTGGACTCTCAGCAAAACCGAAAAGTTGATGTTTAGTGGTTTTTTGAGTCCAACTGTATGCCATGATAAATTACAAAAAAAAAAATATTTTTGCACGTGAATTTTTATTAAAAAACACGAAAAAATGTGATTTTTTTAGATTTTTTAAAAAAATTTCCCAATAATTTTATAAAAATCGAAACTCTATTTTTTCGGAGCGGTATGTTTCCCCTTAAGACTGTCAAAGATGGAATTCACGGCGGTTTGGCAAACATAGGTAGCGTTTGCAATATGTGAAGAAATAACCTTTTAAACGGTATTTTAGAAAACGGATCAACAAAACCCGAGATACATAATTTGGAAAGAAAGTGTCGGCTTCATTTTCAGAGTGGTGTTCGAATAGTTAACATTACGAATAGAAAACGATTTAAAAAAATACTTACTCGCAACGTTTGTGATAGCATTTTGACGTGATCTATGCGTGCCGTAAGGGAAGGTAGATTCATCAGAGATTCGTCAAGTTTATTCTTACGAAGACAGGAAACCACTTTTCCATGCTGTGTTTTGTATTGTTCCAGTAGATTCTTGTTTAACAGTACGTCGTTTTGATGAATTGCGATATTATTTGAAACCTCAGCGAGACGTGTCTTATACAATTGGAGTTGTGATAAACATTTTTCCTGATCATTCTCTGTGAGTGTGCTCCAGAATAAATCCGCTTGCTCCTGAATTCCGTGGAATAACAAATTTCTTATCGTTGCCTCGGTTTCCACAATCTTTTCCAGCTCCAGTAAATCTTGATTCACCGAACTGATATCAAACTTAAAAGCATGAGTTTTTTCTAGACGCTTTTCGGACACATTGAGCCACTTATCAATTTGGTTAAGACTTTCGTGATAGGCACATCGGTAGCGATGATTTTGTTGAAGGTACGTTTCACGGCTGTCCAGTTCATTTGGAACAGTATTTTGGTACTGCTGAGCTTCATAAATTTTTGTTTGGAGATGTGTTGGTAATTTGGGGTCAGATTGTATTTTGTTTTTAAGATCCTCAAGTTGATTAAGTTTGGCTCGTGCCTGGATATTCAATTTCTCATGAGAGGCTATGAGATCAGCTGAATCCTTCAGACTTTCACTGTACAATGGACGAGATTCGATAATGTCATTATTTTGGCGGAACCAATCTATCAACGTAGAATATTCCTTGAAAAGTGTATTGTGGTAGATGCGTTGCTTCTGGTATTTGTCTTGTTCTATAATCACATTCCGCTTGATGGAATCCATCTGAGTTTGCAGAGAATGTAGTTGATCCATTATATTATGGCGATCGAGGTCTGTCCCTTCGTTTGCTATCAAGCGTCCTTTATCCGACGTAGAGACAAGCATTACATTACAACTTTCGATGTGGTGTAATATGCTGTCGTACTTTCTTAACCGCTCATCAATTTCTGGTGAGAAATTATCAACTTCGTTAAATTCGGAGTTGATTTTTGCTATTGCTTTGACGACTTCGTTGACAGCACCAATGAATTGTTCTCTCATGTTCAGCATTGATTTTAGTCTTCTCAATTGCTCTTCAATCGTCATAATCATTTCTTCCAGTTTGGATGAATTCTCGCGCAGTTGTGGTATATTGGTCAGGAGTATTGTATTCAAGTCAAGACGTCTCTCTTTCAAATCACCCAGAATTGTTTCGTATGCCATTAGAAAATCTTGTATGCACTCAATTTTACTGGCAACTGGTTTGTTCATGTCACGTATCTGGTTTTGTACTTTAACCAAAAATTCTTCACATCTTTTTATTTTGTCTAACGCATGTTCGTACTCTTCAATATGGCTATTTAGTTTTTCTAGTTTGCTTGCTAATATGCTATGGAGGGTATTCCATTTCTCATGCGCTGTTCTTATTTGAACAGTGATATTATTTTTGTCAACTTCGTTCAATGTAGGGGTAATGGCATTTTTATATTCATCGAGCTCTTTCAAACAAAGCTTCATAGCTTTACATTCATCGAATGTCTTAGTCAATCTATTAAGTTGATCCTTGAGAATGTCCAAGCTGGAGATTCTGACGTTCAACGATGCAATTGGTTCAGCTTCAGTTAACCAAGTATTGATTGTTTCCTTTCTACGCTCGAATTCAACACGTTTTAGATGTTCTCGTTCCATGAATGCAATTTTCCTTGCACAAGTTTCAATCAAATCCCTCAATTTATTCTTGATACTCTCAACATCATTTGACAACTTTGCTTGTCCTTCTTCATTACATTCTTTCATGATTTCATTTACTTGCTTGATAACATCCTTGAATGCGTTTTCTTCGAACTCCCGAATTGTTAGATCATGTCGCTTGCATAGGTTAATCTCAGAGAGTACGTTCGACGCTAATAGTGGAAGTTGGTCAGAAATTTTGTTGATATCATTCAACTTGGTTTTTATCCACGTACGTGTCATTTCAAAGTTGTTTTGCATATTTCTACGGCAAAGGATATCATCCGAGATTTTCTCGATTTCTTGACGAATGCTGTTATGAAGCGAGTTAAGTTCTTTGCAAAGTTTCTTAATATCTGTTTCCAATAGTTGCTTTTCAGCTGGTTCTAAATCATTTTGAATGTTTGAATACCTTTTTCCAACAGTGTCCATAAATGACTGTCTATTCTCCGTTTCCTTCAGTAAGCTTTTGAATAGCTGCTGTTGTGCTTCAACTGATTTTGTGTCAAAGCCTAGCGTGTATGGTACATTCATGAACTCATTCTTTGCACTTAACCATTGCCGAACCGAGTCAACTTCAGCAACTATCTTCGTGAACTCTTTATTTGTAGAATCAATCATTTCAAACTTTCTGTTCAATCTTTTGCTTATATCATTGTATCTTCGGTCAATCGATTTCATTTGTTCAGTCACTTGTTGTGCATCCAAGTTGCTGACAAGATCAATAACATGCATAGCTTGTTTCTTATAGTTTTCCATTGTGTCGCAATCGTCTTCGAGTATCTTTTGAATATTTGCGACTTTATCAAGTCTCTGTTTGCAGTTCAAACCGCTTCCCTTCTCAAGATTGTTGATTTGGTTGATCATTGCATCCAACCAATGCTGTGTATCTTCATAGCTTTTTTTGTATCTATCAATACTTGACTGACTGCCAGATTTACTGTCGATTACTTGTTTGAGACGTATTGCAAGATCATCCAGCTTATCGACCAGTGTATGGTCGTCTTTTTCGAGTATTTCATCTTTCTTTATAATGATGTTTCTTAATAATTCATTCATTTGCTTCAGTTCTTGTTCTGCTGCCTCCGATCGGAACTTGGACGGTTTAGATGACCATTCGTTAATTATTGCTGTTTGTTTTTCAATCCATTGCTCCAATTCAACTCGGTGTTTATGTTGTCGTTCACAATCATTGACGGCTGATATAAGATCTGCTATCCATGATTGGACCTATTTGGAATAGAAAGAAAATATGAGTCGTTATTTTAACATTAAGAGGAGTGATATTTTCTAAACGACTTACCTCATCAATAAGATCTTCCAAACGTGCACGCACCATTAGCTCCTTCTCAGGAATTACTTGATGGGCACTATCGATGGGTGAACTTGGTCGACTGATGCTTGCAGTTGCTGCTTCACAAGCCTGCACAGCATGAACTAATCTACTTTTTTCAACTTGCAGTTTGTTGTGATAGTTTTGGGCGCATTCAAGCTGCGTTTTAACTCCACCATAATCTACTGCTCTGATCTTCTTCTTTTCTTCAACTTCGGGCTCAAGCTCATCAAGATTTCTTTTGATATCATCAAGCGTATCCTCGTACTCTTGGAATTTGTGTAACGAATCATGTAGACGATTTTTAATTTGCACCGATGTGTTCAGCAGGGAATCGTAGCTTTCCTGAATGTTTTTCATCTGATTTTCTATTCTTTTTTTGATTTCTGGTGAATGCACCACATATCGTTCTATTTGATTTTGTGCTTTGACATTAAAATCATCAATATTCACTTGATAACGTTGGATTTCATTCAGAAGCTTCTCGTGCTGTTCAATTTGTTCCAATGTTTGTTCACGGTTATGGATGTACAAGGAATTATGTGCCATAAGTTGGAAGGAAATTTGAAGTAACCACTTTTCTATTTCTTGTAAATTTTGATAATATGTCATTTGATCCTGAAGTTCCATTTCCAAATTTTGGATTAGATACATGCATTTTTCCTTCAACTTGGTGTTTCTTTTTTGCATATTTAAAATTTTATCGCTTTCTGTAGCACATTTACTCGAGTCAAACAGATTGGCAGCTTCTTGTTGGATGCTATCTAGATCAGATTGCTTAAATGTTACTTCCGTAAGGATGTGCTTAACCCTCTCTAGTAGCATTTTAAGTTCACCCATTTCTCCGTGTGTTTCCGGTAATGTTTCAAATGCACCTTCAGTGGCATTCAACCAATCTGCGATCCGTTTCTTCAGTTCTTCGTACAGTTCCAAGCGATTATATTTAGAATTTAAGTTGTTCAAGGTAGCACTTATATTCATGACAATGGCATCAAGCTCATCGCGTTGCTCGGATATTGTTTGGAACATATCTGTTTGCTTATCCTCCGAATACAGGTACGATGATTTTGTGAAGGAATCTTGTAACATTTCAAACAATTTTTGACCTTGAGGAACGGTGTTTGAAAGAGCTTGTATGCTATAGATCTTCTTTTTGGTATTCACTATGTCGTCGGATGTCATATATTGCGAGTCATTGATTGCTCGTTTTGCTTCATCAATCCACTTTTGCAGTTCATCTTTGTAATAAATAAATTCCGTATGGCTTACAACATTCTTCTCCAATTTCGAAATTAATCCTGTAAAATAGAAATGACGGATTTAGATATCGGTCAAGCATAAAGAAGATCTGCATACATTAAACAGAAAATTTGACTGGGTAAACTACTTACCTTGCAAATTCACTAGAAGTGTCGAATAATTTTTTTGAAGTTCAACGGTGCGGTCTCGAACCATAGAGCATGCACATTTTTCCATTAATGCTTCGCAGATATCATTCAATTCCTCAATGGAATTTTTCTTGCTCACAATTAAATTGAAGATTTGCTAGTATTGTGATGTGCAGGATACGATTTTACAAATTAGATGGATTTGATCAATTCGCGATGTACCATAAAAGGTGGAAAAAGGAAAAAAAATGATACATGCGTAGGTTAGTTACTTTCCGTTTCAGTGAAAATTAACAGTTGATAGTTACCTTAAGTTGTTTGAGATTATTTTCCTGTTCTGCGGTGTTTTCAGCATTGAATGATGATATTTTGCTTTCGTGGTCCAAGATGAATGAGTTGATGTCGTCAGATTTTTCCAAGAAACTTTCCCAGGAAGAAAGTACATCAGTCAACTCTTGATCGACTGTTCTTGACAAAGCTTCAATATCTTCCCAGTCTGTATTGGCTTGTAGAAGTTCTTGCTTGATAGAATCTTGACCTTCTTGACCTACAATCTGAAGTAGCTTACTTCCAAGGTCCTGTGCATTTTCAAGCAAAATTTTTCCTTCGGAGAATGACAACTGTATGTCTTTTATTTTATTGATTTGTTCCACAATGTGCTCCTTATCGCCATGATAATCTGTGAGTTTTTCTGTTCTCAAGCGAGCAGTTTTCATCCACTCATATAACTCTTGAAGCCCCTGTTTGAATTTCTCATAGTTATTGACTTGATTTTCCAAGTTTTCAATTTCAATGGCAATTTTTGAAACCAAATCTTCATGATCTTTAAGTAGTTGGTTGTGTTTTTCGCTTCCGATGCTACTATTTCCAGTGAGTTTTTCTTTGATTTTGTCTGCTATCTCGTTATAGTTTCCAGTTTCACGTTGGATAGCACGGTACTTTTCCAAAGCAACCCGCCTGTCAGATAGTTCAGTGAGTACTGAACTGTCTTCAAGTTTGCCTTGAACCTCTTCAACCCATTCGGAGAGGATTTTTGAAAGTTTTCCTATGTCTTCAAGTTGTGCCAAATGATTTAATAGCTTTTGACGATTTTCATTGATATCCAACATTAGAGACTCATAGTCAGTTTTGATGTTATCTGTATCTTCGGCAATTTTTGAAGCACCGTTGGTTTCAGTACTGAGAACAATCTTCTCCTTGAGTTCAAAGAGATATCGCAATTTATTCTGACCTTGCTCAAGGCTTTGTCGGATTCCTTTTATGATATTGAGTTTGGACTGTGTTTCGGTTATAGTTTGTGGAGTTGCATCACACTCATTCAACCTTTCACGCAATCTGTCCAGCCAATCCTGGCATTCACCGTATAGCGTATTGTGTTGCTGATGTTCTTGATAGTGTTGCTCTAGTCTTCGCATTGTTTCCTTGGCAATTGATAACAGAACGTTATATTTGGTGGTTAGCTGAGTAACTCCGTTACTAACTCGCGTATCAGCACAAATCTCTAGCAGGACTTGAGCTTTCATGTTCAAGGTATCGAGTTCGCGTTGCCAATCGAATAAGGTTTGCAGTTTTTCCTGGAACTCTTCCAACACACATTTTTTCTCTTCAAGACTATTTTGCATTTTATTATATGATTGAATTTCCTGCTCAATTTTGTCCAACCATTTCTGAGCAATTTTATACTGGTCGTCGTATTCAGTCCAACGAACAATACCATTTTCCAGAGCCGCTCCAATTTTTTTCAAAGCTAGACAATAGTTGTCAAATTCCTCTTGAAGAATAGCGACCTCCTTTTCTATAGCTTCACATTCTTCCGCATCGACTATTCGACATGCTATCTCAGCTTGCTCAAGAGCTTTCTCGAGTTTCTTCTGTCCAACGGGGGCGTCACTCTCAAGAATCTTAAGCTGCGTCATTTTCGAAACCAAAGAATCCTTATCACCTTTGTAATCGGTGCATTTGTTTAGATTTTCCTTGGCATTACGTATCCAGGCAGCAAATTCATTACTCGAGTCGATAAAGGCTTGATGAAGTTCAACAGTTTCTTTTTGCTTAGCAAAAACTTCCTTGGCTTGTTTGCTTAGATTTTCATACTTGTGTGAAATTTCAGAAGCTGGAGATGTTTGATGAAGACCCGACGCTTTATTGGCAACCGACTGAATCATTGGTTCAAAGGAAACTATGTCTTGAACAATGTCGTTGGCTTGGCGTAAATTAGCTCTCCTCTCATTCAAACCACTGCTGAGACTAGAAGGCGCACTTGTCTTGAATCTTACAACCTTTTGCTCACTGACTCTCTGTAGTTTTGATTCCCGATCCTGCATCCACTGCGTGAGATGATTGTAGCTGGAGCTATAGTCTGCCCACTGAAGTAAGCTGGTTTCCAAATGAACTTTAGCGGTGGACATTTTTTTCACAAGACGGTCCCAACTGTTTTGTATTTCTTTGAGTTCGTTGTTGATTACTTCTCTTCCATCGGATTTCGTACATTTTACCACTTTTTCTCCAGTGTTGATTGTGTTGTTCACTAGATTTTGTCCCTGATCACGTTGTTGAATTAACTCGACAACTTTTTCCAACCGTTTTTCCAAGTTTTCCTTACTAACTTGTTCTACATTATCTGTTGAGTACCTAACAATGTCCTTAGCATTTTCAATCCAAGCGTTTGCTTTCCGTAGATAATCATTATAATCTCTATGAAGTTCATAGTTTGATTCTACTTTCTTCTGGACATCTTTAGCAATATTTACTTGCACCTGGTACCGAGAATTAAGATGTCTTAACTGGTTTCCAATATAGGAATCTAAATGGGATTGTAAAAGTGGAGCGGCAAATGCGTTGAATTTATCCATTTCTGTTTGCCCTTTGCCTAATCTGTCGATCAATTCTCGCATATCTTTGACTTGTTTATCTTTTTCTTGTAAATTGGAGGACATGGTCAGTTTGTTATTTTTAACAATTATATCAATTTGCTGCAGCCATTCCGAAAGACGTTCATACTCGTCTTTATATTCCCGAAGCATCGAGATAGTTTTTTCAAGATTACGCTTTTGATCAGCAATCTCCTTGAATAGGTTTTCAAAATTGTTTTTCAACCCATTTATGTCACTCTTGATCAGTTCTTTACCTTTAGCAGACGTTGATGCCATAACTACTTCACCAGTGTGAACTAAATGTTCCACTAAGAGTTCTCCTTGGGCTTTTTTGTTCATGAGAGAATCCAAAGGAGCGATTGCGTTGTCTATTGATAACTTGTCACTTAACGATTGCTGTTTTATACATGGTAACTTTTCACGAGCTCTACTTATCCAATTAAACAAATCGTCATATGCTTCTTTGTACAATCGATGATCCCGATATTGGTCTTCTCTTTCAGTGAGTAGTTTACTGATCTGGTCAGCCATGTAATCAAACTTTCCAAGGATCTGTTGCGCCGTGCATGCAGCTTGAGTTTGTTGACACATTTCTGCTGCGTTCTGTTTTAATGGTTCAATTTCAATGCGTTCAATACGAATTTTTTCTTCACAATTTTTAATTCTGTCCAATTGAGCACGTTTTTCCGCCATTGTCGGTTGAAATTCTGAGTACCCTTTGAATTCATTTTCCATCCATTCAATATTCTTCCGCAAATCATTTACTTGGTCTAAAAATCCTGACCATTGGTTGATAGCTTCATCCAAATTAGTTTTCACATCTATCATTTTCAGTGTCAAAACAGACCAATCCTCTTGTAAAGCCGCTACAGATCGATTAATTGTCTCGTGGCCAGCCGAAGTAGTACAGGCAAGAACTTGCTGTGCCAGATCCATTATAAGCTGAATCTTTGAGCTTCCTTCGTCCTTATTAACTATGAGCTCCTGAATAAGCTTCAATTTGCTCTGTAGTTCTTTTTCGGAAGTAGTACTTTGGTCAGTACAGTAATTCAATTTTTCTCTTACCCCATTCAACCATTGCTTACAATTGGAAATCTGGGTTTCCAATTCTTGATGGTTGATAACGTATTGCTGCCACCTTGTGGAAAGTTCTTTTACGCGATTTGCTGTTTGTTGATACTTTATAGCCAATTCCGATATTTGTGAATTCCTACTGCTAAGATACCCCCTATAAAGTTGTTGCGCCTTTTCGGTAAAATTATCAATTTCTAACTCCTTAGCTTTCACCTCACCCTGTAAGCTTTTCAGATAATCTAACGTCGCTTTCTTTTCGTTGAGGGTAGCTTTCAAATCAACTGAGTGTATCTTTGAATCCACGTTACGGATCCAATTCATACAATCTGAACGCATTTTTTCATAATCATTCCATTCCGATACTTTGGATTGAATTTTTTCAATTGTGCTATCAATAGCTACTAAAAGCCCCTCCCAATCCTGTTGAGAAATATCTATTTGCGATCTGATATTAGTCTTTCCGTCGTCACTAGTATCAGGAATGGTCATTTCCCCGATAGTTCGTATCTGCTCAATTCGATTGTTTTCCGATATGATAGATTTCTTCAACTCGTTCAATCGATCCAGATTCGTAAGCAACGACACTTGGTCAAGATCAGTCTCACCCCAAAGTTCAATTGTATTGTGATTTGCGTCAATGAAATCTGAAGTTTCCAATACCGCCTTGCAATATTGACGATGGTTGTTTACGATTTTTTCGTAAGCAACCACAAAACCTTGACATCTATCAAAATATTCATTGTATGTCTTATTGACCTCGCTGTAAACAAGATCTATGCTCACATCCTCTTCTTTAAGGTTATTGAGCAGATCCTGTATGTTGTTCAGTTCAGGCTTATGATTTTTTATGTCATTCATCATGTCTTGATATGCTTGATGCTGGGAAATTTTCTCATCAAGGGTTGGTTTCAAGACCATTTCGCCAGAAAAATTTGAATCGATGCCATTTAACCATTGTTGAATTTGAGCAAGCTTCTCATTGAAACCTGAAAGTTTAGTGGATTTGGCTTCGCATGTTTTTAAGAAAGAACTGATTTCATCAAACAAGCGTTCAAATCGTAATAACAATTCTTGAATCTCAGTTCGAAGCGCTTGCTGTCCTTTCATGGCTGTTGAAGTGTAGAGTCTTTCTCCCATATCTGACACAGAGCTACACTGCACGCTAACAGAGTTTTGCTCGGCTAATAACTTCTTCATAGTTTGAATAACATTCTCCAGACTTTGCTGCTGATTGGTCTTACAGTTCACAAACGTCTCCTTAATTTGGTCCAGTACTGCAATACATTCGTCATATTTGCCTTTGTATGTTTTATGTTCCTCAAATGCTTGTTCGCATTTCTTCGAAATTTCTTTTATGGTATTTTCAACAGACTGCATTCGAGACTTAATCTGCTGCATATTGAAGGATATTTTTGCATCTCCACTGCTTTGAAGTAGCTCGGATGATTTGTCAAGCAGGGCATCTAAAGACAAATGCTTGTGTTTGAGTTTTCCATTCAAGGCTTGGTAGATATCATGTTGTTCCTGTTTTTCAATCAGAGTATTTTTCAGGCCATAACCTCGCATAGAATCTTCAATTCCTGTCAGGAATCGATTGATGTCATCCAATTCCATTTGATATGCATCCCATAGCTGAATGCGTTTTTCCAGCTCAATTTTGGTATCATTAATCGAATTGTTTAGCTTTTCAAATTCGTGCTGAACTTTTACTAAATCTTGCTCCATATTCATTTTTGCACCGTAGGATATAAGGTCACTGTTATCTGATATCAATTTGCTCAGATCTCTCAATTTATTCATTTTTTCGGGTAGAATGTGTTGCAAATCATCAACTTTCTGTAACTTGTCCTGGATAGATTTTTTGCTTCCAGAAATATCAGATAGCTGCTTTAGATCATTAAGCAATTCTTCTTGTTCGTCAATATGCGCTTTTTGAAGCTCATTGAATTTGTTGAGTAATAATAAGGATTGTTCTAGATTTGACACAATATCAGCAGAGGATTTTTTCAATAGTTCATATCGCTCATTGATAGACTGTACTTTCGCAGTAATATTTTCGTCTCGATTGTTTAAAACTTGTGTCGTTTTTTCGTTCAATGAGTCAATCATTCGTTTCTGACTCATGATTTCCTGCATCAAAGCTTTGTATTTGAAAAGCTTAGAACGTATTTCTTGCGTGGAATTCCAGCTTTGGGATTCGCTTGTGTCTATTTTCTTTTCTGTAACATCAAGCCAGGACAATATTTGCTGCACAATGTCTTGATATGAAGACCATTGTACAGACCTTACGTCAAACTGCTTTTTCAGATTGTTTACCGCAATGATGATTTTGTCAAAGCGATCTTTAATCTCTCTTATATCTTCCCGTATTTTCTCACGCCCGTTAGAACTAGTTTCTGTCAACACTTTTTCACTGGCCGTGATAAGACTTGGTATGTAATTCTCTATCTTTTCCTTCTCAATGTCTATGTTTTGCAACATGGATTGATTGATTGCTGTTATTTTATCTGCCACTGCTTTCTCCAAATTATTTTCAATGTTTGTCAAACGTGTACTACATTCTATTAACCTTTCGTCGTAGCCTATATGATCATTGACGATATTTTGTGCCCGATTCACCACTTCTTTGCTTAATACCAGCAGAAGCTGATGACGGTTTATGAGTTGGTTTATATAGAACTTGACTTTTTCGACACCTGTTTTGCTGAATAACGCTTGGGCAGTGGTAACAAAAACGTCCACATCCTTCTGTTTTTCATTTATATGTTCCAAGTTGGTACGATACAACTGCAGCTGGTTCTGTTTCTTCTCCAGTGTATCATATAATTGCTGCTCACGGAATATTGTTTCCATTGACCTGCACCACTTTGTAAGGGTATCTAATTCTTGGTCAAATTGTGTCCAGCTTGTTAGGCATCTTTTTTGACATTCTACTGTTTCATCTATATACTCGTAAAGGCTATTCAAGTCAGACCGTAATGTATTCATCTCTTCTTCCGCTTGGGCAATTCCTTGAGGAGCTGTACTTTGCTTGTTTATATTATGGTGTTGAAGCAGTTGATTCAACAATTCATCGCCCTTCGATCTGGACAGTTTCAAATTGTTCAATGTTTCAATTCGTTTTATTATTTCTTGTTTCTCACCGCCCTCGTCATCACATGCCATGACTTTATCCTTTTCCTCGGTGATCCAATTTTTTAGTTTACCATAGCTAGTTGTGTAATTATTGTGGGCATTAACACAATTGTTCAGGCTATCCAAAAGTTCGTTCGATTTCAGAACAATATTTTTGTAAGTATCCTTAATGGATATTAAATATGTTTCAAGGTGCTGATCGTTAGTCAATGATAACAATTGTTGTGCTTTAGTACATACTGAGTCAAGCAGTGTATTTTGTGCGAGAATTTCTTGATGCATAAGTTTATGATTTTGATATTGGGAACGCTTATCCTGAATGTTTGATTTCAGTTCAGCAGTGATCTTCATTGACGCTTCGATATCCTTCAACCATTTGGAAAGCTGTTCTTGTTGTAAATTGAATTCGCCAAGTTGGAGAATACATTGGTCGACTTTCTGAGATACCATTTCCAATTGATCAGAGAATTTATCCCACAGTTGACGCAAATCGGACAATCTTTGACGGATTTGTTCTCGACTGTCTGGTGATGTTTGAGCATACAATTTTTCACCCCTGGCGATCAATTCTTCCAAGGTATTTCCATCGTCAAGTCTCTTATATGCTATCTCTTTTAGGCGTATTTGTCGGTTTTGTAATACATTCAAATCACCCACTAATTGTTCCAGTTGTTCAAGTGATTCCAAATTATTCGTCAATATGGCTTGGAATTCATCATATGACTTGTTAAAATCAGATTGATCATGAATAGCAGCTTCTGCTTTGTTAATTGCATCAGCACACAAATTCATAACGCTACGGTATTCATTTTGCACGTGATACATCTTAGCAGAAATATCATTATTTGCCTTCAACCCTTGGCATTCTTCTATTATGTTGCTTATTCGTACGCCTTGATTTTCAATATCCTTCTTGATCCCCACCAAGTCAGTGATAATATCTTGTTTTGTACCAATTGGCATCTGACACGAGACATCTTTTATTTTGTTTTTGGTGTCACCCAGCTTGGCCAGACATTCGTCGAGATTGTGATTTGCGTTTTCGATTTGATTCATCATATTTGCCAATTTAGACCGATTCATTCTACAATTTTCGAAAAACTGTATCCAATTGCGTTTGTTTTCTTCAAATGTTTTGAGAAGATCAGAATGCCCAACTTCGTCAGTTTGTCCCATGACAACGGTGAACTGATTATAACAATCATTAACGCAATCTAGAACGATCTCTTCCTCGGAAAGGGTATTATCAAGGATCATGAGATATTCTTCAATTTTGCATTTATTCAGATCATTCTCATTGTTGAAAACTTCGTTGGTTTGCGATTGAAGTTTCAACAGCCAATCTCTTGACTTCTCCAGTACATTGTTGTAATGTTCGTGGTCTTTCACGCATTTCTCGTATATATCGAACTTTTTCGAAAGATCGTTTATGAGTGTACTGTATTTTTCACATGTTTCATCAATATTCGCTAAACTATCTGTGCTGTATAATGCAGTGGATCGTTTTAATAACTGCTCAACACTACTTTTATGATAATTTGCGTCTTTGATCATAGCCTTGCATTCAAATAATGCACCTTTTTTAAGTTGTAAGGTGGCGTAGAAGGCAGGTAAAGTTTTTAGCTTATTTTCCAGATCAATCAGCCACTTTAGAAGCTGACAATAGCTTTCATCGATTGTCTTTTTATTTATGATGTTTGCTTCCATTTCCTTAAGAACTGTATTGCATCCATCTAAAAGACCGTGATACGCATTTCTCAACGATAAGACCTCCATCCTAATTGTCTCACGACACTCCGGGTTTACTTCGGCGTATAAATTCTCCCCCAAAGAACATGCGTCATTCACTAATTGTTCATGCGCCACAATTTGACTGCGACAATTCTTCAGCTCGTCGTAATCTTTGTCTGACACTTTACTGAAGCGCATTTGATGTGCTTTCGTATTTTCAATCCACTCAAATGCTTCTTTCAATTGATTTTTGAATTGTTCATTCTTAGAATCTACATCTGATAATCTGTGTAATAGAAGCGAAAAATATTTTTCAAAGGTATTGAATCGTGTTTGTAACTGTTGCACAAGCACCAATGCTCTCGAATCTGGATTCAGTTTATTGATGTTATTTGCAATATCATGAAGCTTTCTCAAATTAGGCTCAAAATCAGTTAAGGCTTTGTAAGTGCCTTTCGTTTCTTCGATTTTATCACCTAGTGTGTTCAAATCTATCAACAGTACTGTTTCCATTTTGTGTTTGATTTCTACCTCTTTTAGCCATTTGACTATATCTCCGGACACTTTTTCATATTCTGTCCATAAAGCGATGTTCGAATTCAATGTAGACTTCACTTTACTACATTCCGATTTCAGGTGCTTAAAACCGTTTTCAACGTCATCTTTCTCCTCTTTAAAGTGATCAAGTTTCGGTTGAGTGATGACTCCACCTAGAGAGTTCAAGAAGTCCGAAACATTGACTAACAATGCATCATACTCGGTAATGGATTGTTCTATATCGCACAAAGTGGACTTTTTTATTTCCAAATTGTATTTATCACTGTTAGTTTCTGGATAGCACCATTTAAGTTTTTCTATTTGCGATGAAACAATTCGGTTGAGACTCAATACCTTGTCTTTGAACGTTTTCTCAACAGCCTTATTCAATTTGCCCTCCACTTCGTTGAGATTGTTTAGTACCATTCCAAAACGTTGTTCCAAGTTTTGCAATTCTCTAGAGGTAGTGCTTTCTTTAATGGATTCATATTTCGTCTCGATACTGACAAAGTGATTTTTCAAATCAGTGATCTCCGCACCCACTGAGTTTACATCCATTCGTAGCTTTTTCAACCTGTCCAGGTTTCGAAGCTGCTTATTTGAATCCAATGTAACATCGTCGCAGTTCATGATTTCTTCGCGAATGTTGTACAATTTTTCAATGACCAATTTGATTCGCTCTTTCAAGCTACGTTCTTCCCCAATGTATTCGTTCATTTTGTTACTTATTCTGTCAAAGTGAGCCTGAAGCTCGGAAAACATGCTTTTAATTTTGTTTTCCATTACTGCAAGATCATGAGGCACCGAATTATTATTTACTCGTTTGAATTCGGATAGAAGACTAATAAAATTTTCATTACATACTAGTTGAGCTGGTAGCTCGTTTCTGTAGCATGTAATTCTATGCTCCATTTCACAAGGATTTTCCAGCACGCGGTTGAACTGATCTTGAGTTACTTCAAGCCATGAAATTATGTCATGGCTTAAATCTTCAATCTGTTTATAAAGCGCTAATTTTTGATTTAATGCATTGCTGTTGTCAATCAGTTTTTCTAAATTGATTTTAAATGCTTCATTGTTTTGCCTTATTATGTCAAGAAGATTCTCGCAGTCCTGTGGGTTATAATTGCGGAATAGTTTAACGATATCATTTCCTTTATTAGAAACTGCGTCTGCATTTTTCTTTACTTTCTTCATTGATTCTGATGACTTTTTCAAAACGTCTAGCTGATCGATTAGCGATTGCTTATCGTTAAATTCTGTGGCAGTTGCTTTGTTAGTAGATACGATATTCTTGAGCTCACTGTTGAATACCATGTTATATCTGTTGAAATCGTTATAGTGATCTCGCACATTTACAAAATTTTCCAGAGTTTCTTCAATTTCCGATTGGATATTGTCAAGCTCTTTATCAAGCACAGCAAGAGGTTCTTGAATGCTAATCATGGGAATTTCTTCCTGCTTCATCAACAAGGACCCTTCGTAATGAGCCTGTGCCTTCGTTGAACATTCTTTACTGAGTTGTTCATTCAAAGAAGAAAGCTCTTCCAACGAATCATCAATATTACTTAATCTTGAATTCTTGACAATCGTCTTTAGTTTATCAGAGATTGAGTTCAAATTTGCTATTATCTGTCTTTGTGTCTCTTGGAAAATGGCGACCCTCTGTTTGACATCATTAATTTCATTTATTTTTGAGTCACAGTTAGATCTAATTTTATCAAGTCTGTTTTCCAAATCAGCCAGCATTTTTACTGCATTAACTTTGTTTCCCTTCTTATCGTGGAATTTAACACGAGGTTGGTGTTCAAGAGCAATCATATTTTGTTTCCAATTATTGATAGCCTGTGCAAAATTTTCAACTTTGCTCAGAGTATCTTTAAGGTCTGCTTCTTCTACCACATCATATCTTACGACATTGTCATTCATATGTTGAATTTGATCTTTGATTCCGTGGTACCAGTTTAAAAATGCTGACCATTTTTGCAGGTAATCTTTGTATTCCTGCAAGGTGGACTCAATGTTTTGATAATTACTTGCCAACGATGAATATGTTTCGTCCATGACAGAACGATCACCAGCAGCAGCAGGGCTAAGGCTGTCATCTTTTATTTGGGAGTATATCTCATTGAAAACATCTCGTTTACCAGCATGCTGTTGCAGCAAATATTGCACGTTTTGCAATGCAAGATCAGTCTCGTCTAGCAAAGTATCTTCTAATTCAGTGATGCTAGCGGTAATCTGATCCATCCAATTGCTAAAGTCGGTTATTTTTGCATTGAAATTCTGCTGGACTACAATGTGCTGATAATGTTCATTAATCATGCCACGCACATTATCGCTTAGTTTCGATAGTTGATCTTTTGGTTGCTGTAATTTACGTTTCAGTAAATTTATGCCTTCTTCTGAAATACCATTAGTTATTTGATCAAAAACGTGGACAAGAGAAATAAGTTTTGCCTGATGCTCGGAAATTTCATTGTTAAATAACCTTAGCATTTTTATTTTCTCTTCTAGTTTGTCGATTGGCAAATGTTCCAGTTTGATAGCCGAATAATGGTTTAGTTTACCATGGGCATCATTGATAAAGGAACCAAGCTTAGCCAATTCGACATCCATGGTAGACAGATTTAGAACAAGTTTGTCCATCTTTCCTTTCAAATGTTGTGCATTTTCACGGATATCTGTCAGAATGTCATAGCATTTATCTATCTCATCTGAGGGTTTGATTCCATACTTGATATTTTTACACATCTGCATCACATTTTGCAAATCCGTGAATTTTTCGTTACACTGTCCGCAAAGATCATTTAATTTAGCTTGAAGTAGCTTAGCATCTTCCAGCGTACAAATCTTGTTTTGTTGTGAATCAATTGGCATATCAATACCCCCAATCCAAGCCTTGATTTTGTCAATCTCGTGGTTGTATTGATCCCATCTTTCAACATCTTGATTGACTTGTGCCTTCTCAGCACCAAGGGCATTGTTCAGTTCGGTGAACGTTGCCTGTAGGCGCTGTGCTTCAGTTTTAAGTCGTTTCATCTCGGTCAAGTTACCTTCCTTAGATGCTAAGTCGGAGGCACTTGCATTCAAAATGTCCAATGTTTTCATTTTTTCACTAAGCACGTTTTCCAGCTGTTTTGTTTTTTGTAGCCTATCGGTTGGAGTGATGTGTGGCTGTTTTATAGCTGTTATCATTTTAGGATACACATTTCCTGCCCAATTTTTCAAATTATCAAGCCGTTGTTTGTATTCGTTCCATTTATCATTATAGTCTGTAAGGTAGTCTATTCGTTTTTCAACAAAGTTAACCGTATTGTAGATTCTTTTTTCAATTCCAGTTGTTTCTTTTTCTAAGACTTGTTTCGCAGTTGGATGAATGCATGAGCCCAATTCACGGCACAGATCATTCAATTGCATCAGAGACTTGGATGATGCTTGCTTCAAGTTTAATGCGAGCTGTTTCTTCGTCTCAAGATCTTGAGTAACGCTAGTTGGATCCGTTTGGAGGGGAGTGATGGATCTTAACTCCATTTCGGCGTTATTCAATAATGATTCAATGTTGCCCCTCTGCTCATTATAGTCGTTCCATGTTTTATGCACTGCCTTTAACCCTTTCAGTTTTTCGGCTGCTTCATTATACGTGTCGTTCCAACAGGTTTCTAAGATTCTTGTCTTTTGATTGACAAAAGCTGGGGCGTTAACATTTTTACTTAAGTCTTTACCTTTTTGTAACATTTTCATTATGTGTCCTCTTTGATTATCTAGTTCTTTCAGAGAAACGTTTTGCTCTTCAATCATAGTATTAACGTTGCGATAACTATCCGGAGTCGGAGCATTTAGGCTTTGCATTTTGATTCGGTTTAGCAAATTGCATATTTCCTCCGCTTCATGTCGGTATGTATAGCATTTGGCGAATATTTCAGTTTTTACCATTGTTGTTTCGATTGTTGGAATAAGTGTTTTATAGCGGGTAATCAATCTTTCGATTTTGTCTTGTTCAATAGCTGCTTGGTCTTCATTCGTGTGACTCAACAGGAAATCCAACGTTTTCACCAACCATTTCATGTCCTCTCTTCTTGCATCCGCTTCGAAACAGATATTCTGTGAATTAGAAATAGAGATACAACTTCAGACGGATCTTTTGGATTAAAGTAATTCATGCTGTTCATGCGTCATCATATTAAGCGTTGGATTCTTCTTTTGGAAAGGAAAGCTTATGAGATATAAACTGTCAACTCGCGTTAATTAACCTAAACGGTATTTTTTTTATGAATTTTTCAGTTAAGCTTATATTTCGCCCTCTTTATCTATGGATATCTATTGGCTATAAGCTCACTGCTCAATGCAGCCGAAAGTTCTTCATTATACATTTACTATTCAGTGCTAAGTTTTTTACCATTATTTCCCTCAACTGGAGAATGCGATTGAAAGTAAAAAAAAAAAAAGATCCCATTGAATATTAGTTAGTAGATCATAGTATTAGAGCTGCTAGGTTGTATTACAAATGATGCTTACCTGGAAAGTTGTTTTCTCCTGTTCAAATTGCTCCATTGTTTCCTTCTCAACCATAATCTGTTTTAATGATTGATCAACGCGATCCATCCATTGATTCATTTCTATGAACTTGCTATGGTATGCATCCCATTGAGCAGGAATTTTATGTAAAATGTTTTTAACATTTTCAATTCGTTTACAAATGCCAATCCATGTATCATTCGCCATCTGATACTGTTGGCACAATGCACGATCATTTGCAAATTGCTCCATGTGCACATAACTAATCCTTTCCAAGCAAGCCAATACCTTTTCGACGCTTTGAAGGTCATTTGTTTTGAAAAATGCTTCATTTCGTTGTACAATTGTTTCAAAATTCTCATTACAATTGAATGCTTGTTCTTCGGTGTTTAATTCTTTTTCAATCTGATTAACGTGATTGTAGAAAATAATTTCATTCAATCTGAATTCAAGTTTCATAAGATGTTGGGGGACATTCGATATAACTCCACTCCATTGCTTTTGAATGGATTCCACCTTAGATATCATAATGCGTTGCTCGTTCGGTGGCAGATATTTGAGAAGCTCTTCGGTATTTGCTTCCAGATCACCAATGATAGACTGATCTGCATTATTGAAGAAGTCAAGTTGCGCTATGACATCAGTTTGCTTTTCCAGCGGCACTGTGGCATTTTGCCATGATTCTGCTTGTCGAAGGAAATTTTCAACTTTTGATAGACTATTGGTGAATTTCTCCCATACTTTCAGATTTTCATGAAGCTTGAACTCCCAATCATTTGCGTTGTTTATTACATACGCAAAGCGCTCATTAAGTTGTTTCATTTTACCAGAAGTATCATTTATATTGATACTTTTGTCTACATTCGTTAACTTTAGAAGATTTTGGAAAACGTTATTTTTGCTTTCCAACATTGACTTGTAGTATAATGTACGGTTGAAAAAGGTTTTGTGTCTGGCGAGATTGGCTGTTGTATGCTGACTTTCATTGGTAAAAGCATAAGATATGAGAAGATTCTCTGCTTCATCTAGCCAGTCTGTGATTTCTTTTTGTCCAGATTCCAGTGCTTCCTGTTGCGTTAGAAGCTGATGGAAAAGATGAAGCTTGACAGGAATCTGTGCTCTTATGCAAACCAACGCCTCTTTTTCTCTTTTCATTAAGTTCATCATCTTGTCGACTTCATCTCTCGAATATTCTTTAATCAAAGCTTGGAAGCTTCTGCTGATGGATTTGAACAGTTCCTCCTTGGATTCAATTTCACATGCTATCTGTTTTATATCAGCTTCTGATTGTTTAATTTCTGTGGTATCTTTCAAATTGTTTCGGGACAGTATTGCTTCTGCTTTTTGTATCCATTCACTAAGACGAGCGGCGTCTGTTTTGAATTTTTGTCTGTGTTGTAGAACATCTCCAACATGAAGGTATTGTTTTGAATGCTGGAATATTTGATCCCAATGTTGTGATATTTGCTTGTATCTGTTCTCAATTTTGATCGATGTGTCATAATCACATGTTGATTTCAAGATGTTGAATGTTTCGGTCAGCATAGCATATTTATCCTTGTAAACTGTCAAATTTTGGAAAAATTCAATCTTTTCATCTTCCGTTGCTTTGAGGGCATCATGTGCGGCAACAATCCATGTTTCTAAATCTTCCGCAAGATTCTTCCAGCGTTGCCAATGAGAAAGAACATCTTCTAACATAGTCTCGGTACATATTAATCGCGATGATACATTCTTCCAACGATCTTCAATTTCTCGAAGAAAAGAGTCAATACTATACACTTCCTTCTTTGAAATATTACCGTCCACTTTATATTCCTCGATAACCTGCCGCATATCAACGAGGGCCTTTTCAAATTCTTGCATTATTTGGTTCCTTCTTACAAAATTCTTGAGTTGCTCAAGAGACTGTTTAACGATTTCTTCATTGCTATATTTGACACAATTGATCTTGTTTTCCAATAGATTAAGGAATGCAATGAGACAGCACTTATGTTCGAGATATTTCAGTTTTATCCTTCGCTGCCGTGCGTGAATTTCAATGTCCACTAGTCTCTTTTCTAAGTTTTCAAGCTGATTCGCGGGAACTCTCTTGGCCAGATTGGTCATTTTCAAATCATTAAATGTTTCAAACACTTCAAAATAAGCCGCAAAGAACTGTTTGTGTGCTTCCAATTTTTTACTTATGAGAGAAGCAGTTTCTTCGTTCATGTTGTTGGGAATATCACTGTCATTCAGAAGTTTTTCTCCATTGCTTAACCATAAACCAATGGCACCAAACTGATCTGGAAGGTTGCAATCCAAGAACCACAACCACTGCTGCAGGTGTTTTTCAAATCGTTGCCAGTAGTCATTCAGATCTTGAACCTCAGGAGTTAATTTTGCAGCGTGGATATTTTTAACTTTTTTGTAGGTATTCAGTTTTTCCATTTTTTCATGGTGTACTTTTTCATACATCTCGTAGTTGTTAGGATAATTCCCATTAAAACTGTCATAGTGCCGCACTGTGGTGTGCAGCCAATTTAGTAAGTCATACAGTTCTCGTTCACTTTCACTTTTGGAGTTGATATTCTGAAAACATAAAAAATATTAGACGAATACGAATACGAATTACGTGTGAAAAATTTATTTTACCTTCACATCTGGATATTTGTGTAAAAATTGTGCAACATAGGTCATAATACTTTTTTCATCAGGACTATTCACGTCTACGTCTTCAGCGTCCAATAGTCTTGCGATACCAAGTTCGGACTCAGCTACATTGAATGCTGTATCCAAGCGGTGACGATTGTTAAGTCTCTTCATTTCTGCAACGTTAATAACGTTTGTTTTGATGGAATCAATAAGGGTTAAAAACGCATATCCATCTCTCCAGCTTGCGCCAAAATCTCGTATCTCTAGCCCTGAATGTCTGAAAGATTTGAATGAGCAATTAATACTAGTAACATGCAAAACCAAGTTCATAACCTACTTTGGAAGTGCATTATTCACCCAGCCTAGGAGGGTTTTCTTAGGGCCTTGCTTGAGCATCTCTTGTGATGCTGCACCTGATTCCTGAAGCAAAGGTTTACTTGGACTCGGTATACATGATGCTGAACTGCTGTCCAAACTGCTGACGGATCCACTGAGATTATCGTTCAAGTAATACAAGATACGGCTGTTTTCTTCTATTTGGAAGTACAAAATTATTGTCCATATTAAACCCAGTACTACAGCCGGTCGTCCGTCCACGATATCCGATGGATTGATATTCACTAGTTTTATTCTTTTGCTTGTTAAAAATTGTAGAGCCGTGTTTACGTTACTCAAATAATGTGGCCTTCGTAGTATTTTTCCTTTTTCCATGGGCAACCGTTGACCCGAAAGCACTTCCAGTAAGGCCAATAGTTTAGTTCCATCTTTTAGATCATGAATAAGATCAAGAATTTTTAGAGGTGGATTTCGCTGAAAATACAGTTACAGAATAAAAAAAAAAAAACAATGTTAGCAATTAATTAAGCAATTCCCACTGGAAGCTGCAATTGTTCTGCCCCCCAAGACTTTCGAGGAAATGGCATTCGGCAAAATTTTCCATAATAAATTTTGTTTCGCCCCGCCCTAGCTCAAAACCTAACTACGCCCATGCAGAGAAGTCTATTAGTGCAGAACTTTAGGTGAATTCAAAGGTTTTCTTGCACTAATACGTATAATTTACCCCAAGTTCTGCACTAATACTTGTGGATTTCACAAACGTCAGTGAAGTCTATAGATGTGATGACAGTTAGGTATCCGTTCTGTTATTAATATGATGTTTAGAATAATAACTATATAGAACAAGTGACATTGCGGGCGCAGAAGAACCAACCGGTTTTAAATTGGCTCACTACTTGACTAGCCTATTGGTCCCAAGCAAATCGATTAACGTACCCCATTCTAGTTAAAATTCTAGTACTACACAATGTTTGTTTCGATTCGCTATGAAAGTTTGCCTGATAAAATGAGGGGTTAGTGGATTTTCCTTTGTTTCGAGGGGTGAATCGATTAGCTTGGGACCGAAAATAAGTACCAGAGCTGAGCCAAAAAGTTGAGCACGTTTCTTTGGGACCTACTAGTCTTAGAGTTACCTTCAGGGTGCCTTCCATTCATTTTGACTAAAACAATGTTTTAGGAAATTATGGAATAATAAGATATTATGATGGTATTTTGTATGTGTAAGTAACAAGAAAAGATTTTAAAGCTTGTGTTTGACACATAAAACCTGCAAATTTAGCTTTGACAGAGCCACAATGAGTGATTTTCTGATCGCCTCTTCGCGAAGAGTGAACAGCGAAGAGTGGGTGAGATAAATGTCAAAATCGCTTATTGCGACTCTCATGCAGCAACATTGGCTGATATTATGTGTCAAACATAAACTCCACAATCTTTTCTTGTTGCTTACACAAACAAAATATTATTATAATATCTTATTATTCCATAATTTCATAAAACATTTTTTTAGCCAAAATGAATGGAAGGAACTTACCTCTATGAAAGAACTGTTAAGCCTCTTATTGAATGGGCATTTCTACTGTAAAAATCACCGAAAATGTAAGGTAAATCGTTAATAGTGATGACAAACTAATCAATATAAATATTATAATACACTGCCGGTGTTCCAATGAAAGTAAGATTCCAAACTGAAATACTTTCGGAAATCGATAAAATGTTTGGTATGTTCATATGGATCTATTCTAAAACTATAGACCTATATCATATGCGAAGTTGGAGAAGGAAGGGGGCTTACTCCCCGCCCCTCTTACTCATATAAATGGAAGTAATGTTTCAATCTGAAATAACTTCCGTATTTCTCTCAGTTGGTATATTCATATGAAAACATATAAACATAAAAAAAACAGACATTATTCAAAAAAAATAATTGGTCAGGCTCATAAGCGTAGTTAAAGAGGGGGGCTTACTATACCCCTGTCCCCTCACTAATATCAATGGAAGTAAAGCTTCAAACTGGAATAATTTCGGTGTTTCTCATCTTGTCAAATTGGTATGTTCAGATGTGTTATTCAAAAATATTTGCTCAATTTAATAGGCGTAGTTGAATGGGGGTGGCTTACTGTATCCCTTCTCATCTATATACATTAAAGTAAAGTTACTGACTGAAATAACTTCGGAGTTTCCAATATTTTCGAGTTGGTATGTTGGGAGGGGTAGTTCAAAAAGGCAGAGCATTTCCTGTAACTGCTCTATTAAAAATTAACAAAACCAGCCAAAACACTTTCTGTTGAGTTTGCTTAAACAAAAAAAAAACAACTCTAAAATTATGTTTTATCAGTGGTCTATGAAATTACATTTCGTGTTGCTCGCGCATCGCGAAAATCCGAGCTAATCGCACGCAAAGTTGGCAAAATCGCTAAAAGTTGCCAAATCAACCGTTACAAATGTAATTAAAGTGTTTGACAGCCAGGAAGTCTGGATCGGGGGGAAATCGAAAACCGGAAGCCGCTGAGACGACAAAGAGAGTTGCCGGTAGTTTCAAGCGAAACCCTAACCTCTCTCTCCGAGATGCCGCAAATAAGCTGGGTGTATCGTCTACAACCGTGCATCGAGCCAAAAAACGAGCCGGACTATCGACTTACAAGAAGGTAGTGACTCCAAATCGCGATGATAAACAAAATACGACGGCCAAAGCGCGATCCCGGAGGCTGTACACGACGATGCTGACGAAGTTTGACTGCGTGGTAATGGACGACGAAACCTACGTCAAAGCCGACTACAAGCAGCTTCCGGGACAGGAGTTTTATACGGCAAAAGGAAGGGGAAAGGTAGCAGATGTTTTCAAGCACATGAAACTGTCAAAGTTCGCAAAGAAATATCTGGTTTGGCAAGCCATCTGTACCTGTGGCTTGAAAAGCAGCATTTTCATAGCTTTCGGGACTGTCAACCAAGAAATTTACGTGAAAGAGTGTTTGAATAAACGGTGCTGCCTTTCCTGAAGAAACACGGTTGTTCCGTACTGTTTTGGCCGGATTTGGCATCTTGCCATTACAGTAAAAAGGCCATGGAGTGGTACGCCGCCAACAACGTGCAGGTGGTTCCCAAGGACAAAAACCCTCCCAACACGCCAGAGCTCCGCCCAATTGAGAAATACTGGGCTATTGTCAAGCGGAACCTAAAGAAGACCAAAAAAACTGCTAAGGGCGAGCAGCAGTTCAAGGTAAACTGGCTTTCTGCGGCGAAGAAGGTGGACAAGGTGGCTGTACAAAATCTGATGGCAGGGGTCAAGCGTAAGGCCCGGCAATTCGAATTTGGAAAAGCCGAAGCCTAACGGAATATTTTTCCTGAATTTTATACTAATTGAACTTGAAAAAGAAATTTAATTTGATTTTTTAAATAAACGATTTCACCGATTTACACGCGTTTTCCCTTGACCAAATTTTGACCGTATCACCCTTTATCTTCCTTTTTTTTTGCTTGATTTGCTTTCCGTCGATCTTGTTTTCCTGAATACCAATGCTATCGATGCCAGAGAGGCAGCTCCCACACCTGGACTCATGAACCGGGCACCAACGGTGTTACTTCCCCCTTCCGAAGGGAAGAGATTTTATGTAACAGAAAATCACATCGGCGCCCTTTGGGGTGAGAGGTAATCACGCTTACCACGGGGCGACCCCGGCGTAGTGGTTAACATCCATTCCTCTCACGCCAAAGTCACGAGTTCAAATCTCACCCCCGGACAAGTCACGAATGACCCAAGAGTGTTAAAGTGACTATAATCAAAAAAAAAAACGCTTACCACTACACCGCTGACGCCGCTAGGTGTATCAAGAAGCGTGGCTAAACGCTGCGAAAATATTGTAGCTTAATTGGGAGAGTACTGGTTTAATCTATTTATTTTAAGATATTCAGAAAAATAATCTTAATTTTAATGGTAATGTAAATATTTGTAACCACCAACTTGCAATAAATGTTGCTAACAATATTTGGAATATTTCATGAAATGTCTCATAAACTTACACGATCTATATCGAAAACTTAAGACGCTCCATTTATGTGCATCATAGTGACAGAAATTAACATTACTTTTTTAACTGCGTAGATTAATAAAAAGTCAATTTGACATAACATAAGTGTTTTATATTAATAAGTATGAACGATGCTCCAAAGAGCTGCTTATCGGTATGGTATTGAGTTTGATTGATGGCTGAATCTGTATATGAAGTATGAGCGTTGTTTTCAAGCAAGCCCTTATTTAAATGTCTTTCTCTTGAAGTGCAATGACACACATTAGCTGAACAGCTATTTATGTTTCGAGGTGTATTTAAATCAAAAGTGATCCAGTAGATTTTAAATATTGAGAATTAACTTAAATTGAACAACTCAAACTCGTATCGGAAGCTAAACAACCAATCACTAAAGCATTTATCAGCAACACTACTTATCCTCACAACCAAATTCCATTGAAAATATGGATAATTGACAACTTTTGACATAAATTGGAACTTTTCTGCCATCATGAAATATACTCCAGGTTGAAGGGCGTACAACAAGAAAAATTCAATAGTGAAGGGTTAATTTTTTCAGGGCTTGATTTCGTTTTTCTTGAAGATGATTTTTGGAGTATAAGTCATTTGATATATCATTAGGAAGCTGGAATTGCCTATAGTGCCTATAGGGCAATCAACGGGGCAAAAATTTGAGAACTTCTCACAATATATGGACACATGTGGTTTTTTAATGCCCTTCACACCATCACAGGGTGTTTAAAGATTTTGCAGTGGCCAGTAAGTGAACTTTTACCCCATTTTTTTTTTGTTTTTGTTGGGATTTGAACCACTGCGACCATTAAGCTGATCTATTGTGGTATACCCCTGTTTAGTAGCGCATCTGTTCACGACGACGAGTTACCATTTAGGGTAAAGGGTGATACGGTCAAAATTTGGTCAATATCAACTTGACGTATTTCTTTCAATTTTGCATTTAAAAAACCTGAACACCCCTCATTTTGAAGGTGTGTGTGTGTAGAATGTTGCTCCTATTTTGATTTTGGAATTCACTCTTCAGTTGTCAAAATGCCGTCCAACCAAGAAGAGCAGCGTATCAAAATTTTGCTCGCGCATCGCGAAAATCCGAGCTAATCGCACGCAAAGTTGGCAAAATCGCTAAAAGTTGCCAAATCAACCGTTACAAATGTAATTAAAGTGTTTGTCGACAGCCAGGAAGTCTGGATCGGGGGGAAATCGAAAACCGGAAGCCGCTGAGACGACAAAGAGAGTTGCCGGTAGTTTCAAGCGAAACCCTAACCTCTCTCTCCGAGATGCCGCAAATAAGCTGGGTGTATCGTCTACAACCGTGCATCGAGCCAAAAAACGAGCCGGACTATCGACTTACAAGAAGGTAGTGACTCCAAATCGCGATGATAAACAAAATACGACGGCCAAAGCGCGATCCCGGAGGCTGTACACGACGATGCTGACGAAGTTTGACTGCGTGGTAATGGACGACGAAACCTACGTCAAAGCCGACTACAAGCAGCTTCCGGGACAGGAGTTTTATACGGCAAAAGGAAGGGGAAAGGTAGCAGATGTTTTCAAGCACATGAAACTGTCAAAGTTCGCAAAGAAATATCTGGTTTGGCAAGCCATCTGTACCTGTGGCTTGAAAAGCAGCATTTTCATAGCTTCCGGGACTGTCAACCAAGAAATTTACGTGAAAGAGTGTTTGAATAAACGTCTGCTGCCTTTCCTGAAGAAACACGGTTGTTCCGTACTGTTTTGGCCGGATTTGGCATCTTGCCATTACGGTAAAAAGGCCATGGAGTGATACGCCGCCAACAACGTGCAGGTGGTTCCCAAGGACAAGAACCCTCCCAACACGCCAGAGCTCCGCCCAATTGAGAAATACTGGGCTATTGTCAAGCGGAACCTAAAGAAGACCAAAAAAACTGCTAAGGGTGAGCAGCAGTTCAAGGCAAACTGGCTTTCTGCGGCGAATAAGGTGGACAAGGTGGCTGTACAAAATCTGATAGCAGGGGTCAAGCGTAAGGCCCGGCAATTCGGATTTGGAAAAGCGGAAGCCTAACGGAATATTTTTCCTGAATTTTATACTAATTGAACTTGAAAAAGAAATTTAATTTGATTTTTTAAATAAACGATTTCACCGATTTACACGCGTTTTCCCTTGACCAAATTTTGACCGTATCACCCTTTAACTGCCGTTGTTGCCTGATAATGCGGAGTACCCCAATCTGGTATGATTCTTAGAATGAATTCAACCACCATTTTGGGATTTTTTAATCAAATCTTAGAAGGACTTAGTATGATTTTGTTGAAGTATTGTCTTCTGCGCACGATTAGTGCTGAACACTCGCAGAGCAAATGTTGAGAGGACTCTGTCTCACAGTCACAAAACCTACAGATATCTGTTTGACTTCGATTTATCTTTTTCAAATGATATCGTAAGTAGCCCAATAAGTATGTTTAGTTATTTTTTATTTACCCCATACTTTTGTCCCACCGGTGGAACTCCTCCGAAAAAATCGTTCTAGCTGCGAATGGACTGAAAACTCATCAAAATTCTGTAAGAGAATCCTTTGTATGGAATTAGTTTGATTCCAAATTCATCGAGTTTTGAGAATTTAAAATTGTCAAACTACATGATACTTGCAAATGGAGCGTTATATATCATTCATGTTTACTTTATAGATTGTGTAAATTTGTAAGACATTTATTGAAATATTCCAAATATTGTATGCAACCATCCATCTTTGTTAGCAACATTCCTTACAAATAGTTAGTTTACATGAAAAGGAAGTTTACATGCATGGATGTTTATATCACCAGTAGAATTCAGAATTTGTTTCGATGTCAACCTCATGGAAACTATAGCCGTTAGCCATCCCTAACCAGGAAACACCGTCGATCGTCAGCCGACCGTTCTCGTTGCAGGAGGTTTACTCACAGCAACAATTTAGTAAAATTACATTAGACGCATTGTTTGTGCAAAACGTGTGTATCTAACCTACCCAAAAACTCAAGTGCTGCAAGCATACACAGATAAAAATTCTGAATTTTAATTGTGATGTAAACATTCATTCACGTAGACTTGTATTTCATTTCACGCAACCGAGTAACTTGCAAACAATGTTGTTTACAAAGATGGGCTTTTGTATACAATATTTCTACATTGCATGAAATGTGTCATAACTTTACATGATATATAATGTAAACGTATATGATATGTGACGCTCCATTTATGTGCATCATATTGAACAGAAATTTACACTACGTAATATTCAAAGAAGACCTCTGTCTTGTTGCAATTTTACGGCTCATCTTCTGTGAGCCGACAACCTCCTAGACGATTAGAGATAAACTAGCCTTAGGCTAGAAATCTCTAAAATAAAGATTTAAAAAAAATCCTAGACGATCGACAGCTTGACAGAATTTTGTCAGGATTTGGACCACACTTCACCACACTCGAACTGGTGATAGACGATGGGTTTGAAATTCCAGGATCTTTTTTTTTTTTTTTTTCTTCTTTATTATAGAGATTTTTAGCCATAGGCTAGTTCATCTCTTAATTCCAGGATCGATTTCGGGCCACTCTAACTGTACATCGAGTCAACGACTACACACTCAATCAAAATGTTTTACTGAATTTCAGCTAAATTAATTGCAACACACAATTGTAAGTGGTAAAAAACTTCGAGATTACCCGGTAATTTTCTAGAACGGTAGAGGCAAAGTGAGGATCGGGGAATTTGGGTCGGCCATCAGTAAATCAGGTCCCTCTCGAAAAGCCATCGTATCCGATTCAGCCAGCGTGCTCAACAGATCTATGCAATCAACTATGTCGCAATGCAAAACACAAAGCATACAACGTGACATCACTGGTAATGAACGGGAAGACCCGACGGTCGGGCAGTAGGTACTAGGTAGGGATGAGATTCCTCTACGTGTAGTAAATAATTGGGTCAAATGCTCATGGTGGGCTTGGAATGCGAAAAACGAACATTCTTACGAATAGGCACCTAAAGGCAAACGGGCAGATTTCAAAAACTGGAGAGACCAGCAAGTTCTACTAGCTTTCATATTAAGGAATGAACATGAAAGATACATTGAACACGAAAACAAATCCAGCAATATCCACCATTTATGCCGACACAGATACAACAGGAATCGAGAAGGCAACAAATAATTCCACACTAAGAATCTTAAGATAATTCGACAACGCGACACGAAACAAAAACTACAATGACGTTCACCACACCTACAGCCCCTAAAAACACAAAATGGTGAAAACGTAACACGAAACATGCCCAAGTAACCATCAAGCCCGTTAATAGGACTAATAAGGACGCTTTCGAGAACACGTGCGACTTCTACTCTCGGGCTATACCAATTGCTCGGGCCACCTGACAGATTAACATGTGTGAACAGAAAGTCCTCTGTACCTGTACCACCAGATCAGCCTGGGAGGCTGCGTGCGGGATATTTTAAGTAAAGATCACTTTTGGTAGCATTCATGACAGGCCAAGGACTGTACCAGGTACCACGAAGTGTATCTTACCAACAAAATAAAAACACGGAACACGAAAATATACCCTGCATTGATTAAGATCCAGCATACACAGAGACGAACCAGCAAATGCCTGAGAGTCTCTATAATAAAGAATTCAAATCAATCAATCCAGCATACATCCAGAACCGAGAATGTAACTAGGGGAATTTACGTATTCTCGTCAATCTAAGCAGCATCCGGACTTCTATTGACAATTTCTCAGCGTCACACACGCATATGACGGGTTTGTTTATTGACATTTATCTGCTGCTTGCTGTTCTATCAATTCCAATCGACAGAATTGATCAAAACGGGTTGAACACGTTTTTACAACGCTCCAAACTTCTCAGGTGAGTGTGACTATTGCCGGCAGTCTCTTTTTCTTCGGCACCATTTCCATTTGAACTACGTGTTAACCAGCTGTTCTATTATCGGCAACTCGAAATCAGCCGTATTTTGTAGTGTGTATATTTCATTTAAAGAAAAATCTGGCATAACAGGATTGCTCAGTCGTAAAATAGTAATAAGATTGAAGCTGAAAGAGTAAGGAATCGGTTGAATACATTCAGTGAAGAGTTTTGATGGGAAAATACAGTGAAATTAATGTTTCAATTTCGATTGCCGAAAACAGTCAATGGGTGCCGAAGCCATAATTTACCCTAACAAACTACAGCACCAAGAAAATCCTAGAATGAACAGTGAGTCCAGCCGAGGTTGTTGAGATTTTCCTGAGGCGAAAAAAATCTTTGGATGTAATGTCGACCTAAATTCCCCTAATTTGGGCCCATACATAAATTCATCAGCAATCGACTAAATTTTCAAAAGAGACCAAATATATCCATTAGTACCGTCCCAATGACGCGTTCATCTAGATAAAATTGGTAAATAGCAGATTTTTAGCGATAAGCCCAATCTTAGATCCACAGGCCCACATTAGGGCCATTTCCTCTACATAGCATTTTCTAGAAAGGCCTTAGTATCATGTCGAAATCACGATTTTATTGAATATACAAAAAAAATCAAATAGCAGAAATGAAGATGAAATGAATGAAAATGAAATGAAGATTAAGCCCATCGATAAAAATCTCCTATTCTTATTTTTTTCTTAGAACAATGCGTCATCTTGACAATACAAATGGATATTTTAGGTTGCTAGTAAAAAAAATGTCAAAACGTTCTTTCCTTCGAATTTTATGTATGGGACCAATATTAGGGACATTTAGGCTGACATTAGGGGCATTAACTGCTCATAGTGTTCATTCACCTATCGGCTATATAGTGCAGGCATACGACTCATTAGGGCTGATTATTATGTTTAAACTGTACCCAGGTACTAACGGGAATTTATCTGCTGTGCAGTCAATATCAGGCATTTCAATACATTGTAATCATTTAATTTTGAATTGATTGCGCAGCTGATAAACTGCCACTGCAATCATTAAGTGTTTAATCAGACGAATTGATCTTGCAACATCTCATTGTTTGTTGGATTAGTGGCTAGTGGCTAGATCTAGACTCAATAGCATTCAATGCACTCAAGCACAATCTGCATCATAAAAAATCTACCGATACCTGTACTGTCTTATGGACGTCCAATAATTTTCCACATCACCATTTACGCAAACAATCCCTTAGTCATGGTGATGGAAAATCGATCGTTCATGGGAGCCCATGAAAAAAATACATTAATGTAAAATCAGTACCAAAATTGAAAAATAATTTGAGTACTAGGTTTACCAGTGAGTTAATTTGATAAAATTGTATTTTTTTTATCAATATGAGTTATTAGATAATGAAATTTTTTATTTGCTTTATAATTTATCGATTAAATGTGAACCAACATACCTTGGAAAGAAAAGAGTTTATCCAGTTAACGAAAGTTTTCTTTTGTACGCGTTCTTGTTCATCTGTAAAATGGAAGAAAAGTAAAATTTTAGTTTAAGAAAATATGACAGATATTGATTTCTAGCGTCGTACATGTACAAATTGAAACCTTTTGATGTTTGTTATGTAACTCCAATCCATAAGACGGACAGAAACGTACTCCAGAACTATTCAACGGTATGTCTTATTTCGAACTAACATTGATCGTGGGAGTCAACGATGGTAATTCCTGTGCAAACAATGTCATGGAAACAAAATAAATCGAAACCTACATTGCTACATAGCATTGCACACAGAATTACTACCATACGCAGGACCGGTAAATCATGGATAATAAGGGAGATTTTGAACTTTTAACCCACCTTTCTGTTTCGCTCTCTTACATTGTAAAGAATGAAAAGGATGGGGGTTGGTGATGATTAACAAGTTTCAAATATGGCAAGTAGCCCAAGGCGCATAAATAGGAATAATTAGCAGCGTCATTTAGCATAAAGTTTTTGCCAATATTTCCGTTTTTAATGCTCATATTGCGTCGTTTGTCAGGTTCTGGTCACGACAACGAGTCTGAGTGTGGCGAGTGCGATTCTAAACACTAAATATGATCTCCTATGATGATATATTTAAATTTTCTTTTCATTCAACAAGTTCTGAAGATTCTGGATTCATATTGGCCGTTTTGAGATCATACGGATGTCCCGGGGGAACCTGTAGCCTGGGACAGTTGCCGTGTTACATCAAAACATGTCTTGGATCGGTTATATGCATTTTGGATCCGAGACCCGGAGGATCAAGTGTCATATACCAATGGAAGTGTTTTTTAATTTCATTTTTGGGATTTTTAGCCTTAGGCTAGTTTTGCTCATGACTCATGACATAAGTGTGTGAAATTTAGTGTGTGTGTAACTCACTCGATTTCTCGGCGATGTCTGAACCGATTTGAGTAAAACAAATTCCATTTTGTGTGTTTCTGACGCCCATTGAACACTATTTAATTTAATCCCGAAATTCGGAGATATGAACAAAAACGTGAACTCTAGATACCCCCGGAAAGTGTACAACACAATCGTTCAAAATAATACTTTTATCATTTTTGCTCGATAGTACTGATCAATCCAATCTTTTCCAGGTTAATGCTATTATTCTTGGAGTACAGAGACATATATATGTCACATGACATTAAAAAAATACATGATTTTCTAAAAGAATTTTCTAAAAACTGCGCAAGTGAACGCACATATTATGTCACGCTCTAAGGGGGAGGGGGTTTATGATTTTGTGACAAGCAATGCATTAGGTATAGGAAAAACGTCACGAAAGGGCGGAAGGGGCATAATAAATTGATCGCCCCAAATATGGTAATCTCAGAGCATTTTCTTTTGGGTAGAAGTTCGAAGCAATTGTCCTGTCTCTTGGCGATCGTATGAGCTAAAAAAATAAATGTAATTGAGGCTTAAAAACAGGCGATAGGATTTTAATTGCCCAAACTTTTGAACTCGCCAGATTGCATAATAGAAGTTCTCATCAACAACAACAATCAACAATCAAGTCGTGAATTCAAACATGCAAAAAAGATTAATCTTTTTTTTTTGGTGTTATATGCAATCTTAAATTGGGGCTGCGGACTACGAATGTTTGCTTGTTTCTTTATTAAAGACGGTTTCATCCTAAAAGCTGTTTCTTATGGCCACGGATTAATTATGTCACGGGAAATTGAGGAAAATTTTAAAACCCCGTTTCGACACGTTTTTCCTGCCTATCTATCATCTATCTATGCCTATCACAGAAATTTATAGCCACTCCTTCCCCCTATAGAGCGTAACATAATAAATTGATCAACGCTTATGGGTAAATTTTAGGTGGATTAATTAGAGTTTATTTCATTAATAAGCATTGGTCTAAACTTTAAAGCTCTCTCGAAAATCCAGATCATAATTAAATTCGTTTGAAATTTGTACATTTGTTTTAGACCTCAATACAGATCAAAAAATCAATGGGAACACGAGGATTTAAAGTTGACTCACCCTAATGAGCATGACTGGTTTTCATGAGTTTTGGGTTGGAATTATTTTTTGGTACCATGAAAATGATAATCTCAAACGTGATATTTTTTAGCAGATTCGCACATGTATTCAGAAATTGCAGTTTACATATATGTATTTCCTAGTAACGACTTATTCATCTTAAAGGTTTTTTGCGCTTCTGTAGCGACCGTTTTTATGGTTCTCAACTAAGTGTTCTAACTAATGCATGAATTTGAATATTCTGTGGCAAGCACAATGATACTCTATGCCCAGGGAAGTCGATAAAATGTCCATCCTGGAAGATCGCACCCACTGCCTCCGGCTTGGTAATACCGTGCCTTTCAAGCTAGGCTATCAGCGGCCCCCAACACAAATAATCGAAGAATCACGAATTCGCTTTACAAAAAACAAACAGATCTGCTCAGCAGCTCTCTACAAGATTTTTCAGCACTCAAAATAACCCTCACGTCAATTCTACACGTAAATAGCACGTAGTTCCAAAACACACCACTTTTAGAGTTGGTTGGAAATGCAATCTTTTGCCAATTTACGAGACTGTGATTTTATCCATGTGTAGCTACTACATACATTCTTTTTCTTCCCGGATTTGACGCTCTTACACTAGTTTACGCCTACCCCAACTTGTGTTCTTTCAAGTACTTCCACTTATTGATTGAGAGCTTGCGGGGTTTAACTTTCATATTTTTTTCATATTTTGAACATCATCAACTCAATGATTCATAGAAGAGGTCATAATTGAAATCGGTGAAATGACCTTCGACAAAACGAACTACGGACATCGGAGGCGACACATTTGAATCTCAATTCTAAGATGCTAGAAAAATCTCACGCAAGCCAATCAATCTACGAAAAATCGGTTTACATTTCACGCATCTACATATATCCATCTTCTCACATCGCGCTTCATCGTTATGTAGGAAATCTACAAATTCTTCATCAATCTTCTTTAGATATAATCATCGCGCAAAGCAAAATAAAATATACTCTACATTTTTGACAATTTGCAATATATTAAATCTTTCAATACTGATGAATCTTTGATGCATAATAGATGAGGGCCTTCGCTTACCTCGTTTTTCCAAAATGTGAACATCATATTCAGATGTTCCATAATGCCGGTTAGCATCTCCTAAATGTTTAACTACACGAGCACGATAAGCATCATACCAGGAACTATTGGTTTGTTCGATACTGCCGACATTCTTAGATTGCCGGTATCCAACATTTTCACGAACAAATGTTTCCTCATAATGTTGAACATTTTCTTCATAATGGTAGGTTACATTCGTAGCGTCTTTATCGTCTTCATTCTGATTTTTTGTTTCTTTAGTTGTTTTTCTCAAAATAACGCTTTGAGATATTTTACGACGCTTTGCGTCATGGTCACTAGAACCGGCTTCTGAGCTCATTTTAGCGAGTTATGCCGGGTTATGCGAAAAGACCTTGCGCTGATAATGCTGCCGAATTATCAATTCATTTCATATGCAAACCCGTCTTCGTTTCACTGGTATATGCTAATTCATATGGAATGCTTGTCGCACTCTGTGCTTTGAAATGAATTCCGATCACATGTCTCGAATTGCTAACGATGAAAAAACGATATTGGTAGCATCTGAATCCGTTAAGCTTCACTTTTGTAAATCACTCTACACGACAAGTACGACCTTTTCATTTCATAAATGTATTTATCGGCTGCCTTAGTTCATTACTACACTGTATAAAATCAATAACGTGAGAGCTATGACATCATGCTCTACAGAAAACAAATCTTCAACAACGACGCATTATATGTAGCAGCAACAGGTTTCAGTTTACTCGCGGAATAACGACGCGTGAAGCACTATTGAATGCCAACACAGAACTGAACATTCAGTATCAGCGAGGTTGTGAGTGAGCAAGTTTGTCTGAAAGTATACGGTTGTATATATGCTCGTTTATACCAACAAGTGTGTTGCATCCAGTTTATAAAAAAATCTGTCATATATTAACCAATCCATTTTTAAATTGAACTTGTTAATTTATTAACACCAGTTGTTCATGTAAGATAATAACATTTAGTGAACCATGAAAGTCCTAAAATTTCAATGAAATTATCACAATATTATCATTGTAGTGTGTCATCATAATAATTGACGTTTTAATTACTCTTTCATTCGCACAGCAGTGGTAGTCTGTATTACAAATGCACTCTCAAATTGAGGATCATTGCAGTAAATTTGGTGTTCTTTACAACTGAAAACATTACGTTCACGTTTCGTTTATAGCATTCAATTAAGCACACCTTGCGCATGCGTCTGTTTTATGTAGCTGGTGCATAACATGTGACAAACATAAACACAAGTAGGTAGACGTAAACACAATCAACCGGAATCGCCGAATGTTCACTAACACTGTTTAAGATAGGAACTTGACGACCTTCAACTATAGGTAGAAAGAGAGAAATGAGAGAGCTTCCAATATGACGTTTAGGCGTTGTAATAGTATGTTTTGTTTACAATCCATTTCATTCATAGAAATAGAACCAAACTAGTTTGATGATTTGACCTAGATTTATCGCTAGACACTTGTTTATTTTTAGTATTTGTTTGTACTCATTCACACCTAAGTGAAATGTATTTTTAGATATTACTCATTCGATTTGGCGATCGGTAATGTATCAGGTATAACAAATTAGCGAGAAGTAAGTATACATGTCACATTAGGGTGCTTAATTCCGTAAATAAATATCATGTTTTTTTCTAGAATCTCCTAGTTCAGTTCAAGACCCAAAATAGGAAATTAGTTCATATTGTTTGAGCAAATATTGTTCAGTTTGTAAAATATTTTTGGCAAATTATAAATGAACATATCAATTATGATCAATGATGATAGAAAATTATAGAATTTCGGTTTATTTGTATTAATTTAAAACTTATGTGTCATTGACTCAAATTAAGATCCTATAGTTGCGGTAGTTACTAATTACAGTTACTATTACAGAA